TCTGAGCCTGTGGCCCTCAGGGCTCAGCGAAAATGGCCAAAACGAAGGCCTTATTCGCCATGGCGAGGGACGAAAACGGTGAAGATTTTCAAACTTTTTTTTGATGATTATATAACTTCAATCCGTCCAGATTAGGAAATGACGTGGTAGAACTGTGTGTGATGAAAAACCAGGGACTAGTTCGAATTTATAAATGAAAAGTCAAATTAGTGGCGAAACTTTGGCCCATCATGGCCGACTTCCTGTTGGTCCCAGACATGTGCTTAGAACGGCTTTTATGCTCGTCTCATAGAGATCTATCACTCATCCAAATTTTGTGTACCTACTCCAAAATATGCAATCCTGCCTCCAATAGAAATGGCAAATTTTGAATTTTCAAGGGGGCGCTATTGATTCGCCTTTTGTCGGACAATCTGGAAACGTCCGTTTTATCAAATTTTTCGCCGAACAGGTCGTTTTAGACCCCCCATGTGCAGACTTTCGTGCATGTCTTCAGGGTCAAAAATCGAATTGAAGATGCGGAAAAAAAATAATAATATGAAACCGGTGAATAACAATAGGCTAATAAAAGGCTTGTAGATAATGACGACGAGTATGGATGGGGATTTATTCATCCTTCACTTTGAACAACACATATTCAAAGGAGGTAAAGTTCCCAAATGTAAGTCTATGGGTAACCATGTTGTCCCTAAATAGAGCACACACGCCTCCACCTTTTTTATTTTCTCGTGCTTCATATTCAAATGTAGGTGGGAGGGGCTGTTTCTGGTAGAACAGCATTACCAGTGTTTTTATCAAGCCATGCTTCAGTTAAAAACATAAAATTGAGGTTATAAGAGGAGATGAGATTGTTAATTAAAAATGATTTGTTGCAAAGGGATCTGACATTAAAAACAGCAAGATTCAGTACGGTTTCAGCAGAACTGGAAACATTTGAACAGGGAATATGAATTAAGTTCCTTTGATCTGACTTTCGAGTTTTTTTGCGATCTTGCTTGGGTCTGATGATTACGTGAGGGTGGTTTAAAGTGGAAGAGTGTAGAGTAGAGTCAGTAATAACACGAAACGGGAGATGGGGGCCAGTGTTCACGCAGCTGTACTCACATGGTGCTGGCAGTGGAGCGGTGGAAGCATAGACTGTATTGGAAGGCAGCGGTGGAGGCGGTGACGCAGCCAGTCACAAGCATGATCTCACCGTCCACTGTACCACGTGACACAGGTAGTCCACCAAAAAACGTGTGCCAAACTTGTTTGGGTGCAGACCATCAGGGCGATAAGCTATGGAAGCCCGTTTCCGCCATCTAAAAAAATAAAAAAGCATACAGAAAGTCAAAATTTTGAGTTTAAAAGTCAAAATTACGACTTTTAAAAGTCAAAATTACGACTTTTAAAAGTCAAAATTACGACTTTTAAAAGTCAAAATTTCGACTTTAAAAGTCACAATTACGACTTTAAAAGTCAAAATTTAAACTTTAAAAGTCAAAATTACGAGTTTTCAACTGCGCATGTGCAGTTGAACTTGTATGTGCAACTGCACATACTTGAAACTCGTATGTGTTGTTGTCTGGAACGGTCTCTGGACATCCTTCACCTTCAGATTATGTGAAGATATTGCATACAGTGACCACTGCATCCTTGAAGTAGCCAGAAATAATGTTGTTTGATTGATTCTGTCAAACTTTCCTGTTTAAGCCCCAGACCGCGGTCGTAGGACGCAGGGAGGAGTTGTCTTTTTATTTATTTATGTTAAATTCAATTTACATATAATTTACTCTGACCAGACGATGACGCTGAGAGGGGTCCACACGGAGCGAGTATTTCCACGGCTGAAATGATGCGCTTTCTACGCGTTGAGTACGGGGTTTTATTCATGCATCTATAATGGGTTTAACTCCCTTTTCAAAGACCCTCACTGTTATCTGCGGAGTTATTTCTCCGTATTGTTGCTAAAAGAGTCGTGGGCTTTATTTTGTCACAATAAAATAATCAGACAAGGTACTTATTCCCTGTATGTCTCTGTGTTCTTGCTCATACGCCAACAACTTTACCCGCACGCTCGCTCCATCAGCTCACCCCCGCGTGCACGCAAACACGTCACATACTCTTCAATGCACTGATCGCAATTCCAAAAGGGTAATATTGTCAGTGACTGTGGTTCTCCTGCCTCTGTCTGCGGACCTCCCTCACTGTCCAGTAATCGCGAACGGTCTCTCTGTCAGTCACTGCATTTCTGGTGCATCCATCGATAGCCGTGATACTGACCAGATGTCACCAGTTGATGCTCAATGACTTTGAACAGCCGCATGTGTTTTATTATTAATCTTCCACAATCCGTTTAGGATAAATTAAATAGAGGCTTCTGAAGCGGATTCTAATCATAAACGGAGAGACCGTTTGCATTTTAACGCGATTACTACCACAACATTATTGCTGGCTTCTTCATGGATGATGTGGTCACTGTCTGTAGGCAAAATCTTCACATAATCTGCAGGTAGAGGATGACCCATGGTCAGGGATCTATACACCTTTTCGCGTGACGTCAGCACATGACCTGTAGCAACGCGCGCCGCCATTTCAAGAGGGGTATGCTTTTGCTTGACAACCGCCAATACCGCCAATGACCGCTGACAACACGAAGGAGATCTTGCAGTCTGGCAGATTTTTATAATACAATTGACCCAAAAATGTCAACAACCAACATGTCAATCATTCAATTGGCTCATTGCTGTAGGATGAAACAACTTCAGTGGAGAAATAAAAAATCAGAACTACAAATGAGAATTGTTTTCGTGCAGATTATTAAAACATAAATTCTAATGCATAAAATCAATGTTAGCCTTCTACAACAGCAAGTTTTTTGACACACAGTAAGTGATCCACTAGAAGAAAAATCCCTGTCCATCACACAAATTTGTAGAAATTATTTTTCAAACAAGTCAAAGAAAACTTCGTGGGAATTTTAATAGCACGTAACGAGCGCGCAACCTTTAGCGGCGCTAGTCTAGCATAGCTACATCACGCAACGAGCCAATATCATGATGACATATGCCTATATAGGCACAAAAACACATACATAATCCTACCTCAAAGAAAATATATGCATCCAAGCTTTTGTAAGTCCTCATCTTCTCCATTGTGTAGACGCCAGGGCTGTTAATGAGGTACTCGTAAATGGCAGGCCATTGGAGATCTGGCCATGTTGTTGGGTTGTTTTGCCATGAACCTTGAGGTGCTTGGTATGGACACGATTCCAAACCAACCAGATGTAACTTTTCTTCATACCGGTGCTTGGCCTTTGGCTCTAATCTGCTGAAATATTCGTAAGACATTAACTAAAACCTTCGTGTTGTCCAATGTCCGTGGTAAATAGCGGTTGTCAAGTAAAAGCATACCCCTCTTAAAATGGCGGCGGGCGTTGCTAGGTCAAGTGTCCCGGATGCTGATGTCACCGCGAAAAGATGTATAACAGGGATGACCAGAGACCGTTCCAGACAACAACCAAGCCCCGGCGATCCAAGATGGCGCCCTATTCAAATGAATGGTTGTGCTCAGTGGCGTGGGGGCTGAAAGATTAGTGGAAGTTGCCTGAAACTCGCAAAGATCTATGGGAAACTCGCCTGTATTTGGGCATCGTCTGGTCCTCCCGGTTCTGCGCAGTGGATGATCTCCCATAATGCGTTGCGCCAAACACGCGTGTGTGGGTCTCACACCGGGTCTCACGCACGTGCACAGAGGGGCTCGGCCGCGCTCTGACCAATCAGAGCAGTTCATCAGAGCGGGAGTTAGAGCGAGAGCCAGACGAGCAGCGTTTGTGGCACTAAAGTGTGGATTTAAACAAAACCGAAGGATTTAAGAATAAAAGAAATATACATTGGAGGTAGTGTAGTAATCAATTGGAGTACAAATGCACAAAGAAAAACATTTTTCACATAAAAATAAATCAATCATACCTGTGACAAACCAAAAATATAAATTTTTAGTCACAGCGGACACACTGGCTCCCCCTACGGGATGAAAACGGCACGTGAGCATGGCAATGCACATGGTAAAATAGCTAAATAAAAAGTACATAAAAACTAAATTGTGCGCTAGAAAATGTGCAAGAGTACATTCATTGCATCCCAATACATTTCCTACTAAACACATCTTAGTGAATATTGCGGAAAATAAAGTTAAATGATTGAAAATATGTATTTTTTATATGTATTTCTAAAGTATGCATACAATCAAGTGTATACATATACACTTTCCAGTTGAGCTCGTTGTAGCATCCCATTCCTACCAAAACTTGAGTTAAAAAAATAAGTCCATAAACTCTGTTCTGACAATAGCCCTAATCACGTGAACATTCCTGTGTATTTTTCTTCACTTCCTTGTGTATCTCTGCTGTTCACATAAATACTCAGAAGTAGGAATGCATACTATGCTATCAGCTCTGGAGATCAACGACTGGATTTTGGACACGACTCAATTTAAATAAAAATACATCGACACATCGCTATATAGACCACAGGGTTCAAATAACCAGAAAAAAGTGGCTTATAGTCCGGCAATTACATTATTCATGGATGATAAGTTATTGGTTATTTCATGCAACCAATAGGCATTTCTGTGTTTTAGTGTGTATGTGGCCCAGTTTTATAATAAGTGATAAAACTATGTGCTGACTTGTGAGAACGATGCTTTAATTTGTGTATTAGACAGAACATTTAATCAATGGCCTAGTTTGTTCAAATGTGACTGGCACATCATGAGGTCCTAGTAAATTGTGTTGTTAAATAATAATTGCCAAGTAATATTACTATGGAGAGGCACTGCCTTATAATGGGCATCACTTAGGCTGCATGCATTACTGGTGGTTGGCTGCAGTCCACTGGCCTCTTTCCAAGTGTTTCTGGGCAAAAAAAATTGATTATCTCATAAAATGCAGAGTCAAAATATTGTGTGCATTAACAGATGTTTTTTCAGCTGTCAATCTCCTAAAATCTTCTCTTTTGCAGATTGCATCCTTTTCTGTGACTCCTAACTACGACGTCATCTTTTTCTCTTCAAAAATCATTGAAGTCGTAAACATCTTGTCCTTTTTTGACAAAGATCAGTCTAAAAAGTCTTTGGCGGATAGACTGAATTTGTTGAAAACAATTGAAATTAAAAGTAAGAGTTGCTGGTTGCAGACCCGCTTTGTAAATGTAGTGTTATTAATTAGCGTGTTTTTAAAAGGAGGGGACAAGGCTGGAACCAATCTCAATGCAGTCTTCAAGAAATTTGAGGAGAAAATGACCATTATTAAACAACGACAGGAAGACTTTGAAAAACATCAGCATGTCATCGTTGTTTTTACAGACGGTAATATTATTAGAACTGTTTTCTCTCCTATATTATAAGGCTTTCTTTGATATATTTTCATTTTTTCTTTATCAGGCGGTTACAACATGGGAGGAAAACCTACTCAAACAGTTGAACGTATTAAGTCTTTGATTTTAATGGATAAACCCAAGGAAAGAGAAGAACATCTTGGTGACCCTAACCCCAATCCTCTTTTGATAATAAGCTTGCATTTTGTTAAAAACATTTGTGCTTACATTGGTATGATTTCTTTCAGATATTTATATTTTTGGCATTGGAGCTCAGATTTACGATGCCAATCTAAGAAGTCTCACAGTTGGGCCACCAGGACAAAGACACTACTTCAGATTAAGGGATACCAATGAGTTACATCAAACCTTTGAGGAAATCATTAGTGAGAATAATTTCACTTCTTTAAGAAAAACATGCAGTATTTAAGTAATGTAAACTAACTTTAATTACAGAAAACACTATTTCATGGTTTATTCCGCCTAGTCAAAGATGCTGTTTTACAAAATGTTGTGCTTTAAATGTTGCAGATGAAGAAGGTGTAAAAGGCTTGTGTGGTCTCCATAGAAACTATGGTGATATGTATAATGCTGAAAAAAAAAGGAAGAAGTATCCCTGGATCATGTTTGTTTCTGTTATGGTGAATTGGTTTTTTACTTGTTTAGTGATAGCAACTGCAAAGACATTAACTGTATCAGTTTTGTCTCTTAGTTAGTGAATAGATTATTCAAAGAGTTTAATGCTTTGTTTGTAAATTTTTATAGCATATATTCATTGCGTATTTGCAGTTAAACACATGCTCATACTTTATAATTTTTTATAAATTTGAACAATTGTTACAAATATTTACATTGCATAATGCAACATTTCTGTCTTCTCTTTTCAGACTGATCAACACACATCAAATTGCCTCGGCTCCTTGGTTTCCCCTCGTTTTGTATTGACAGCTGCCCATTGCTTCACAGTTAATAATTTAATTGAAAACATCAAGGTGTCAGTGAATGGAGGGTATATGCTAGGTACAGTGCCTTACAAAAGTATTCACCCCCCCTTGGCATTTTGTGTATTTTGTTGCCTCACAACCTGGAATCAACATGGATTGTTTGAGGATTTGCATCAGTTAATTTACAGAACATGCCCACAACTTTGAAGATGTTGTCTTTTTTTTTAAATTGTGAAGCAAACCACAAATGGGACTAAATAACAGAAAAGGTCAATGTGCATAACTATTCATCCCCCTAAAGTCAATACTTTGTAGAGCCACCTTTTGCGGCAATCGCAGCTCCAAGTCGCTTTGGATAAGTCTCTATGAGCTTGCCACATCTTACCACTGGGATGTTTGCCCATTCCTCCTTGCAAAACTGCTCCAGCTCCTTCAAGTTGGATGGTTTGCGCTTGTGAACAGCAATCTTTAAGTCTGACCACAGATTTTCAATTGGATTGAGTGGTACAAGTTTTTCTCAAGAATATCCCTGTATTTAGCACCATCCATCTTTCCCTCAACTCTGACCACTTTCCCAGTCCCGGCTGCTGAAAAACATCCCCACAGCATGATGCTGCCACCACCATGTTTCACTGTGGGGATGGTGGTCTTTGGGTGATGTGATGTGTTGGGTTTGCGCCAGACATAGCGTTTTCCTTGACATAGGTGCTCTGGTCTCATCAGACCAGAGCACCTTCCTCCATACATTTTGGGAGTCTCCCACATGTCTTTTCGCAAACTCAAAACGTTTTTTGCTGAAAGTAATGGCTTTCTTCTGGCCACTCTGCCATAAAGCCCAACTCTATGGAGCGTACGGCTTATTGTCGTCCTATGTACAGATACTCCAGTCTCTGCAGTGGAACTCTGCAGCTCCTCCAGGGTTACCTTAGGTCTCTGTGCTGCCTCTCTGATTAATGCCCTCCTTGCCCGGTCCGTGAGTTTTGGTGGGGGGCCGTCTCTTGGCAGGTTTGCTGTTGTGCCATGTTCTTTCCATTTGGTTATGATAGATTTGATGGTGCTCCTGGGGATCATCAAAGATTTGGATATTTTTTTATAACCTAACCCTGACTTGTACTTTTCAACAACACTGTCCCTTACTTGTTTGGAGAGTTCCTTGGTCTTCATGGCAGTGTTTGGTTAGTGGTACCTCTTGCTTAGGTGTTTCAAAAAAGGTGTGTATACATGTATGACAGATCATGTGACACTTAGATTGCACACAAGTGGACATCATTTCACTAATTATATGACTTCTGAAGGTAATTGGTTGCACCAGAGCTTTTTATGGGTTTCATAACAAAGGGGGTGAATACATATGCACATGCCAATTTCCAGTTTTTATTTCTGAAAAGTAGTTTTATGTATATATTTTTCTCAATTCACTTCACCAACTTAGACTATTGTTTTCTGATCCATCACATGAAATTCAGATAAAAAAAAACATTGAACTAAAGGCTGTAATTTAACAAAATAGGTAAAAAGCCAATACTTATACTTATACGAATACTTTTGCAAGGTACTGTATATATACAATACTGTAAAAATACCTCCTGACCAATACAAAACTGCCACATGGATCTAAGCAAATTACTGCAGTTGGCCCAATGAACAGGGTGCTTGAAATTTTGAAAACACTGTTTTCCAGACCTTGAAAAGTCTTGAATTTTTTGTAAAAAGAGGGCGGCAGTAGCTCAGTTGGTAGAGCGTTGGCCTTTGAGCCAGAAGGTCGTGGGTTCCTTGTAACCTCTGGGAACACCAGCCACAGTGGGGCGGCTGCGGCTGTAAAGTGCCAAACTGCCGTTGTGTCCTTAGGCAAGACACTTCACCCCCATTGCCTAGAATGAGTCTGGTGTGTGTGTGAATGGTTGGTGGTGGTCGGAGGGGCCGATGGCACATACTGGTTGCCTCGCTTCTGTCAGTGTGCCCCAGGGCAGCTGTGGCTACAGTAGTAGTTTATCACCACCGTGTATGGAGTGAATGAATAATGACACATGTGAAGCGTCTTTGAGTGTCCAGAAAAGCACTATATAAAACCGATGGATCATTATTATTATTATAAAAACCTTAATAAAGTATGGGAAAAGACTGTATGCTAGAACGTTACAGTATGCTCAAAGGCATTGTGACATGAGAAATAGGAAGGGGGGCTTTAAAACTATAGTTTTACTAACTGGTCACATACTGCATTAGCCTAATGGAATGGTATCCAATCAACTTGCTTAGCCTGGTCTGGCACATTTCCGTGATGTCACTACTGAGGTCTATTGACACATAGCTAGCCTAGTGGTCAACAGAAATGTGTCTTTGCGTTTTTTCGAAGGCAGTAGGCACACAAGTATTCAGTACAATAAAGTTAAGGTCTTGGAAAAAAAAATTTTTGTTATAAAAAAAGTCTGGAAAAAGTCTGGAATTTTAATTTGGAAAAAGAGCAAGCAGTCTGAATGAATGAGACTGGATGAACATGGTTATTCCAGATTATGGACTTCATTTTTCCTGATGGCTCGGCCATATTCTGAGATGATAGGATTCATGTAGCGCATATTGGTTCAGGAGCAGCGGACATAGTCTCACATGGATGGGACCAGAGTGACCAATATCGAATATATAGCATGTGCTGGAAAAGGCTTTGAGCAGTGGTCACCCTTCTATAGCATCAATGCAAGATTGTGGGGAAAAGTGAAAAGTAATGCAACAATGGATTTAAATACATTTCATGACATAGCGGAATATGATTGAAACACTGCTGCAGAAAATATGTGTTGAAACCACGCTGCTCAAACAAGAATGTCACCTTTTTGTGGCGACTTTTCTTGGTAAAGTTTCTATATTATTGTGTAATCATTTTAATGAAATGTCTTGTTGCAGGTGTTCATAAGATCCACACACATCCACAATATAATATAAATGCTAAAGTGGACCAGGGAGTAGAGGAGTTTTACGACTATGACGTGGCTCTCATCGAACTTATCGATGATGTGGAGATTTCTACGTCGTTGAGGTGAGGTCCATTCTGGAGAGTAAAACGCATGTTCTTTATCAAAGTGAATGATTGTAACTGACTGTATTATCAGACCCATTTGCCTTCCATGCACTGAACAAACAAATGCTGCATTAAGGCAAACTTTAACCTGTGAGCAGCAAGGCAAGTCTCCTCCCTTCATGCTTTTTGAAAATCATAAAACGTGCCATTTTTTTATTAAATGTGTATTTGTATATATTGTATTCTTATATTATAGAACAGTTACTGATAAGAAACAAGGACAGAATCACTTTTTTGACAAAGACAAATCTTGGTGAAAAAGATGCCCACATAAAGATGGGTGAAAATGTATGATTTTTTTTTCTCTTAAATTTAGCAGCTTGGGCACTGTTCCTTAAAAGCACTGTTACTTTGTTCATGCAGAGATTGGACTGCATTAAGAAAGCAGTTTTAGAACCAAGAGTCTCAGTCACAGAGGAAAACGTGACAGAAGTTGTGACCGACAACTTCCTGTGCACCGGGGGAGACTTTCCAGAAATTGACAAAATAGCCTGCAAAGGTAAAACCAACACGCGCTGAATGTGATTTTTTTTTCTCAAGCAAAAGCTCTTTAAGGACTGGACATAAGTTTTAAATCAGTCAAGTCTGTGAGGAAAAAGTTGAAAGTTATGCCTGAGTGAGTCCTACACATAGATGAACAAGGCTCTTGATTGGTGCATGGTAACAATAGACAATAGAACCTGTATGCAATCCAATTCAAAGACATTTCAGGCGCAAGTAATACAATTATTTAATGTAACTTTTATTTAACTATATCTTACAGCATTGTCTCAATCCTATTGGGCATTAACTTTTACCTGTGCCATACCGTAGCTCACGTCCTACAAGAAAATAAAAAACTTTCGAATCTAGGGAAAATATTGAGTCAAAGTCTAACCTGTCAATATGGGCTTTAAAAGTACATTCAATTATTAGTATATTATATTTACCAAATGTCCTCTTCCATATAGGTGACTCGGGAGGAGCTGTGTTTAAAAATTACCTTAATCGAACAATTCAAGTGAGTATCTCTTTGTTAAAACAAAATAAAAGGATTATTATAGCTAAATTAATGTGTTTTTTGTTTACTGTTGTCTAGATTGCCTTGATCAGTTGGGGAAATAAACTGATGGATCAATGTCTACGAGATCAAATGGCAGTGTCAGATGAAGACTCAAGAGATTTTCATTTTAATCTGTTCAAAGTTGTGCCATTTCTTAAAGACATTCTTGGCAAAGACACCCCAAGATATGCACCACTTGTATTTGTGGACTAGCAAACATTTGCATTGATCACATTGTAAAATAAAGAATATAGTCCCAGTTTCTGTTAATTTACTTTAATTAAAGCTGAGGTACTTTTTCATAAATAAAAAGTTTGTCTCAACAGAAATAGTTAGTCTGTTGTGAACAGATTAGACCACCTTGTTAAAAATGTTATCATTTTCATAATGACTCTTTTTTGACACTTTGAAATGTGCCGTTTTATGAATTACCGGGACTGAAATAAGCTTTGTGATAAGCTTTCTGCATTTAAAGCATGGCCATGATTTTTTTTAATGTAGTGGATCATGCCAATTGTAATACTATGCTGTTATATTTCCTATAATACAGTCTTACAAACTTTGAATTATACAATACAATACAATTTATTCTTGTATAGCAGAAGAACAGAAGTCATCTCAGAGGACTTAACAAAACCATTGAAATCACCAACACAGGTCAGAGAATCAACAGTTAAAACACATGGAGAATATAAAGCACACACAGAAGAAAATGTCCATACATGTTGTAGAATGCTAAAGTGTCCTGATCATCACCAATCCTTTCTGTTGGACACTAACTGTCCAACAAGACCCTCCTGCATCGACAAGGAAAAACTCTTAAAAAACCCAGTGGGAAAAAGTGAGAAACCTTGGGGAGACCTAGGGAAACCCACAGGGAGGGAGACCCATATGAGAAAGGGATCTGCTCCTCCGGACGGACAGGCTAATGATCTAGGACCTAAGCTAGCTACAGGACGTGGACCAGTGGACGCTGAACGTGGACAGGTCCGGTGCAGGACCGAAGCACTCCCAGGCGGGTCGGGCGGGGCAGTCCGCAGGTGTAGATGGAGGAGGCCAGGCTCAGAGATCCCGTCATCGTACCATGAAACAGACAATGGGACAACGGGTGAATAGCAATGAACAAACTACAGTCAGAATCCTAAAAGTGCTTAACAGATAAAGTAGGAAGGAGGAGAAGATAGTGCTCAAGTTACCATACTTCTCCCAGCAAACTGACTCCCTATGCAGCTTGACTGACAGTCTGAGGAGTTTAGCCTTCCCTGAGTCTTACCTTCCTAGCCATATGCTAAACTAAATAGGACTGTTTTAAACCTAGCCTTGAATAAAGAGATTCATGGATTGCACACCAGGTGTGCAAACCGATCCAAGCAAACCTAATTATATATTATATATCATATACATCACATATACCATACATACCATATATATCATATATAATACACAACATAACATACAGCATAATATATAACATGATATACAACATAATATATAACATAATATACAACATAACACAATACATTATTGTATAATATATAACATAATATATAACATAATACAGCATACATATATAATATATACACCATATATTATATATTACCTAATTATATGCTAAATTAAAGTAAAGTGCTTTAAGCCTGGCCTTGAATGTGGAGACCGTATCTGCTTCCTTAACATAAATGGGAAGCTGATTCCACAGTAAAGGAGCTTGGTAGCTAAATGCTCTGCCACCAACAGTGATTTTTGAGACCTTAGGGACTACCAGACGTCTGGCGTTTTGTGAGCGCAACGCTCGACTTGGTTGATACGACACTAACGTGTCTTGGAGATAAGAAGGAGCCAAGCCATTTATGGCTTCATATGTTAAGAGAAGGATTTTAAACTTTATTCTGTACTCCACAGGGAGCCAGTGGAGTGATTTTAACACCGGAGTTATGTGCTCCCTCCTTTTGGTACCTGTTAAGATCCTAGCTGCTGTATTCTGAACGAGCTGGAAGCTCTTCAAAGACGCTTTAGGGCACGCTGCCAAACAGCCAATTACAGCCAAAGCGTTACAGTAGTCGAGCCTTGAGGTGACAAACGCGTGAATGAGTTTTTCAGCGTCACTTTTAGGAAGGAAATTCCTAATTTTAGCGATGTTCCGTAGGTGGAAGTACGCCGTTTTAGTTGCTTGGCTTATATAAGCCTTGAAGGAGAGTTCTTGGTCAAAAATGACTCCAAGATTCCTCACAGTGTTACTGGGTATAATACTGACATTATCGAGAGTAATTATCTGGTTAGTGAGGGAGTCACGCAGGCGCTTCGGACCGAGTAGTATCACTTCTGTCTTCTCCGGGTTGAGAAGTAGGAAGTTAAGAGTCATCCACATTTTAAGGTCCTTTATGCAGGCATTGAGCTTTTCCAGCTGATCTGTCTGATTTGGCTTCATCGACAGATAAAGCTGTGTGTCATCTGCATAGCAGTGGAAATTAATTCCATGCTTTTTAATAATGTTTCCTAATGGCAGCATGTAGAGAGTAAAAAGAATCGGTCCGAGTACCGAACCCTGCGGCACACCAAATTCTACTCCAGAATAAGGTGACGAGTTCTGATTTACGTTGACGAAGTGATACCGATCTGATAAATAGGATTCAAACCAGCCAAGGGCTGTTCCTCTAAGACCTATATCACATTCTAGCCTCTGCAGTAGAATGCTGTGGTCTATTGTGTCAAATGCAGCACTAAGGTCCAGTAGGACCAGCACTGACACTTGTCCATTATCAGCAGCTAGTAGTAAGTAATTTGTGACTTTGACTAGTGCCGTTTCAGTGCTATGATGAGCTCTGAATCCTGATTGAAATACTTCAAACATATTATTTTCCTGCAGGTGGCAGCGAAGCTGCTCAGCTATAAGTTTTTCCAGGATTTTAGATATAAAAGTGAGGTTTGAGATCGGTCTGTAGTTTGTAAGTATTTCTGGGTCCAGGTTTGTTTTCTTCAGAAGGGGTTTGATAACCGCGGTTTTAAAAGCTTGTGGGACATAGCCACATTGTATGGATGCGTTTATTATATTTACGATAGGCTCAATTATCAAAGGAAGTATGTCTTTGAAGAGCCATGTCAGGACTGCGTCTAACATGCAAGTTGAGGCTTTTGAGGATGTGACCACAGAGATCACCTCTGCTTGGCTCACAGCCATGAATTTATCGAGGCCCACTGAAGAGTCTAAGTGGGAAGTCACGTATGCCGCTTCAGCCTGTCCACTACCAACAGCCGGAGTAACCTCCTCCAGTTTGTCACGGATGGATGTAATTTTATTATTAAAGAAGTGGAGAAAGTCGACACTGCTCAGTGAGCTTGGAATTTTAGGCTCGATTGCACTATGGCAGTTTGTGAGTTTAGCGACGGTGCTAAACAAAAATCTACTGTTATTTTTATTCGCTTCTATTAAAGTTGAATAGTATTGAGTTCGAGCCCTGAGAAGGGCATTCTTATAGTTTCGGAGACCTGCTTTCCACTACCTGTGGACAGGCTCCGAGTGGGAGTGGCGATATAGCCTCTCCAATTTTCTGACGTCCTGTTTTAAAGTGTGGAGTTGAACACTGTACCAGGGCGACGATGATCTAATCCTAATAGTTTTCTGTTTTAAAGGAGCTGCTGCATTTAATGCAGATTTTAAAGACTCCATAGTGTTGTCCACCGTTTGGTCAATGACTGAGGGACTGCAGCAGCTGTGAACAGGTTCACCTGCAGCAGTATTCAACATAGGCTGTATTAGTTCTTTGAACCTTGTGATAGATTTATCATTTAAGGTTCTTTTCATTATGGTTTTATCTTGCGGCGCAGGAAAGTCCTCCAAATCGAGATCGAACGTGATCAAGAAATGGTCAGACAGCAACGAGCTTTGACGCTGGATGTCAACATTGGAGACATCACAGCCGTAGGTCAGGACAAGGTCCAAGGTGTGGTTATGAATGTGAGTAGGTTCCTTAACATTCTGAGTAAAACCAACACCATCTAGTACGGCGCTGAAAGCTTTGTTTAAGCTGTCAGTGCTGTCGTCCACATGTATATTGAAGTCTCCAGTTATAACTATGTTTTCCCATTCCAAAACTAGGTTTGAAATTATGAATGATTTATTTTGATAAAAATATAAATGTTTAGAATATATGGAGTTGTGCCAGACGTTTACTGGTAGCAAACAGGAGCTTTCTAAAAAATAGATTGATTGCGCAGTATTTTGGTTCTGTTTACTTTAGAATCCTCATTGATTTTCATTTGTTTGAGATGTAGGTAATGAGTAATTGAAAAGGCTGAGTTATAACTTGCAGTGAGCTATAACTTCACAAATCACAGTTCTTTACATGAGAAGTGGAAAACAATCAGGGGACATTATGGAATTTTTTATTCACTGGACTTGGTTTGTGGCCTTTTTCTGTATTCTTGAAAAAGGTATGTATATGATATGGTATGTTTACTACCGCCAAAGTGAATTACAAGTGATATTTGTTGCTAAAGAGTATAAAAATGATTTTGTGCAATTACAATATGTCTCTTTTGTGTTTAGGAGATGTAGTTTGGTGCACATGCTCAATGAACAGTACGCATTTTAAAGGTGGTAATTTCACTTTGTCAAATGGACTAAATGACGGCAGTATCCTCCAGTATCAGTGCAAAAATGGGTTTTACCCTTATCCTGAACTCTCATATAGATGTCAACTGAACCACCGCTGGACGCCTGAACCAAAATCAAAACCAAGATGTAATTGTACGTGAGTAAAGGCATGCTTTGAAATGATTCACTATAAAACCTGCCATCAAGCTTTAGAAAACTAAAGCTTGATTTAGTTTTCTAGTGCATTTTTATAGACCAAGCTCACCCAAAGTGCTTTACAATGTTCAATTATGCTACTTTGACACCTATAGGGTTCAAAATAAATAGCAACATAATGTGATACTGGTGATTTATGCAACTTGTGTAAATAAGTGTTTTCTATGCTACACAATTGTTGTCGTGTGAACAAACTAACTCAGGTGAGAGGACTAATACCCACCATACCCTAACCCATACAGGTGATCAAATAGATCACAGAAAATAAACATTTCAAACAATTATTTCAAATAATAATGACATGTAATGATGTACAATGACATGATGATAACTTATAGTAAAATGGTGTGTTGCTGCTAGTATTTGTTGACTTTTTTTCTTACGGCCTTTGTGTTTTCCAGTGGTTGAATGTCCAGATCCAACTGTTCTCAAAAATGGATATACTTTACCAATACATGAAAACAGGAGGTACTATTATCAAGACACAATCACTTATCATTGCTACTCAGGATACACTCTAAGGGGCCCTCTTCAGCGCACATGTTTGGCAAATGGGAAGTGGAATGGGTCAAATCCAGTTTGTCAACATGATTGTATGTATATGTATGATCCTGTTAAATGTCTAATTTCTAAATAAAGCTCCTCCTCTCCTTTACAGCTGGAGATTGTCTCGACCCTGGTGTCCCCCCTGGTGGTATAAGGTCGGGAAACAGCTTTGATATTGGAGATAGAGTGCTTTTTAAATGCAGAAGCAACATGATTTTGATTGGTTCCGAGGAAAGAGAATGTCAGGTAGACCGCCAGTGGAGTGGGACTGAGCCATCCTGCTACTGTAAGACCTAAAAGGGGATTTATAGCCTTATCATAAGTACATTTAAAAACAAAAGATTAAAATGTTTATTGTATGATAACTTACTTTTTTGTTAGATATGTTTTTTATCTTTTTGTCAGTTAAATATACATACGACAACCCGTGGGAGATTAGCGAGGCATTTGGTGGGGACATCAAAAAAACTCTTACCTCAAATTTAGTCAGTGAGTATACTTTTAAACATTATGTCGACTCTACTGTATAGTTAAGTCAGTCTGTCTCATTGTTCTTTATTATTTTCAGATGACACTCAACAAGGGCGGCTGGTGACTTTAACTCAAAATGGGACTCTCAATATTTTCATTGCCTTGGATGTCTCTGAGAGCATTGATGAAGAGGATTTTGAATCTTCAAAAAATGCTATAATGACACTTATTGAAAAGGTAAGAAAAGACAAAAGTTATGACGAGTACATTACCATGATAGCTTATTGTCCGTCCAGCAGCTGTGTGTTTTTTCAAATTCAACTGAAAAAAATATGAAAACAAAAACAAACAATATGAAGCTAGACTTTTAATTGTTTCTTTGTAAATCCTGTTTCTTTGTCAAGAAATATTCCACAGGATGGCTTTAAAAACACAAATTCACTTTTTGGTTGCCAGAGAATTTAGCTCCAGATTCCCACCAGATGCAGTAGATTCATTCATGGGGCCACAATCAGCAACAACCCAATCGTTTATTTCCTTCTGCTTACAATGTTGTATAAGTCTGATAATAGTTTTTTTCATTTCTTCACAGATTGGAGTCTTCTCTGTGCATCCAAACTATGAAATCATTTTATTCTCCTCCAACATCCAGTCAGTCATTAACATTCTGGATTTCTATGGGGCTCAGAAAGCACCATCCAGACGCACAATATTGCAGAGGTTTCAGAATGCTTCGTTGGAAAGTAAATAACTGTATGTATTTCCTTCTATGTTGACATACTGATTCTAACACATTGTGGATTGCTTGAAAGGGAAAGAAAACTACGGAACAAATATTGATGCCGTATTTAAAAAAATATTGGAAAAAATGTCTATTATAAAGATTCGTGCGAAACATTTTAAAGAGCACCAACATGTGATAATTTTGTTCACAGATGGTATGTATTTCATTATATTGTTTTATGGAGAAAAATTGTTTGGTGATTTTAATTTGACTTGACTACAGGTGGTTACAATACAGGAGGTTCTCCAACTGGCACTGTTAATCAAATTAAGCATATGGTCTATATGGACGAGAAGGAGAGCCGAGAAAAACACCTGGGTCAGTACATTTTTTTGTAGTTTTAAAGTGAAGTGTTCCAAACTATGGTGCACGAACAAACCCCTTGAAATTCTACATGTTTTGTTTTGTCACAACCACATGCATCTTTTTGTGTTTTAAAACTTGTAAGACCAGTCCTTGCAGTGTTTGTGAATAATAATTTTACTCATCCGTTTAGCGTGAGCCATGCTCTAGCCAAAAGGTGGTAAAGAAATGTGACTCTTTTGGGGTATGACTCTACGTTTTGTACATCAAGCTGAGCATTTGTGAACAATAGTTTCATGATCCTGCCACAGTTTATGGATTGGATGGGTCTGGGCTATGACTGGGCAATTCTAACACATGAATATGTTTTGTTTAAATCCCTTCCATTATATGTAGGTTATTTTGTGATGAGGGGAATTGTCCTGAAGCAAAGTAAACCCCCACTGCGGTCTCAGATTTATTTCTGACTCAAATGACTATAATAATGCACCGGTTTAATATAGCGCTTTTTTGGACGCTCAAAGACGCTTTAAATGTCCTTATTCATTCACTCCAAACACAGTGGTGATAAACTACAACTGTAGCCACAGCTGCCCTGGGGCACACTGACAGAAGCGAGGCAACCAGTATGTACCATTGACTCCTCCAACCACCACCAACCATTCACACACACATCAGACTCATTCTAGGCAATGGGGGTGAAGTGTCTTGCCTAAGGACACAACTGCAGTTTGGCACTTTACAGCCGCAGCCGCCCCACTGTGGCACCTGGTGTTCCCAGAGGGTAAGTGTCTTGCCAATGCCAATCGACAGCAGACATCAGTGGGAGTTGGTGAAGCAAAGTAAACCTCCACTGCAGTCTCAGATTTTTTTCTGACTCAAAAAATAAAAGCTATCCTTTCATTATTGTCCTGTATTTTGCTATCTCCACGTTCCCAGAGACTCTGACATTGTTCCCTGCCCTTGCTGAAGAAATGCAGTCCTACAGCATGATACTGACACCACTTTTTGACAGTGGAGCGGGTCTGAGTAACAGTGGAAGCCTTACAGTAAAGCTGTAAGCTGACAGGAAGTGTGCACGTACGTGTGTTTGAGTAACAGTGGATAATGCATACTCTTCTGAGTGTTCGGCTTCACATCCTGGTCCCAATCTTAATTAATTAAAAAAGTTTTTACGCCAGGCATCAACAAAACATTGTCCTCCGTTGACAGTGAAGAAGTACTATATGTGATGGGACAAAATATGGAAAAGTTCATGGGGTATGGATACTTTTTCAAGTACTGTACTTCATTGTCCCTGTGGAAATGTGTCCTCTGTACTGTATTTGACTCAACCTTCAATGCAATGAGAGCAGACTGTCAGGCACCGTGGTTGTGACAGTGCTTTGGTTTGTTAAATATTCTCCAAATTTTAATCTTAAACAATGTTCCTTTTCATTTAGACATTTATGTTTTTGGCATCGGATCTCAGATAAAGGATGACATTTTGAAGCCTCTCGCAGTCGGCATCGGGGGGAGACATTACTACAAATTGAGAAATATAGACAAATTACAGGAGACTTTTGATGACATGATTGGTCAGTACTATATATTTATTTTTTATCTGTTTATCTGTTGTTGCAGTGTTTTTCAGTAGTTCTGATTTATTTCAGAGAATATTAATCACTCAAATGCAATTCCGTTTCTCACGACAACTTACTATTTTGCTGAAAACACTTAATTATTTAACAAAACATGAATCTCATGCATGCTTTCATTACATTATAACAAGGTTTACTTTCTCCATCTTATTTCATAATGTTTTTTAAACCCACTGTGGAACAAGTAAAGAATGCCTTCATTTTAATTAGTCCTGTTTTCTTGACACACAGATGAAGCAGAGGTTATTGGCCTTTGTGGTCTTTACCAAAATTATGGATCTTTGAATGATAAAAAAAAGAGAAGAAAAAAGTATCCCTGGGTTTTGTCTTTCACAGTAAATGTAATTTGAAGTTATTTAATTCAAATTATATTATAAAGTGCACCATCAACTATAATCTTTGTTTTTATCCTTTTAGCATGATGGACAAATATCAAAGTGCCTTGGCTCTCTGGTTTCTCGTCGTTTCATTTTGACCGCAGCCCACTGTTTCAAAGATAAAACAGACAAAATTACTTTTAATGATTATAAATTTGGTAATTATTTAGAAGTATAATCAACTTCGATATAAAGTCAAATGCAAACAGAGCAAATGTTTTTTATTGAGAGGTTTTGCTTTTACTCTGCAGTTGTTGAGACGATTCACATACATCCTGATTTCAACCTTTATGCTAAAGTGAAGCAAGGTGTGAGTCAGTTTTTTGACTATGATGTGGCTCTCCTCGAACTTAATGATGATGCAGAGATCACCAAAGTACTGAGGTCTGTATTTATTTACATCTAATGGCATCTTATGATACAAAATAATGCAAAACAACTTTTTGTTTTAGACCAATTTGTATCCCTTGCACAGCAGAGACTAATGCAGTATTGGGGAAGAATTTAACTTGTGAAGGGCAAGGTATGGTAACAATAATAATAATAATTGAAACAAAAAAACTATATACCTGGTATTGCAGCAGTTTGACCCTGTCAGGTGTGCTTAGGAATTAAAAGGATACATTTACCATTTGGGTGTCGTGATTCCAGGACTACTGATTCAAAAAAGAAACATGAACTGAAATATGTATGAACCTGGGGAAGGGAAATATTAATTTAAAAGGAGCCATAATCTGTTGGTTGTAAAGGTTGGTCTACACCAGCGGCCACACAGTGAGCACAGAAGTAACGAGCGCAGAAGGGGTTGTATGCACGAGGCCATTGTAGATTGACTTTCTTTATTTTTATGTTTTTTACCTCTGGGAGCTTGACACGTTTTATCTACTTCTATGGATATTAACATACTATGATTTGGTTCCTGTATATTGCAGAAAAACTTCTACTCAGAAACAATGAAAAAGTAGCTTTTCTGACGGATAAAGATTATGCCGAAAAAGTGGCACATTTGAAGATGGGTGACGATGTGTGTATGATTTTTACATTGTAAAATAATCATGTCCTTTTTGTATTGGGGGTTCTGATCTATAATCTTATGAACTTTAAAGAGACCCGGCTGCATCGATAAAGCAAAGAATGCTCCCAACATTACAGTGAATGATGCAACGGTGGCTGTGACTGAAAACTTCCTCTGCACTGGTGGACGATATCCCAATTTAGATAAAATGTCATGTAAAGGTAAACAATTATTCTTTGTCTTTATCATTAATGTGAACAAAACATGGTATACAAAATAAAAGCACAACCTGCACAACTCAAACAATACAAAGTGGAAGGGAGGTTCCATTCTGCGTCAACCACCCACCACCTCCCTTGCCAGGGCAAGCCCTGTCAAGAGAACTCTTTGATTTGCCCTGTTGAGTCTGATCTGAGTAAAATCATTCAGAAGAAGGACCAGGGGTAAGCAGGGAACCAGGCATGAAATTGCGGACAGAGCATCGGCCACCATCTCTCCCACCAACCCTCAGATATCTCACGACCCTGTGAAAAAGGTCACAGCTCCATCATGGCATAAAGTACACATGGTGCCAAGTAAGTCCTAAATATAAATGACAATACAAAGTAACCCATTCCACAGGCAGCCATGACAGCTCCCAACCGCAGTCTAAATAATCCCGCTGCAACTCAAACTGGATGCAAAGGTCCCCAATCACCAAATGCCATAACTGTTAAAAATAGGAGAACTCCACCTGACAGCAGAACCACACAATTCTTCAAGGTGGCAAAAAAAGCACACCCACTCTAATCAATCCTCCAAAGCTTTCAAACACAGAAAGGATAGTAGGTATTGACCCAACATCACTCACACTCAGAGGAACATTTCCTACAAGAAAATTAATTCCATTATTTCAGCAAACTCGACCTCACCGCCCATGCTGTGTGTTGCTCTTTAATTGCCCTTGTTGCATATTTTTGAACCGAGCATTGTGCTACTCTATTCATCATCAAATGCCTTTTTATGGCTTTTGACACTGTTGATCACACTCTTCAGATAAGGAGTTTGGGTAAATGTCTCATCACAAATCAAGTAGTTCAGTGGTCAGCGGACTATCTGCCTAATAAATCACAATCCAGATGTCTTTATTAACATCTTCACTCTTAGAGGTCACTAAGGGTGTACCTCAGAGCTCTGTCTTAGGACCAAATGATCAGATGAAAATCTGCCAAATCTTCTCAACATTTGTATGCTGATGAAACAGTGATTGTTGTGCCAACCAGGCTGCAACCGTGTCATGTTTGTTTTGTACGCGTTTTTCCCTAGACCCACTGCAGCACTCATCTCTCTTGAACTTTAAAAGTGAATGAATGAATGAATACTGTATCTCGGCCTCAGTGGTGGCTCTCATCATTAAAGTGATAGTCTGGAACTCTAAATGAATTATACATTTTAAGAATTGTATTAAATTGACCTCCTGGCCTTAAATGTTGATTATAAAATATGTCATTTTATGAATTCTAATATAGGTAAGTCCCGCCTTTCCTTCTCTTAGCTATAGCTCAAAATCCACGATGCCGTCCACTTCAACCAATCAAGTGATGCCAAGGGCTGTCAATCATCGGCGCTCATGCTCAGTTGTTTGTTTTCACGGAGCCTCCGAATCAAGCCTCCATTAGGCTCTGGAACTATGAAAACTGAACATCCGCGCTGAGTTACCCATTTATATACTGAGCCTATATCCATAATCAGATCCTCTGCAAATGTGTCCTATAATGTTCAATTAAAGATAATAACTACTTCCGGGTTTACCCGGAAGTAGTTATTATCTTGGTGCATTAAAACATTTTTGTCATGAAAGCGTTAATTGATAATTCTGAAAAGCTCAGTGAATGTGTATTAATAACGTATACTGTATGTATAATGTGTTCTCCGATTAACATTTAAATGTTTTGATTGATTGTTACGGAAACTAGGCGTAGACCAATCAGAAAGAAAGGGTGAGGGAGCTTGCGTTGTTTTTTTAAATCATGCACCTCTCTCTCGCTTTTTTCTGAAAAACTCCAGACAATCACTATAATTTTGCCAGAGTGGGAATATGTTTATTGTTGTCCAAATCTTGAATTTCATGCGTGTTTGGGCGTGTTGTAATGAAGGTTGAGATGGGTGTAAAATTTACACCACCTACTGACTCAGTGTATATTTTGTGCAGATTGATAAATGCCGAGAAGTGTACATTTTTTGCATACGCCTCATTTACACCCTGATTTGGCCGTTCGCAAGTTTCATAAATGAGGGCCAATGAGTGTTTATCTAGTTAAATAAAGGTAAATAAAAATAAACAATTTAAATAACTTGAATCACCTCCACAAAACCTCGATTGAAGCCAAAAGAAAGACCACAGAAACTGGCACTCCAGCCTATCAAAAGCCAAGCAACAACCTCCCCACATTGTCAGCAGCATTGTTACCAACCCATCATTGTGCCAACACTCAAAGACCCCCAGACCAGTGCACATAAGCAAGTCTCCAAGCTTTTTTATCTCAAGTATTTTGTTTTTATATTTATGTTATAGGGGACTCTGGAGGGGCAGTGTTCAAGCATCATGAGGGCCGAACAGTCCAGGTTAGTAATGAAAATACAGAATCATAGATAAACTAATCGTTCTCGATAGATTTTAAATGCATCAAACATTACCTTTCCTCTCATAGTTGGCGATAGTGAGCTGGGGCACCAAACACTTGCCTGGGTGCGACAACAGAGAACTTGTTGATTCTGATGACGACTCCAGAGACTTTCACATTAATCTTTTTAAAGTTGTGCCTTTTCTGAAATCTATTCTTGGGCATAACACTTTTCGTTATGCACCACTTGAATTTATAAACTAGTTTCCTTTCTTGCAAAAAATTCAGATAATATGCTGTCAAAATAAACAAAACTAATCAATGAAATAAAAAACTGCCAGTTCTAAATCATGTTTAAAATGTTGGTTTTAAAGGTTATAAACAACTGCAGAAATGTGAATGTAAAGCTTCTTTGTCTAAATAAACTCAATTAATTAACATATCTAATCTTTTTGTACGAATGGTAAATTATATTTCTCAAGACAATGTACAATTTCAAAGTCTAAAATGTACTCCCAAACTCCTCTCTGGCTCTGAGGTCTGCTGATGGTGCTATTCCCCTGGACTCAGACTCCCTGATGTGGTCTACGCAATGCAGGCACTCCATCTGGACACATGCCAACACAGACTATTCCAATTGCATTTGCTGAGAATTTCAGTCCATGTTTTAACCATATAATTAGGTTTTCTGACTCTTTCAGAAGGTAATGATTGAAATTAACTGTGTTTGTCATTTATTGCCTTTGTACAAAACAAAACAAAAAGGCGGGCAAAGGATTTATGGCAGCTGGGGGATTTCAGTGTCTTCAGATGATGTTAAGACTGTAACATAATGAAAATATAGATACATAGAGATTTTCCAAGTAATGGTTATTGGCTAAACGTCAGACAATGAAGTGAAGTGGTGGATTTTCAAGATGGGTGTTCCCCACTACCCCCGATTTGAGAGGGCAGCAGATTCCCAAGGGTGCAGTCTTCTGGCCACTCGCTAACTCACTAATTGGGATGAATGAAGCCAGTGGATGGAGTGGACAGCCCGTGTTAGCGGGGGGACTAATGGTAGAGGATCTAATTGAATGAACTCTTGCTATAGTACGACACAGTAAACAAAGAGGAAATTCAAAACTGGATTTATTTGTTATTGGATCGGGGTGGACTGGGTTACTTCTTTGTCTTAACTGTTATTACAACTAGGAATTGACCCCAATTTCCAGACTCCTTTTTCCAGCTCTCTGACTGAAACCAATTTATTAAAGGTAAACTGATTACGAGAGCGGACAGAATACATAGGCTGACGAAGAGGTCCCACCCACTACAGCCGCACACGCCCCTCTATTCACTGCTGGCAGACACAGCATATTCCTGATGAAGCATCTTGCTGTTAAAACTCAGCCTGATGCCTCTCCCCTCCAGCTTTAAATCAACCGTTAGAGCCATTTTAGAAATTACTACCATTAAGAACTGCATACATCCTCTTTTTCTCCTCAGTAGTGCTTAGAAAAGCGAAGGCGTGTGCATCATAGGCCACTGCTGAGCCGGCCTGGAGTATGAAATTATGTAGACGACAAAAAACTGCCACAGTTTATAAGCTATATATTTGATACATAATGATATATAGCACTAGTGTGCCAGACTTTTTAAAATGAAACTAGAGTGTTCACACTCCTTGCTATCATTGTAATGTGGACCTAAACATTACTTATTATTACTAAAAAGAAATGCTTCAGTGTTTGATATGATGGATAGTCAAAGGAAAGAATTGTCCGTTACTGTACCGTAACTGTGCTTAAGATGTATTAAAGTCTTATGTTATCTTTATCCTCTTTCTAAAAACATCAAAGCAAATTTGAAGCACTCAAATTTGCAATTTTGGCTTAAAAACTTTTTCCAACTGCAAAGTAGAGCTACATTCCTAGCTCAGCCAATCCACCCCCCTGCCCATTTTACCAGGCTCTTTCTTTAGCAATATGAATATGTAAAAAAAGTTTCCCCAAATGTACAGTAACTCTAAAATATCTAGATTTTATGGAATCTGAAATGACTTCAAAATTAAACCAGAAGTAAAGCAACTACAACAAGTTGTCATTTGTGTAATGTCTTTCTTATCTGGACTTTGTGTCTGTAATAAAGTGTTAATAATTAAAACAAAGCCCCTACACTTGATAGACGAGGGTGCAAAGACTCTCCCTTGGCTCTATATATAAATTGTAATAAATGCATCCCTAAGTGTCACAACGTTGTACCAACTTAATTGTGTCCAAAAACTGCTGACATCAAAAGTGAAGACTGAAGCAGATTGATATCATCATGGTCTATGCAATGAGTTGTTTATTTCCCTGATGCTTTTAGACATTTTATACAGCCAACATTAGTCCCTGAGTAGTCAGTGATTGAACTTAAATGCTAAATATATAAAGCCATTACAGACAGATGCCCAGTTTGGTCCAGGGTTTAAAGCATTAGGAAAAGAAGTAACAGTCTTGTTCTTCTGTCGCCAATTGTGTCCTGTGCTACCTCATGTCTCTTTGTCTTTACCCCATTTCACTGATAACAGATACCCCTTACAGCCAATAGAAAACAACATAATTACCCCTAAAATGGTTCTACTGATTGGAATGCATGATGATTATAAAGTCATCCTAAGAACATCCAAAGAAGAAATGTGACAATTACGGAACTAAATCCATCCATCCAATTTCTTCCAATTTATTCCCGAATCGGGGTCAGGGGAGCAGCAGTCTGTGCAGAGATGCCCAGACTTCCCTATCCACACACTTTCCCCTGTACTATTAACAAGCCTGAAACCAGCAATGCATATGAGCTTAAATATTCATGATGGGTCTGCTTTGCTTGAATGGATTTTTTTTTTTTAAATTAGGTACAATATATACCCATTTCATTCAGTAATATTGATTCTTTCCAATTTCTTAGTTTTCTTTTACAAAAAACATTATAATATGAAAAGGTTTTGTTTTGATATTCATCTGCAATAAATGAAAAATAAATTCCTCTTGTATTCTTGTTGTGTAGGAGCTAAGTGGCCAACATCTTTTTACTAAATTGTATCATATTGTTAAGAAATCTATTGTATCGAGGTGGATTATTTATATTATTATTATTTAATGGCAGATGTTTTCACTGCTCAAGAACGTGACTTCTACATCGGCTTGTCACTCCTCTCCACGGATATGACCTGGGCCTATTGAAGCCACATCAGTGTAGATGGGAAAGAGTAAAGTCGTATTTCTCGCCAAAACAAACAATCTTTAGAGACCCAAACAATAAATGGACCAGAAAAGTTCTGCAGTGCTTCTTTTAAGTAGATGTTAAAGAAATTGTGGTTTGCATTGTTTGTGGCACATGGTCTTAATTGGATCATCTGGTATCAACAATATTGTTTGAATCTCATGCGCCGACACAAGCCTACATCTTGTGAGGTATGGTTGCAATAAAATAGAAGTGATCACAGTGAGGCAATGTGTTCTGGTAAACATATTGACAACCTTGTTACTTTTCAGTCAATTGTAATATCATTCTGCCAGCGCACACCCATAAACGGTCAATGTTCACACCTGATGACTTCCTGTCAGAAATATTCACATTGAAATAAACTTAAAACTATCTTTAAAAACGTGTTACTATTTTCTTTGTCTTGTAATTTAACCTATCCCTTTTCCTTTCCTCTTTCCACTGCCATTCATTTGCTTTTTACTCACCCACTTTACATGTATTTATGAAAAGTTAACATATCCATTTAACCTATTAGTAGCCTAATGTCACATGGCAATTTTACATATGAAAATGAACAGTTAAAATGTTCGGCTTGATATTCTGAAATGAAGTGAAGATTCTGCAGTTTGACTAGAAGACGATGAAAGTGTCTATCGTATGTCACTTTCGATTACTACTGCAGTTTATAATACGTTTTCCGCTTTATATACTGATTACTTTCAATAACATTGTGAGGTACAGTACATGTGCTGTCCTAGATTCTTTCCATTGACTGTATATTCACCGAAAACAGAAGAAGCTGATTTGACAAACTTTGTCCATGAGCACTTCCTTGTTGTTCCTCTGGTAGAAGAAATAAGACGGTGCAGATTAGTGTCTAACTACTTCCTCGCGTTACAAATGAAAACAATATTAGATTCAACTTAACAATGAATGAATACAAAGAGAAGAGCTTCACAGTCTACAACATCAACATATGAAATAGAAATAGAAGAGATGTTATGTGACAGAGAAATAACTCAAGACCTACAATTCATGCCGGATCTTACAACAAAAGGGATTCAAAACTTTGAAAACTAAAGGAATTAAAAGATACCACCAACTTTACAGTAACCAAGGAATTGACACATTTGAAAAAATCTTCCCTTGTTGGGCATCCTTAAGCTAGAGTTAATCTATATACAGTCTATGCTTCTTTCCTAAATATTTTCTGTATTCCAATCGACGCTGCACACATGACCGATATCCACCAAAAGTTCTCTTGACTTTGTCCCTAACTCAATAAAGATGCAATGATTTGCTCTCAAGCAAATATTTTAAAACACCTTTGATTACGTTAGAGAAGATCATTTTCATGTAATACTTTTGTAATGATAATATCCTGGAGATTAAGTAATAAAGGCAGGAGTGAAATCTACGTCTTGTCAGCGTTTACAGTGAGAAGCACTTGCAGGATTAGATGTCCCACGATCGATGCAGCCTTCTGCCCCAATCATTAAGGCTGCTCTTAACAGATTACTGCCCCCTCCTAAACACGCACACTTTTCTTATTCTTCCACATGCTCCTCCTTCTATCTCGCTCACTCTCACAAACCACAGCATCGACTCTGTTTTGTCATTTCTGAGGGCTCTCTGTTGGAGCTCCAGTGATGTTGTATTCAGATTTTTAAAACATGAATAAAACGAGAAAGAAGATCTAAAGAGCCTTTCTCCGATATGGACGTCCTGACCATTTTTATTCACTTTTTATTTTTAAATTGTATTTCTCCCTCGGGAGCAACAAGCCTCATTACAGGTAGGTCTAAACTATCGTTAAAGAGAGTTTGTTTAATTGGGGTGAGTGGTGAGGACTAAAGAGTAACTTACTACAATCAGACACGATTTTAATCTTTCATTTGACACATATTGATAGCCATTTTATCAGCATCAAGCTATTATTTATTGTAGGTTATTAATGTAAGCTTTTTGCTTGCCTGTAAATAGGAGCTTATCAATTTAAGTTAAAGGCTATAAAATCAAATAATCATACATAGAATGTTGTAATGTAAATACAAATATGTTTGTATCATATTTATACAATTCTTTCATATTATTCATTTTTATTGAAACCAGGCTGTTTTGAAAGATCTTGGGTCATTGGCTAAAATCTGATTGTCTATTTTGTTAAGAACACTGACCTCCCTTTACAGTAAGTGCCATTAGATTTTGGTAGACAATTGAATTTGATATAGATTAGTGACTGAGAGAAACCATTTAGACCTCAGCATGGTGGATGCCTACATGCTTGAAGTTTTATTGTCAAGAAAACGTGTAACTACTCACCAGATAAATCCTTTCTTCTGCTTTCTCTGGACGTGCATGGGACTTCACAGCTGACCTGTTTGAAGCCAGAGGTAGGTCTTGAGTAAGCCAAAAGCATTGATTAGGTTTTTTATTGTTTATAACATAATTGGGCAAATTTTTTAGGGCAGCGTGTGTGTAAAGCTGGAAAAGGGAAGCCGTGTTACAAACTTGCCTACTTCTCTGAGCTCCGGCGGCGGCTGAACTTTGTGGAGGCTGAGCTGGCGTGCAGACGGGATGGGGGTCAGCTGCTCAGTGTGGAGTCAGAGGCAGAGCAGAAGATCATAGAGCAGCTCATCACAGAGCTGCGTCCCACCGATGGGGACTTCTGGATCGGTCTCCGGAGGGACTATGGGGACGGGGACAGCAGCACAGACTGTTCTCCTCAATACTACTGGCTGGACAACAGCAAGAGCACATACAGGTATGTTCTCTTCAGACTACTGATTCTGAAAAGATTTTAAGTAATGTATGTGCGTCATTGAAATCTGTCATTCAAAGTGGTTCCAGAAAGGGCTGGTGTGGCTTCAGGTTTTCATTCCAACTAAGCAATAGCAAATTAGACTCGGTTTCATAACTACCTCCCAAACAGAAAGACCATGGTTTTAACGCTCACCCCATCTGTATAACTACACATCTTTTGGAGATGACATTTTAAACTTCACTATTGCCATTCATAGAATTAAACACCTTTATTGCAAAAAAAAGCATTTAAGCTTTAATTATTTTGCTACCTTATTTACCGTATTTACCCCATTATTCTCAGTCTGTTTGTTTTTTCCCCCTTGTGTCTGATAAACTGGGGAAGAAGAGTGAAACCTGAAGATAACTTTGAGGGTATTTTTATTTGTCTTTAGACTTCAATTCCTGCTTGGATTGAACTGCAAATGAACTAAAGCTAAAATATGGTTTAAAGTATTGTGGACAGATGATAGTTTTTGAATTATTTTTGACATGCCATTGTAGCACTCATGAAGTTGCAAACATTCATTAGGAAGTGATTACAAATCCTTGAAATAGGGGGAGACAGTATGAAGGTTGTGGCTGGGAAAAGGTCCGAGAGCCACATAGAAACGTGCCTTATGTGGCCCCCGGGCCGCACTTTCCCAGATCTGTCCTACACCCAGCAACGTGGAATATATTCTATAAAAATTCTATATCTCTTTCATGTTGTGTGTTCAGAAACTGGCACTGGGATGAGCCGTCCTGTGGCTACGAGGTGTGTGTGGTCATGTACCATCAGCCCTCCGCTCCCCCTGGTCTTGGAGGATTATACATGTTTCAGTGGAACGATGACAACTGTGAAACTAAGAACAATTTCATCTGTAAATACACTTCAGGTAAAACCAAAGAAGACTTATATTTAAAAACTAAATATTAACTGTGCCTGTGTTTTCTGTTCATGGATTCTTTTCTTCCACAGAGCAACCAGTGGACGTGTCCCCTGCTCCCAATGTCACACATTCCGGTAAGTTCTCTTTAGACAGAGAAGTATAAAGCATCGAACTCATTACTCATCATTAGGCAAATAATGTTTATTGTTTCAGATCCAAGTGGGCACAACGTTGGTCAAAGTACAGGTCTGTCTATCTCTCCTAAATATTTTAATTATTTCATTTTAAAACAACTGATACAATTGACAAGAACAATTTGTTTGCGGTTTTAGCCCTGAATCTGGTTTACATCATCATTCCCACCATCCCTTTGATACTGCTGTTCCTCACAGTGACGGGAGTTTGCTGTTTTAAAATGTTTGGCCGAAGGTAAGCCAGCTAATGTAAAATTGCATTGGTTTTATATAGCGCTTTTTTGGACACTCAATGACGCTTTACATATCATCATTCATTTACTCCATACACGGTGGTGATAAACTACTAATGTAAAATACATTCTTTAACTCATTACAGGTTGGGAAGTGGGATTTTCCTTGAAGATAGCAATGTTATTGCCTTGACATGTTTCGACGGTTTCACTTCAGCCTTCCTCAGAAGTAATTATCTGCTAAGATAGAAGTTATAGATTATTCAAATGTATGAAAAACGTTCTTGGTAATTGAGAATGTGTTCTAAATTGACCTACTTGTCAAATATTGAATAAATAGAAATATATATAATACTAGGGTTAAACAGAATGATCATTGTTCACTCCACATTATTAGTATTGTCTAAATAAAAGCAAACGCATCTCCGTTGAGCAGGGGAAATGCCTCGTCCAGAAAACCTTTAAATTGTTCCTAACTTTCAAACAAAAACACAATTTAACTATGTAATAAATTCCATCTTACACCTTTAAAACAATTTGGTTTCATCACTAGTTTCACATGCATGTTTTACAGGCCTGTATCACATTTTTTGCTCAGCTTTTTAAGACAGAACAGTGAAAGAGAAGATCACCCTCACTCAGCCCAAAGTGTCAACTACAGTATAAGACTTACAGGGCTCTTTCTACACAATATAATAATAACATGAAGACAGCATGAGTAAGAATCTTTCTTTTGGGACAAACTATATGTATTACATCAGTTGTTTTATAAGCCGCTACATTTTAAACCTCTGTGAACTTTGCGACATATAATATAAAAAATAATTATAATGCATTGGTTTTATATAGCAAGTTTTTGGACGCACATAGATGCTTCACTTGTCATTATTCAATCACGCATACACAGTGGTGATAAACTACTACTGTAGCCACAGCTGCCCTGGGGCAAACACTGTTAGAAGCGAGGCAAATATGTGCCATTGGCCCCTCCGACCACCACCAACCATTCACACTCATGCCAGACTCATTCTGGGCAATGTGGAGGTAGTGTTCCTACCCAAGATCATAATAAAATGTTGGCACTTTACAGCCTCAGCCGGCCCACTGTAGCACCTGGTGTTCCCAGAGGTCTCCCATCACAGAACTAACCAGGCCCTGCTTAGATTCAGATGTTTGATGGGATTTGGCTTTCACATACAGTAGAGGAACAGATTTGGACACAGCTTTATCAGCTGCTGATGACGTAGTACACATCCCTGCTTCAGTAGGGTTTATGTGAACAGCAGAAGTGCAGAGAAATAACATACGACAAAAGATGTGTTTTTATGTGATTAGGGCGATAGTCAGTTTAAGAACTTTTAGTTTGATTATCACGAGTCAACATTGTGTTAAATTATGTTTTTTCAGTAACATAAATTAACACTATGTTGATACTCGTAGATTGGCTTTGTTTTCATCAGCTGTTGGTTAAGTGTTACACTATACTGTACATGAAAACCTGCTGCCTAAATGTGGACAAAATGTACTTTTTTTTTTTCTTTTTTCAATGTGGCTGATGCAGTTTAAAGTGCACTTAGTGTCCAGCAAGAAAAAAAGTTAGGTACCCCGGCATTAAACTAAACTTTTTCAATTTCCTGATTTTTGGTTTACTTCTATCCATAGGAGGGCTCCACAGAAGTCTGAAGTGTGCCACACAGAGCCAGTCGTTTCTCCGAGTCCTGCATCAGGCGACGTCTATAACGTGATTCGCTTGCAGAAGGAGGATGACCTGGTCTCGACCCGTCCACACACAAAGAACACCTCTTTTCTGGGCTCGTCTCCGGACACTCCTACAGGCGACTACGACAACTTGGGAGGCCGGGACACTGAGAGTGGCTTTGTCACACTAACCAGTAACGAGAGCTGCTTTCTCAATTTTGACCTGAATGACCTTAACTTTAGGCAGCATGGCAGCTTCTATGACACCAGTTTGGGCCGTTCTGTCAAGAGGGACGTTTACGGGAACAGTCTGGGACGTCCTGCGGGGCACAGGGAGTTCTATGACAGGAGCTTGGGCAGACGCACAACCAAGAGTGAGCACTATAGCAGCAGTGTGCATCCAGTCCCCGATCTGTATGACACCAGTCTCTTTGACCCAAAACTCAGGCCTCCCATTGTGAAGGCCGACTTGTACCAGACATACATGAGCGATGGAAAAGGGGAGACTTTCCAGAGCAGCTTGGGCACATATGATCGCCGCAAATCCTACCAAGCACACGTGGACTACAGAAGTGGGCTGAATCTGGACAATGGGAGGAGATACTTGGACTGGATCAACAGAGAAAACTATTAAATCTAGCAAAAGGAAAAGTGGAAATAATATTCTAAAATCAAAGAAAAAAATCCTGCAAATATATTAGGGGCTTATCTTTATAGTGAGTGAGGTTAATAACAATGACACCTGCTAGTGATGGGTTTCCTGGTGTAATTTGGAAGGTGTGATATTTGTATGCAAACTGTCTATTTCAATTGACAAAAAAATAATTGGTTAAAAATAAATAGGAGGCGTGAACAACAAGATTGTGCCATTTCAAACCGTTTTCTGTGAAGTGATCTTAGTGCAAAAAATGTGGGCGTGTTCGATTTGTAATGTACTGCTATTTTTTAAACTGTTATTTAAAAGTCTGGTATGAAAAATATGTGTCAGCTACTAGACAAGAGAGCTGGGCAGTTTAAATACATGAGTATTTGACCAGACTGATCTGTTTGCATGGCCTTGGTATGCCGCCTTTGCTTGGTTGGATCATAGTGAGGTTTGTGACCTTTGTATACAGTATGTGCTCGTTTTCGAAATGTAGTTGTTGCCTCTAGTTACACCACACAATAAAGCATTACAAATGCCTTAATGATAATGTTAAATGTAAAATGTCTGATGTGCCTGCAGCCTGATCACCACACGAAATGACAAAGATCATAAAATGACCTTCATGTAAACTGTTAAATGCCTCAATATAACAAATGTGAAAGATATTTGTATGTTTGTTACAGAAACTATTCCAATAAAAGATTTACAACATTCTCAACAACCTCTATATTTCTCAGTTATCTTCTGAAATCCTTATTAGGCTTTTAAATTGTGTCCTGTAAGAGCTTGTATAAAACTATACATTAAAAAGAGGGGAATCTAACAATAATAAATGTATTTATTAATCTTTGTTATTTTAATTAATCTTTATAGGAATAAGGACACAATACGGCCCATAGTTAAAAGTAAATCTCCAATATACACACAGTGTATTGGATATATATATATATATATATATAAATAAATAAATATAAATAATAATTATATATTATTGTTAGATAAAATCAGATTAAAGACAGTTTTTTAACTTAAATTATTAAATTAAGTTTAATCTCAGATTTGGTCACTTGCCCACATACACTTAGCAAAAAGACACAATTTACAAATAAGTACAGCAACAAAAAAAGTTCAGATAAGGAATAAATGTACAACTTCAAGTTTGATTTCATAATTTCCTTGGATCAAATTTGTTCGGTGCCTGAAAACCAATCATTCACAAACATTCAGCACAATGAGATCACATGGAAAACATACAGGCCAAAGTTGAGTGTACTCTATGGTCTTAAAGGGTAAACTTGAGATGCCCATTCTCTCTCTCAACACAGGAGATGCCCATTCTCTCTCACACACACGCACAGGAGATGCCCATTCTCTCTCTCACACACACACACAGGAGATGCCCATTCTCTCTCTCACACACACACACAGGAGATGCCCATTCTCTCTCTCACACACACACACAGGAGATGCCCATTCTCTCTCTCAACACAGGAGATGCCCATTCTCTCTCACACACACGCACAGGAGATGCCCATTCTCTCTCTCACACACACACACAGGAGATGCCCATTCTCTCTCTCACACACACACACAGGAGATGCCCATTCTCTCTCTCACACACACACACAGGAGATGCCCATTCTCTCTCTCAACACAGGAGATGCCCATTCTCTCTCTCACACTCACAAGTTTTTTTATCCATGGCTCCGCTTACGACTCTGCTTTTGCCGCCGGGGTTTCAAAATAACGTAGCGTCTGTAGGTGGTGTGGTGATCTGATATGAAGGGAACGTAGAAGGCTCTAAAGATAGAAGATGACCTGGAAGAGAAAATGTGTTTTATATTGACCTGATCCATTGACAGGTGTGCAATTGTTCAGAATATATACTTTGATGCTTGAAGGAACTGTTTATATGCAATAATATTCCACTCGTCTTTTGAAGAGTAGCGTGGCTCAAGTGGTGTTTCTTCTTCTAAATCCAAGTCAACCAAGTAATGGCAGTGCCTTAAATCTACCTGCAAACGAGGCAATACAAGTATTCATGCATTAGTTGCTGGGAACATGAAACTCTGGGCTATTGCATATATATCATTCAAGAAATACCGCACATATCGGGATGGCTCTTCAAGGTTCTGGTCGTTCATATTGTCAGGGATCATCTGTGTTGAAAAAGGTCCAGGCGAGAATGGTTGAGGTAGCTGCCCCTTAAATTCTGACTGAATGAAGTGAAGCTGCCAACTGAAAGTTAGGAGGGAAGAGTTAATTATAGCAAAAGACCATTTGGAAGTCAGTATTTCCACATGAAATAGCAAAAGATAAGAGAACGGAGTAATAATATGGCAATCATTTTTCTTAAGTGGCAGTAGGAGTTTGATGATGTACTGAAAAACATATCGTGTGAGGTGATGGTTATGAGGGCTTTGGTGGTTTTGTTATCCAGTCAATGACATCCTAGTTTATGCGTTGGTCGACCAATTTCAAACATAAAACAGCATGTGGAGTAAATTATCTGAAGAATTTGGTGTTTATTTGAGCTTTAAAGTTGTTTGAATAATGTCTTAATAGACATAAATGAGGTAATCATTGTTTTCTGGTGCTTTAATAAATTGATCTGACGTGCCTTTAGTCGAATATTACCAAGAGAAGACTTACGCGTGGGGTAAGAGGAAGCTGCTGGGAAAGCGGTACCACTCTTTTCCCACACACACACTCACAGGCCGGCCTTCGGGAACAGAGTGCAGAGTGGGGTCTTTGGCGATGCGGTGAAACTCTGGATACAGATCTAGAGGAGCATGATAGGCTATGGAGCAAAAATAAGAGCTCAGTCGTGAATAACAGTTAGTGAGGGAAATCTAATTAAATGTCCACCTCTGAAGAGAGCCACGGATCTAGACAGAGAGAGCACCGCAAAAGCCATAACTGCACTTAAGGCCAGCCAGTTTGAAGAGACCGTATAATGCTCTAATCGATAGCGCTGAAACAGGAAGTGATAGCATTTCTGTCACAAAAAACAGATTGTTATTGATATCTGCATTGCATCAAATCAATTAAGATTAATCTTTTTTATGATATTAAAAACCTGGAGAGATGACAGGGCAACTGCTCCGCAGAGGCAGATGAGCGGGTAGATTGGGTAAAGAAAGCGTTCTTCTTTGTGAGGTCTGGTGAAGAAAACCAACATCCACAAATACATTGGGGACAGAGTCAGCCAGTATGGACGGCCCAGGTTTTGTACTGCGTGTCAAACAAATTCAAGTACATTTTGGGGATTAAAATAAATTTTATGTCAGATTGAAATTCATGCTTATAATTTCAGTATAACGCTGATTTAGTAAGTGTTACAAAAGACAGGAACCTCACCATTAAATCTGTGCAACAATGTTTCCATGAGGGCAGTAAGTGGCAGAGAAAACAGAGCCAGAGCAAACACCAAGTTAAAGTTCAGAAATCCATTTACGAAGTAGAAAGGCCATGGTTCCGTTCCTAAAGGCAAACACTGTCATTCTTAACATTTGTGTATTAAATTAACAATATACATAAGTGGCATAAATACAATGGTGAGTTTTTACCATACAGATCAGGTCCATGTGGTGTGAAGACGTTATACAACAAAATATTGAGAGGAGCAACAACCAGTTTGCCATAAAAGAATGAGTCTACAGCCATCAAAGGTACCTACAAGCAAAATGTAAAGTCTGAAAAGTAATATTTTATATGGCAGAGCAGACTAATAATAATTGATTTAGGATTAAATGGTTTTTTTGTGTGTGTGTCAATTCTAATGAGAAATGTTAAACTTTTGCGATGTCTTTGATAGAATACACTCTGAATATTCTTACCAAAAGTAGAAATAAGGCAACAAGTGTCCAGATAATAAAGCTCTTCCACTCTCTCCTGAGCACCAGTAAATCAAATGCAATTGGTAAACTATTGAATAAAAAGAATTGGATATGTTATTTAAATGTAATTGCTTTAAAAAAATAAATAACAAGACTGAAGATCTACCCAATGAGAGCAGAGAACGGCCATCCAACAATTGCACCAGCAGCAACACCCAAAACAGCCAGAGGAGTGGAATCCTGAAACCATCCAGTCATGGCCACCAGTGTTGTGTACATACAGAAGGAGGAAGGCAGAAAGGCTGAAATAACAACACTACAATGTAATTTCAATAGCAATGGTCAACGTACAACTTAAAGCTGCATTACCTCACTTTATTTTTGTATTCATTACAAAAAGTCAATCCATATCCATGCAATGCATTGGGATATACGTCCTTTTGAAAAAAAAAGTAGCACAGATTTGTGCTGGCGTGTCATTTTATTTTAGATCGAGTTTTCGTGAAACAAGGAAGAGAATGTGTTTCGGGTCCCGAATGTGACCAATCACAGCAGACCACTGGCCCCCACTTTCTTGAGAAAAGCTACGGGCCCCTCGTTAGCACAGACAGCTGAGGTAAACAAGCGGCGGAGGCTAACCTCAAACTTGCCGTGTCTTTGTTACCGGTTACTGCTTACACAGCGAAACAGTGATCCAAAAGAAAGTCATTCCTCCACGCTTCCCGGTTCTATTATTCTATGGTCACGCCATCCAGGTTCAAATGTGCGATCCATATTGTGAGACGCTAGCTCCGTAAACACCAAGCCCCGGCGATCCAAGATGGCGCCCTATTCAAATGAATGGTTGTGCTCAGTGGCGCTTTGTGACGGCATGGGGGCTGAAAGATTAGCGGAAGTTGCCTGAAACTCGCAAAGATCTATGGGAAACTCGCCTGTATTTGGGCATCGTCTGGTCCTCCCGGTTCTGCGCAGTGGATGATCTCCCATAATGCGTTGCGCCAAACACGCGTGTGTGGGTCTCATACCGGGTCTCACGCACGTGCACAGAGGGGCTCGGCCGCGCTCTGACCAATCAGAGCAGTTCATCAGAGCGGGAGTTAGAGCGAGAGCCAGAGGAGCAGAGTTTGTGGCACTAAAGTGTGGATTTAAAGAAAACCAAAGGATTTAAGAAGAAAAAAAGTTCAGGATGACAAGGGACACTAAAATCCCCACAAAATCCGATCTTTATTAAAGCTGTAGGTTCCCTGTCAGCTGAGGTTGAGCTGTTTTAATATGCATTGAGTTCTATGGGGAAAATTTCTGGGTAGCCCACGAGAATTTAGTCTAGTCTAGTCTGCAGTACCGCGAGAATCCCCCGAGCACATGGTTTATTCAGCTCCAAGCTAGTAATACCCTATCCAGTTAATATAATAGATCCATGGTAAGTAAGTTAGTAAGTAAGTAACTCACAAAGTGAGTTAGTGCAGCTTTAATATAAGGTAAGATATTATTTACTGTCACCTGAAATTGCAGTTAAAACATTTACGAGCCAATACTGAATTGAAAAAATCTGAAACATGATTAAAATATATACCTGCAGACGAGCAGAACATGCCGGTGCTCAAGACTAGGAAAGCCAACATCAGACGACCAACGTGTAAACCAAACTTCTTACAAACTGCTCTGAAAATACACAACAATCGTCATTAGGCATTTGTTAATATATTATAGCAAGAATTTATCTGATGTTTTGGGAAACGACCATTTTTTTGCCAACTCACTTGTAAAAATAGAGCTCACAGACACAGCATGAGAAAGCTAAGACACATCGTACAAAGTAGAATACCAACACCTGAAATAAAAGGCCACAAAGTTAAATTATATACAATTATTTACAGCATAATAGGACTTACTTTGTTTGTCTGCAGTATATGGGCATGCAAACAAGCTGGAAGCGCATGTAACCATAAATATGCGTATGATCTGATGGCATACAAAGGAGAATACTCCCATGTCTGCATCCCACTGCCATAGAGCAGGAAGTGCAACTGTCAAAGACAATCACAGATTTGCATTAGTATAAAGTAGATGTATGTGTTTGTAAAACAGTAACTCACAGGTTCCCAGTAATTGAATGTCTCATCGCAGTCAGAGATGTTGCTCAGTAATGCTGCGCAAAATCGTGCAGAGAGCAAACATTTGAAGGCTGTAGAGCCTTCTGGAGCCCAAACTTGTCCACCACGACTCACTGAACTAGAAAAGTAGAGACAAAAGTCAAGCCCATTACATTTCTATTTGATTCGTTATTTAAATTAAGTTTTTATGTGCGAACATTTGATATACAGGTGTCTAAATCGTAATGCTCACATTTACTGATACGAACTTTACTTACATAAATTATACTATGAAATATTAGCTCGGGTGGATGAGTCGTGTTGTTATAACTATAGGCAATCTATATACCTTTACTTTAGGTAGGGTTTAGCACATCAGATTAGTCAGATTAAAGTCGGATCATTTAAGACTCCGCAATAATCAGAATCCTAATTGTTATGCCATCTAATGTATATTAATTTTTGACTAAAACGTAATTTAAGGGGCGGGGGTCCTTGAAATGATTCATGCATTACACGGTCATACAATGCACTGGAAGAAGTCAATAAATATTTAACTATATATAGGCTTGTTGACAGTAAGGTGAATGAATGAGATTCATCCACACGCTCACAGCAGAAAGCCAAAACTTAAATTAATCTGCACATACACCATGGATATGGATGACATAGCACAACTCACATTTCAAATCTTGTGTTAATTTTATTGAATGTATTGAATAATGTTGACATGTGAAACGTGCACTAGCTAGCTTTAGCTTTGGACTGTCATGATGCGTTCAGTCCGTGTTAGCAGTTCATACGTACTCTTGACGTGCCGCCTCTGTACTTTTGCTCTCCTCAACTCCTTTTTCATCTTTGTGTTGCCGAGAATCAGCTTGGGCATGCACATTATTCGCGTCTTGCCTGCTTCCTCTCCGGGTGCGCTGCCGTAGCCATTTGGCAGCCATGTTTCTCGGCTCAGAGCCGAGCCACACTTCGGGAGTTTCCGTCATCTCCGATCAGTGACAGAGAGGCATCTGAGATTTGTGCAGACTGCAAAGGCCAATTTGAAAGAAGGTCAAAATCAAGACGAAACGCCAGCATCAATAGGACAACACAAGATCAACTGTTTTATTGAGTATGGCACATATCCATCTAGTACATCTCAGAACATGAATGACATTATGAAACCCCAAGAACTCCATTAAGGATGCTTTTAGATATGACATGATCCCAAGTTTGTCAACTTCGCCCATCAATTACAATATTACCCATGTACATTTCCTCCAAATGAACATAGAACCACTACCTCACAGTAACTTGCAGCCATGTTGACAGCAGCATTTCCAGTCGTTTATGAAAGGTCAATACCTGTGTATGAGAAAGTGCATGAGTGTGTGAATGATATACCAGCCTGTAGCAGAAACTGGTCTGGCTGAGATCTGGATGCGAAAATGTGTCAATGAGTTTGATTTGTTGGACGGTACCACAACTTGACTCTCTGACCGCAGAGTAAAACTTCCTCTCATCCCAACAAGGCCCAGTCCAAAAACTAATGTCAAACCTGAAATACTCTGGAAATAACGACAGGGGACAATAAAGTGTTCCTGGAGGGGTTTGTACAGAGAACTGCTTATAAAAACGAGGATCATGTGACCACAAAATTCTCCAGTCAGGGAGGGCATATAGGAGCACAGCAAGTAAATCCAGATTTATACTAATGCTGATATTGATACATCTATGGCTTTCACCCGTGTTAATGGCGAAGATTTTACCAACTAAACCCATTGGCTCAGCAACAATACAGTGGTAATCTTGTTCTGTCTTCAGTGAGACTCCATACGGACCCAGCAACTTTTCAAAATTCTCACTTACGATTTTGAGTGGATCAAGCTCTGAGGGGAGATCAGCGTTGAGAAGGAGTTCATGAAACACAGGAAGGGCCCATGTATTTATAGGCACATTTCTAAATACCACATCACTAATGCCCCATAATGACAGCACAGTTTCTTTAGGAGTAACAGCGTTTAGCTCTTCTTCATCAAATAATGTTTCTGAACTTTCACATTTTGGCTCTTCCTCACAGTCTGGGGTTATCAGTTTATGTTTAGTAATGAGATCTTCAAGTGGCAGCATCAGTGATGGCCGTAGAACGTAAAAATCAGCTTCCATTTCAGGATCAATGTCAAGTGATCGCAAATGTTTTAGTACCTCAGCTTCTTTATTTTTAAGCTGGTTCCCACCATTCCAATGGTTTTCTGTACAACTGTTGGATTGCAGGATTGTACACTTTTTGTCAACCAAGGGATTACTTTCAGGATCAGTGTCCCTTTGCAGCAACTGGATCAAATAGCATTGTGTGCGGTCTATTTTATGGCATGTCTGCACCTGCTTTCCACTGAGCAGAAAAGGGATGGTCTCAGTCATCATGGAGACACACCAATTCTTTGCCAGTCCCTCGAGAACAAAGTCTTGTGCAAGTTTTACAGGGTGAAATGAACCTGATTTGAGGAACCCCCTAGAAGTAAAGAGAATATGAGTTAGCACAATATATTGTATAGGGCTGAGGTTTTCCTAATTTAGAGAAGATTAAATACTGTAATACAGTATTTTAAAGGTGGACTTTGGGAGTTTAGTGTGGAAGGTTTGATCACCTGTTGAATGAAACACTATGGTTTTAGCCTATTTTAAACATTCAACCTAAAATGCAATTAGGTGAAATAAAATAATTAAAACATTGCCCTATCAGTTCAATAATTCTTTAAAAAACCTTTGGTCTAGTTTTGGTTCAATCCAAACGGAAGAATCCACAAACAAAAATCCACAAAAAAAAAATCCACAAAAAAAAAAAAAATAATCCACAAACAAATTCACAACTCTGATTTAAAAACAACTGATTTTTAAAACGTAATATTCCAAAGTTTTAACGTCTGCAGTTGAAGTTGAATGAACCCCCAGAGGGTTATAACCAATAACCCAGATTCTATTTCTTATAATCTATTGGAATTCAAAGCACCAACCTGAACACGTAATCACTCAGCTCTGCTGGCATTTGGTACTTGACTTCCTCCCCCTCAACAGTCTCTTCCACTGTCAGTGTATGAGGTGGTGTGAATGGAAGACTGCGAGTAAATCTATGCAGCAGAGCCTTTTCCACATGGAAGCCCTTATCTTGACTCCTGTAGACAAGTCAAGCCATCAGCATTGGATATGCAAATTAATGTCAACCACATAACACACTCACCTTTAATTCTTACCTGTATCCAGTGCATTTGTAGTTCTGATCATTTTCAAATGGCTGGACATCACTGAGGATGAGTTGAGCCTCTGCTGCCATGGCTACAACCTGCCAACTGTTGTGCCACTCCCGCTTGGGCTGGTCAGCCGGTGTACCTCCCTGCCCATTACACAAAGAGACATGGACCTCCCCATCTTCAGACAACACCTGAACACAACTAAAAAAGTGCAAACACAAACAATTAACTGTATGGCTGTGCTGTTCTTTGATGAATAGTACTGCAAATATATAATTATTATTAGCCAATAGAAAGTCAATGCGTTCTTATTTTGCAAGTATAAACAAAATGCATAACATTTTATCTTGGCCCATGGTTCACAATAAGTTACAATATAACCTTTTAATATTTCTGAAAACAGTAATATTGACTGGTAAGCCCATTTCAATGTCTGAAAAAAAATCACATGTACATCAGATTTACACCCATTCTACTAGGCAGGCTCATAATGCTGACTTGGCCATCGGTCCAGAATAAAATCATTGCAAAAGACTGTCATTTTCAGAGCAGCTAAACTTTGGAATGGGCTGCCTAGGGAGGTGATGGATCAATCTTCTTTGCATGTTTTTAAAAGAAAACTCAAATATAATGTGCAATGTATCATTGTATTGCATGGCTTCATGTCTGTCCCTCCTTGTCTACTTATGTTGACTTAGCATTTGAGCTATGCCTTTTTTAAAATAATGATAGCAATTAATTAATTTTGTATCGTTTTATTTTGTTTTTTATTTTGATGTTGCTTATTGAATTAGATATACATTAGGTACCTCAGGAAGAAGTTTTTCAGTAGTTCTCTGTTCTTTTTAACTCCACTCTTTCTACCACAGTGAGGAAAGTTAAAGATGACCAGGTCAAACAGATTCCCTTTGAGAGATTCGTGTTCTCCCAGTCGTGTGCAGTCAATATTGAAAAGCACTGTTCCACCTGCAAACGCAAAATGGTTAGTGATATTGCCCATTACTAGCAATTATGGGCCCAGTCAGAATTCTCATGATCCTTTTTCAAGTTTAAATAATTTTGTGCTATGTCTTCTAACATATTATATGACTGTAATGGTCATACCAGCCTCCCGGATAATCTGGACGTTAGTAGCGGATCCTTCGTGCCGCAGTGCCTCGTCCTCTTGCTGCAGGCAGGAGGCTGTAATGCTGGTGTCCGACCCGCTCAAGGACTGACACAGTGATGCTGAATAAGAGAAGTTACCCTCTCCTACAAATAGTATAGATCGTGAAGGCGACATGTTCAGAGCTGGTGATTTTATTCGTCAGGTGCCAATTTTAAAAAATCTAGTGGGAAAAAGTGTAAAAGAAAACATCAACAACGTAACGGGATGAGAGGAAGTCCGTGGGCATGAGATGACCACCTTCTTTTGGCCATCTTCATGCACGATAACTCCGCCTTTTCTACATATTAAAATAAATTATGCGAGTATGGAAAGCCTCGTTGTTGAAACCATAAAATAAAAAGCATGGACAGTGGTTGACCTTTCCTCCTCGTTGAAAAGCACCTGTGGTTAATATAATACATCCATGTGTGATAGCCAAACAGTGGTGTTGCTGATAAAGTATGCCGGCTGGAAACGAATCTGAATACAAACCGTTCCTGTGCAATGTGTTACAAATTGGACATTGGTTATTCACTCATGTTTATTGTTTTTAAATATTTGACCACACTATATATTTGTCTAAACTATTTTATACATGGTTTCTGTGTTACTCATTGAACAGTGATGCAGTCTCTGGGCTATGGTGATGCAGCTGCAGTGTATGAGTGTAACACAAAGCCATCACTGAACAGCTAACCGCAGCATCCCTGCATCCCACAACCCTTAATGACATGCTTTTTTATTTCAAAGGATCGACCGACATCCTATTTGACGCATGCTCTGTAATCTCTTCAGTAAATTTTGCTCAAGTTTTTTACAAGGAGGGTATGTAATCCAAACACTATCTGTCTCTAGTTGATGCTAAGGTCAAGTTAGCTCACAACATGCACCTGCTGCGGCGATTTAACGCTAAGTAAGTCATAATAAACCTAAATAATATTTGCCATTAGACCTTACGAGATGTATTTATATATTTTACAGTATACTTTCTGGGGGTTGCATGTTTGTTATTTCAGTCCATTTAAAACATCTAAAATGATTTAAACATACCTTTTGTTTTACAGCCATATAGTTGCGTAATTAGGCTTTACTTTTATTGTATAGGGCTGCACTAACAACTGCCACTGAAACGACAAACTTAATTGTTTTATTGTCTGGTCAAAATAATCATTGGATTATATAGCCCATTGCATTCTTCTTATGTGTTTCCCCAGGAAATACTCCACATGGGCAGTGTTCTGGCTCTGTCCTCTGCTTCAGGTCAAAGCTGGCCTTTCTCCACAGAGCCTGCTCCTTCTCGCTGGGATGCACACCCTGCACACTGGGACAGCCCTCCTCGCTGGGAAAGAAGAGATGGACGCCTACCCAACCCTGGCAGCTTCCACTCTTTGCACAGAAGCTGCAAAGGTTCACTCCCTTTATTATCATGTTATTTCATATTCGCTGATAACATAATCATATTTGAAAACCTCTCCTTATAGAAGTGTTTCCTCAACAAATTGAAGGAGTTAAGATGATACTTAATAAAACTTTGAGTAGTTTCTTCAAGGTATGAATGATGTTTTATGAACTATAATGATAGTTAGCATGGTTAACAGCGCAAATGTCAAATGTGTTGTAGGTTAGTCATACTCTTCATCTTAGTGCTGTTAGTCCTTCATATTACCGATTCCACGTGGAGCATTTGCAAACGGATGACAACAGCAAAGACAAGGTGAAAATATCATTGGAATGTGTAGAATACTTTTGTTTTAGCCATGTTTGTAATTGTACATTGGTTATTTTGGCCTTGTATCATACATCAAGGATGCACCAGCATTAATTGGTGAGATGGATTCTTCTGGGAGTCTAAATGCCCATGCTTTGTTGCATTTAACCGAACGTGTTAGAGCCAGGACAGTCTTTCAGGTGGGGCAAAAACTAAATTATTATCGTACTAAGTATATTTTGATATTTATATTTTGGTTGATTGCGTTCCAGACACAACAGTCCCAATTTGTAACATGGCAATTTGAAACAGAATACAGGGGAAATGACTTCACAGCTGCAGTGACAGTAGCAAATCCTGACATTGCCCGTGAGTCTGGTAAGACTTCACACTTTTACACATTGACAACTGACTAAATTAATACCTATCTGTATCTGTTTGAGTCCATACTACTTGTTTGTTCTTCATTCACAGTCATTCTTGTAGCACACTTTCTGCAGAGTGTTTCATCTGGTCTAGTTTTGGGAGGCGAGCTTGTTTACCATCGAGGTCGAACAGAGGAAGGTGGAATTCTGACTTTAGCTGGCCAATACTCCAGTGAGCTTTTGTTTTGGTATTAAGTCATGTATATTAGACATGTATTCATGCAGTGTGATACTTTCAGAGCCAAATTGGGTGGTGACATTAAATGTTGGAAAAGGAGGAGCTCATGCAAGCTACTATCACAAAGCTAACAAACAGGTGTGATTAAGACTTATGTAGAACACTATATTAACTGTATATAAAAGTACTAATTCCTGTTTGTATTTACTCCAGATTCAAGTTGGGGTGGAGTTTGAAGCAAGCACAAGAACTCAAGAAACCACGACCTCATTTGGATACAAGATGGAGCTCCCTGAGGCCAACATGGTCTTTCGTGGTAAAAAGAAATGTTGCTGGCTTTTTGAGCTCACTAAAAAATGATTAAAGAGAAATTATTGTGTTTCTTTGTCTAGGAATGGTGAACAGTAGATGCATCATTGGAGGTGTTTTAGAGAAGCGTCTTACACCACTTCCTGCCACGCTCATTATGGGGGCTTTTGTGAATCACAGAGGAGACAAGCTTCAAGTGGGTCTCGGTGTTAATGTCGGATGACTGTCACCATTTGTGAGAACTTTTTTTAAAAATGTTTTCATTGGAGAAACTATGACTTTTCTGTGGACAATTTCCAGTTTGGATTTGCAGCAAGTAGACATCTGAAACTGAGGATATTGTTCACAAACCTTTGACCATAAAGGATTTCTCAAAGTGGGGCCTGCAGGAGTCAGCAAAGCTATGTTCATATTCAGAAGACATATTTGTAAATAATTGGTTTTATTGTAAAACCATGTAGTTCTTGCTGGTCAGACAAGAAAACTAAATTAGCTTATTTATTAAAACTCTTTAACCTTTTTTAATACTGCACATATTTTGGTTCATCCATTTGTCCTGAATTTGGGAACCTCTGATACATATTCAATTATTTATGATATTATAAATTAATAATTGTTGATTCTATTACTATGACTGTATAATTTCAATGCTTAAAAGGTTCTTTTAATAAGACAAACAACATGTTTTTGTCTTATTAAAAGAACCTTTTAACAAATGAACTTTTTACTTTGTATAATTTTAATTCAAAGAATTTACTCTCGTAATAATGCGTACATTTTCTGACACATCTGATTATGTAAAAGATTGGTTTATTTTTGTGCAAATATTGGGATTTGTTTAACATACAGCGGTTTAGTATTGCAAAATATGTTAAAATATTCACATAATTACATAATTTTTGTAGAAGGTGCTAAAAATGTAAATATAGAAAATAGTTTAAACTATATGTACAATGTAAAATATATACTAAATATCTATATCAATACTGATAGCTCTGTACATTCACATTCAAAAATACATTAAATTATATTTAAATGAGCTCTGTAAACAAGTGTAATTAGTAAGCTCCATTTGTGGACTGTTCATGGCTCACAGTGTCTATGGGACGAGGCTATGGCCACTTCTTTAATGTCATTTCTCTTTGAATAATGATGAGAAAAATCCTTTTCCACCATCTCCCCTGAGTCTTAAAGATTTACTTCTCTGGAGTCCAGTAACAGGAGGTGATACAAGTTTATCTTGTTCCTTTTGCCTTTCCGCTTCTCTCTGCTGCACTTGCTGATTTATAACTAATCGCATGTCCTCCTGTAAAATTCAAAATTTATTAAGTTAACGTTATGTTTTGTTTTATCAATGTGGTCAAGGCCACTATAGTCCACGCACCTGCCAGGCCTCCAGCTCTTGAGACAGTGCCACCTTGTGTTTGATAGTGTTGAGTAGCTGGTTGGTGAGTGACTCCTTCTCCTGCCGCACTGTGACTAATTCGTTCTCTAAAGAGCTACACAGACGCAACAGAGCATACTGAGTTCAGACAAACAACAATACAAAACTCAGATATACAGTATGCAATATAATACCTGTAGCTTGGCTTTCCTGGGCTGCATTTGAATGGCTCTATTTCCTGCTGTAATGACGTCAGCTCTTCTTGTTTAGCATGAAGCTGTAAATACAAAAGAACAGTGATGAAAATGCCTAAAACATGCAGCAGATATTATTATCAATGAACGTTATACAATCCAAAGGATTTAATTTACCTCTTCTTTTAGTGACTGTATTTCTAGATCTCTTGTTTGCAAGATTTCTGAGTGAGCTAAAAGAACTTCTTTAGCCTACACAAAAAGCACACATTAGAATTACTTAAACATTTCCTTCTTAACACTTCACATATTTACACAAATCAAGAAAAATATCAGGCAAGTTTGTAAGGTATAGAGGTCATGACATCCCATATAGTTAGTAGAAAAAGCATTAGTATGGGTTAAAACAGTAAAGTAGGTGCTAACCTCATGATGTGCATACATTTCAAAGTCTTAAGAAAAGCATGTATAGTTGCACATCTTGAAGCTACTCTTGTGTTACTCATGAAGCAATTAAAAACATGTGCATACTGTGATCCTATAGTTATTACTTGCACAGTAGCTTACTTTCATCTGACAACAAACTAACCCTGTAGGCAGATGTCATTGAGTGTCATGTGTCGCCTGGACATTTAAAATGTTGGCCTTGGTTGTACAGTATGTGTGATTTTGTGAATACCTGCGACTGTTGAATCTCACTAAGCAAAGACAAAGGCTGTAAGTGTGTGTTGTCCAGGACACTCTCTTCTCCCAGGCTCAGAGCCTTTTGCTGCAGTGAATGGTTCATTGTACGCAAGTCAAAGATCAATCCCTGCTCCTGCTCTATCTACACACAACAAGTAGACATAGACAGAGGCAGAAGTCTGATTAGAAGCCATTGTTAATATATCATTATATTAATTAAACTGGGTGCATCCCAAACAGCAATACATATTTTCTGTTTGAAAAATATATATTTTGTCTGAAGTGGAGAGGAACTCACCTCGGCCTCTCGCTCTGTCAGTTTCACCTGCAGGTCAGATACTTTTTCTCTTAATGCCTCTCTCTCCACCCGAAGTCTGTCTGTGTCCTCCTCCGATGCTTTGAGCTGCTTCTCCATGTGGAACAGACGCTCCGATAAAACCCTGTTCTGTTGGAGGTAAATATGAATGAAAGTGCACAATAACCTTATCATATTGTATACCCTTTGTCTGTTTTATTGAATAAACATCAAGGAATTTATTTTCAATGGATGTGAGGTTGAAAAATGGGAAAAAATGATTTTTAAGTCAAAAAGCTATTCAGTTCAACAGTCCTCCAACATAGGACTATTGGCCTGCATTTAAGCCTTACAAAATATGTGAAATGGTGGCCAGTGGATACAGAAAGATTAGGGACTAATTTAAAGTTACTTTACATGCATGGTCACGTTGCCTTTGAAGTATAAATTACTATTATAGTTGATTTAGAAGTTGCTGTCGTTGTTCATTCGATGTTCAGTATAATAACATATATTAAATCCACTGTTGTATTGCGACCAAAAGAGGATCGGCCTGAAGCAACTTGGTAATGTAAGCCCATCCCATGCCAAAGTAATTATAAAAGTATGTGGTCCCCATTATAATGCATACCTCTGCTTGGATGTTTTCTAACTGTGTGAAACTTATATTTCGACTAAAGGAGGATTCATCCATCTCCTCTCTCAAAGATCGAAGTTCGGTCCTTAAGGAGTGCTCTAGCGTCACGGCCTGGAGACAAGTGGGAGAGGCAAAAGGTGAGAAGAGCTATTGTTTGATCCGTGACTAAACTGGGACACCCCAAACCTGCCTGTCAACATTGTTACTGTCTGTTTGACAGTGTGACGTAATCCAACGCACCAACACACACATATACATGTACACATGGGTTGTCAAAAGCATTGAAAATCAGATACACTCACAGAAACATTTAACCCCAACTTTTCAGATAAAGTTAACAAAATTAACCTTATTTGATTTGTATAATAATATAATTTGCGTAATAAAGCTTATACTTTTCATTTATACAACAGGTGAGGATTAGCAGAGGTGAAGTTTGAACAAAGTCGTTTTTTTATGGAAATATGAATACAACACAAATGTTGCCATATTGCCTTGTTTTCTCACGTTCCCCCCAAGTCCCAGTAATTGGAATTCTTTGATTTGAATACATTGTTGAATCAAAGGTTGTGTGAGTGTTCTTATGCATACAATCTGTTTCATTTTTAATTATTTTGTTCTTTCTATTTTTGTTTACTAAATTGTGTAAATTAAACAAATACACTGGTAAAAAATGAATAAACCTAAGAATCATGCATTTCAAATGAACAAGCCTTATTACACAAATGGATACGAACAAAATAAGATTTATTTCCCCCCAAAAAATTCAGGGGTTTTGATAATTATATATGGATTGTTTTCATTTAAAATGCATCAACAATAGTGGCCAAAAGATTTAGATTTTTAGCTGATTTCTTTGATAATTTATTAAAGGAATAAAGTATTGATACTAAATACAATTTCATAAACATTCATTTTTTAGAATTTGTTTAAAAACCTTGTGACCATAAAACAATATTATATTGTATATTATGATTATTACAGTCTAATTTAGTATTTATCAATAATTACCATGCTATTGACACTATTCACTTTTTTTTGGTGTTGAAATTTACTTTGAAATGTGATATCAGAGAACACTAAACACACACATAATTTCCCAACAGAATGCATCATCATTATTATTATTATTGTCTGGAATAAGAAAACAACTGCTTACCTCTGCTAATTGTTCCACCAAGCGCTGGTTGTGATTGGCCAACTGAGTCAGCTGTTCACTCTCGTCTCGCCGCCGGTCACGTCCGTTGCTCTGGAAGCGCTCCAGATCTGCTTTTAAAGAAGCCATATCTGTGGTAAGCTCTGCCTCTTTCTGACTTGAGGTTAATTCATTCATCTCAAACTTTCTTTGGAGGACATGCTTTTCCTGCTGCAAAGCCTGGAAAATATAAGTTTTGCACGTGTGTAATTAGTAATGCTCCTGTCCCTGTCGTACCAAATGCAGAGGACACACTTTGTTCAATAATATTTGTGTCCTTTTCACATTCTATTTAGTTTTGTTTGAAATATGCCAAATATGTTTTATGCAATGTCACACAGCCAGCTATAACATCTGGCTTACTAAATACACACTAAACAAATTATTATCTATGATCTACTAATTATGTATTGATTTAATTTATGGTCTGGTATTACAGTTGCCTCAGAAACCATTTGAGTTAATACCTTCACTGTGAGATTCACTTTTTTTGTTTGAGCTGATATTCCAACACATGATTTGTTGTTGTTATTAGGATAATCCTTTAGACGCAAGTTTTAATGAGAAATTTAATTTAAAACACACAAAAAGTAGAACCCTGTAAGAAACAGATGAAATAATAATCTAGAGAGTAGTTTGTAGAAGCCAGGCCACTGTAAATAAAGTGCCCTGGTTTCAGAAGCTCTTTTAGCATTTCTTCTACTTTGCCGCCTAAAGGGCAACGCTACTCAGTTAGTCTGCCTCCAGCAAAGTCATAGGGCTGGCAATATTCTTCTTTATTTATGTTTGAAAAGTCACACTCACCTCGATTTCTTTCTCCCTTTGCTCCAGAGCTGCAGATAACTCTTCGTTCTTCTCCAGAAGCGCTTGTCCCAACTCTGCTGCCAGTATCAGGTCAGTCTCTATTCCTGCCCCACTGTCCAAGCTGCCATTTGGGGACGAAGAAGGCAACGCAAAAGATAGAGATATGGAGGAGGATGTGGACAGTGGGAAAAACGAGTCCTCCAAACTCGGAGAGGGAAGGCTATTCTTCCTGGGTGTAAACATCTTGTGGATCACTAAGTAGGTACAATGAGTCACTTATACTGGAATCATGCTACTCCTGAGCGATGGTTGAGTTTGTTGGAATCCATGTGGTTAATCCAAATTCACAAGTGACTCTGTAAGGGCAAAAAAACAGCTATAGTTTTACATAGGCAATTCCAATGCGTCACAGTGCTTGTTTTCTAGAAATCTAATCCACATCTCTTTAAGAAGTGCTTTTGTTAGTTTGGAGCTTTTGTTGCTCTGACCGAAATACCAACACCACTCTTCGTTGCGTCCTACCCCCACATGACAAATTCCAGAAGCCATTGTGCTCCCAATTTTTCTATTAATGCCATCAAAACCCCCTAATTGGTTCAGTGTCCGTCTCTATAGTAACCACTCATTAAGAAAGACAAAACAGTTCAAAATTGCTAGCAAAAAAGAAGCTAACAAGACAGGAAAAACAGCAATTTATCCAGCCTGTTTCTGCTCCTCATTGCCTAAACTATTCTTTGTAATAAAATAAAATAAAATATGGATTCTTTGATAAGTTGTGGAAAATGTGGCAATCATTATTTGACTCGCTGACATTTAAAAAACAAACAAACTAAATCTTAGGATAAAAGGATAAAACCATACCTTACCACACCAGTCATTCGTAACAAGTTGTTGCTTCCTGTTTGGTCACTGTGTGTGTGTGTGTGTGTGTGTGTGTGTGCGTCTGTGGGTGTGTTTGCTCAAGGGAGGCTTAGCTGGTTTCCTTGACGGTAGAAATACATACACCTAGATAACTCCGCCCTTACAGACCATAAGGTGTAATAAAAGAGATGCAGAGACAGGGAACATGGCCCAGGGTGTAGGGCTGGGACTTTTACTGGCTGGATAATGCAAGCAAAATTAGTTATGGCCAAATGTTTGTGATGAAGCTGCATTTTAAGTAACAAGTCAGTCCCTCCTCCTTATTCCATGTAACTGTTTACCTGCTTGAGTTGAATGAGGCTCTGTAGAGAGAAGGGGGTAGGGTGTGTAAAGACTCTCTCTAACTGGGCAAATAGAGCAGAGGGTTTGAGAAGCACTCTTCTGCAAGATCACTATCAAATCCAGATCAGGGTCTACTTTTACAAACACCACAATGTACTACAAACTCTTGTTCAGGCTGTCACTTTGGCTTCTGTTGTCACTGCCATCTGAAGCTGGAAGAGAAATGCCTAAACTTTCGGACAAGAAACTGTGTGCTGATGGAGAATGCAGTCGTGAGTCTCTTTTCCTCTTAATGTGAAATATTTAGTACTGAGCAATTTGTCTTGGAACATTGGAATGGAGGTTATCTGAGGTCCCCATTTGCCTGTGGCATTGAATGAAAACATTGACCAAGCTGTGTTTAACTTCTTTAGTGTGCTCAATCTAATGATCTCAATCTTTTCCACAGATCCTATTCTGATAGCCCGAGCACTTCAGGATTACTACCCTGGGGATTGCAGATTCATCCCGATCAGACAAGGCCAGCTTGTTTATGTATATGCCATGCTGAAAGACAGAGGAAACCTTTTCTGGGCTGGGAGTGTAAGTATTTTATATCAAGTAATATGGATCCCTTTTTGAAAGGAGATTTCTATCTCAATATCTATTAAAAAAAACAGTAACTAATAAATATCAAATTTAAAAATTACTTTTTGAAGGTGCAAGATTCCTATTATGGCCAGCAGGAGGCGCGCATTGGCCATTTTCCCAGCAGTGTGGTGGAGGAAACTCATGCCCTGATGCCAGCCACAACTGAGGTCAAGACTACAGTGAGTTGTTGACCTATATATGTCTGTGATGCTAAAACAATTTATTTAATAGAATGTGTTTATTTATCCAGAAATGGGACTTCTACTGTTACTGAGCTTGGGAAGGAATTTGTGAACATCTTGTTGGACATTCATAAACAAACACAATGTATATCCATAATTATTGCATTTTAGAAAATGTATACGTAATATGTAACTTCATTTCATTTTTAACATTTTAATAAAACAAACCCCTTGCAATACGACTCATTTTGTTTTCATGAAAAGCCTCTTGGCTCTTTCTTCTCGTCACATGTTTTGACATCATAGCAGGACATTCTTTTTTGTTCATTCATCATCCTTTGCATTATCTGTATCTGATTTTGAAACAAACAAATGCATCTCAGAAAAAATCTTTTGAATCAAGTAGGCCTATTAGTTGGGGCACCTTACTTGTTCCTTGCACTCACAAAATAGGCATATCATTAGCCATTTTTGCCTCTAACATACTTTTAGAAAATGGCTTACTTTGTTAAATGCACAAATGATACAAGGTGAACCGCCCCTACTGTTCCAGAATGAGAGTCATATCTAATATGTTCTTAAACCTGGTCTAGTTTTTCATAAAATGAAATGGGGAATATTGCGCACAGTACCGATGGCAGTACGAGGAGCAGTGACAGTCACACCCCATCAGAGGACAGGGTGGAATTGATATCCGCTCTGCTCACTCCTGCTGCATATACTTTCATTGGAACTGTTTGGAGACACACACTACTTAAGACAGAAATTGTGCAATTATAATTGCATAATTGTATGATTATAAAAGTGCTGTATTGTCAAATCAATTTTCAAATACTGTCTCCAATACCCCGTCTCTGCTTGTGTATGCCGGCACTGCAGTGTGGTTTATTTTTCGATGATGTCCAAGGACAGCTCATCAGGGAAGTCCACATCCAGGTAAATGAACAGGCAGCTGTATCTGTTTTTGAAGACAATTAGTTAAAACACAATAACTTAAAATGATAACTCTTGTCATTGTGTTTTATAATGTCAAAATCCTTTGTTGGTTCTTGTTTGTAAGTCATGTCAAAAACCAAATTGGCAGAAAGAATTAGGGACAATGGGCTATAAAAACCTTTATGTCACCACTATTACAAGGTCTTATTGAATAAATTTGCCTCATTGTATGCTTGTTCAGGCCAGTCCATGATCGAGGGTAAGTTCCAGGTGAATGAGCAGGTGAAATGCTACTTGTGGCCTGTCTCACTGGGGCTCTCCCTGAGAGGTTCAAGAACAGGTGGGGGAAAGCTCCCTTCACAGGGTACTGTATGGGAATATTCATGATGAGGGGCTAACTATATGTGTTGTTAGTGTAATACAAGCTGTCAGTCTTCATCTGCCTAGTCCTTAATGTATAGTAAGTTTAATTCAAGCCAAACTCTTTTCTGCGGCATAAAGGGTCCTTGTCGACAGGCTGATCTGGTTGGAACCATGATGTCAACTGTTTATTCCTCGAATCCCTCTCAATGAGTTGGTGACAAGGAAATGATATCATAATTTGATTTGTCTGCACAGATATTGTCTATGAAAACCTGCCAGATCTTTTTTTTTTGTCTGCCCATCGCTTGTGCCAAGGGGTTTTCACAGGCGAACAAAGTGTACATGAGCTTGAATGGGAACTGCTGAGTTTGTGTGTGGCAGAATTACGGGACTTTTGAGCTCATACAGGAAAGAGATGTAGGTCTACTGACAGAGAAATGTTCAGGTTAGTAGTGGTTTTGAACTCTTAACCGAGTGCTAAAACATAAACATTGCAACTATCTCTATTCAAACCATAGGCTGTACATTCAAAGGTAATAAATTACATATTTAGCTTAAAAAAAGATTGTTGTTTCTTTTGTTTGACTTGTTGCCATGGTTACTGTAACGTTAACACGCTGCGAGCCGTAAGCACGCACACTGGACGCTACAAAATGTTGTGACCCTGTAGACGAAAGTATGGACTTATTACCGGCCTCGTATTACGGGAAACTTGATCAAAGAAACCCGGTGATCATTGCGTTTTTGAAAGAGATAAACTCGTTCATTGCGGTTATGAGGAAAATCTCCTCTTCACCCACACGACAGAACAACAACGATTTCGTGAAAGGGTAATGTTGTTAGCTTGTTGGCATTTAATGATTACACAAATGTGTTTCATGGCAAGCTAGCCTACGTGAATAACGTAGACCATAACAATAACATAAACTGTTGAGTATGTGCATGCGCAGAAGAGTTTGCACGTTTTTTCAATAATATAAAAATAGAAAGTTATGGTACGATCAGTGCACAAAATTTTACTTTTACAAGATTCTTTAATTTGGGACAAGCTACATATATTATTTATTCATATTTTTATTATTATTATTATCATTATTATATATTATTTATTAATAATGCGGTGTGGTTCACTGTAGTGTGCAATGCCAACGTGTCTTAAAGCTATCTAGATTCTCATCTTCTGAGTTTTCAATGTCTTTTGTATAGAAATAAAATATTAGGGGAAGTGTGGAAGAAGTACAAAAGCAGATTACCTCATTGGTTCTATGAAGAGCACATATTGCAGGTGGCAGATGTACTTTTGGAATTAAAGGTAAGTGTTGATACTGTATCAGGTATAATAGCTAAATTTCTATTGGGTGAATGAATAAGTAACATTTTCTCAATGCTTTTTTGTGAAGTTTTCTGACATGGCCTTGTGGTATGGATACAAGCCACATTTACAGCAATACACATCATTGGATATTGTTGACATTGAAGACATAGACCACTTCAAAGCTTTGTTTTGCCCTAAAGGCTTAGACACAGATCAAGACAGTCTTCTCATGATGGTACAGTGACAGTCTGATGTGATGGTCTTTATGTCATGATGTAATAACCTTGTTTTTCGACACAGATCCGGGCACTGAATGGTTGTGCCATGTGCACTTTTGAGCAGGTGAAGGCTCACCGTATTCTCAGTGCTGACAATCTCTATAAACTTCTCTCTGTGCTGGATACACTTCAAATCATTATGCAAGTTTTTCAGCATCACAATAGCCTGTGCTGGCAAATTCATAATGGTATACTTTTCTAGTAAAAAAGAAAAATTACCTTTGGTTTACTTCTGGTCACATCATGTTTGTTTTGCAGCCTCAGTTCTCATCTACAACATCTGCCGCTATCTTATGACACAGAATTACAGTGCACAGGTCATTGTAAACTACTTCTATTATTGATTTTCATATTTTGGTTTCAGTTATGCTCACAATTATTGATGCATAAGTCAATAAATAAAATGCCTGCACACTCTGTTTAGGTTTTGGAATATCTATTGTGGGCGAGTTTTGCTATAGAGCTGTCTGTTCCACTGATGACAAGTAAAAAAGTGTCATGGCTTGTCACTCTTTACTGTGCTGTGTGCCAATGTTATTACGACAGTGACGCCGCTGTGCAAGGAGAGGTATATCTTAAAATAACAATGGATCAAATATTTTTATGCACAGAAGGGCCAAAGCATTGTTTTGTCTTTACCTCCTCTTAGATATTTGCTAGAAGAGCCCTTGTCAAAATCTATGAACTTAAAAACATAGAAGAACAATGTGAATTTCCTGTCTCCAACGAGAACAGACGGAGCTACAAAGAAGCCTCCATCAAGGCACCCTTTAACTGCAAACATTATATAAAACATTTTATCAAACGATCAAACGATCGATTTTATCAAACTAATTTTCATTCATCCATTTCAGTTGGCTACAATGATTTTTAAACGAGCTGTTTTTGAAGCAGGGAAAACAAATCAATTCAAAACAAAAAGAAATGTATCTGATATGCTTAAGGTAACTACAATAATTGCTCATATACAGTACATGCTAAACAATCATGAAAACATTACTAAGCCAAAATCTTTTTTTGCAATTAATATAGGCACCATGGCCACGTAACCCAACAGAACAGATTCTATCCAGCCTGTTTGAAGGAGGAGCAGCTCAGTTTTTGGGGGTCCTAGAGGCTCTGAGAGACAGCAGCAGACTGGTCTCATCAACTGGAGCATCAGAGGTGGTCCAAGAGCTTCTCGCTGCTGGCATCAGTCTTTTGTCAAGTAGGAAAAAAACACATGTATTTATATATTTATTTATTATAACATGATGCTCACGAGGAGTAGGAGGGAGTTTAAAACCTATGGAGTCCTACCCATAGGTATATGTATGTACCATGTATATTTACATGGTACATACATATACACATACAAAGCATACATGTGTGTAAAACAGTTAAAGGTTAAACCAGTTTTTTGTTTGTTTACCAGAGAGCGATGAAGAGAATGAAGGACAGTCCCCAGCATCTCTCCGTGCAGTCACATCATCATGTTCACTGCTAGAATTATCTGTTGCAGGTTTGTTCGAATAATTCCAGATGCAATCATCTCAGTTTAAGCTATTGATTTGTGTGTAATCAGGAGAAAACAAGATATCATTTGAGGCTGCAGTGGAGTTCATTAAACTCTTGTATCACAACAAACAACCAGATGCTTTTTCTGAGCATTCAAGAGAAATGCTTCAGCTTTTGTCGGTAAGAGTCATGTGTTCTTTTCTTCTAATTAATTATGTTGTATAACTGTGTCTCTTTTGGTTTAGTGTTTCAAAGGACAGGCATCAGATAAAGCAGAGCTGGAGTTGTCCTTGCTTTATTATTACAGTTGTGTGCAAAAAGGTATAATACATTGGAAGACAGTGAAACATTTTCCACTACATTGTATCTTTTTAATTCTATTTTTACCAACAGAGAAACAGAAGACAGTATTGTCTGTAAGTGATGAGCTAAATAAACTTATGAAAACACTTCACAAGTATGTTCATAACACTGTAAGTATTGTCTAATTACTGTACTCTGACATGATTTATTTTACTACACTGTTAAACTCTAAGTATATTGCACAGGATTCAGAGCTGGACAGTGATCTTGTCATGTCTGTAATCCTGTTTGTTTGGGAAAAAGTTATGTCTGTGATAGAAAGGAGACCACGGCATCTCATCGATTTCAAGAAATTTGATGAGGTCTTTTATTTTCTTAGTTTTTAGAAACATTGCAAGATTCTAATTTGAACTAAACATTTGCAGTGGGAGTGGTGTCTCGCAGTGCTATGCGATGTCGCCTTTGCCTTTGAGCCCTGCACTTCTCATTATTGTATCATGACTGGAGAGATGACACTGACATTGTGTTTGCTGCTTGAGAGTGCCAGTAAACACACTCGACAAAAAACATTGTCTTGTAAGTCAATAAATACTTAGAGAGAAAAAAAAAAAATTGGAATGATGTATTGATGTTTTTTTGTTTTTGTTTTTTAACCAGGTGTAAATTTTACAGAAGGAGATGTTGGCATAGAAAGCTCTTTTACCCTTAGCCAGGTAAAATGCCAGAAGCCTGTAAAAAAAATTGTGTTCATTGGAAACTGAGTTGTGGCGTTTGTGTTTGTTACAGAGTTCGAGTACTCAACTACATAAAAAAATATGTGCAGTTGTAACAAAGTGTTTAGAAGCTTTTTCCAAGGCAATGGGTGCAATGCTTCCTCAAGATGGATCAGCACTTGTTGACAATGCTTATATGCAGGTGATTGAATTCATCACATCATCATGTTTATACAGCCTTAGACAGCAGTATTGCCTTATTGAGATTGAACAATTTATATTTTGTGATTCCATCTGAATGTGAAAGCCTGATGATGTCAGACCTCAGAATCTAAACAGATCAGGGCCTGATAGTTCTGTGATGGAAGACCGCTGCAAAGTGCCGAACTTCAAGACCCTAAGACACTAATTCTGACCATTACCTCTCTTTCTCTGTCTCTTTTTCTCTCTGTTTATATATATTTTGTTTCATAACGACTAACTATATTAGTTAAATGTAACAATGTGTTATTTAGAGTGTGATTTGTTTTACTTATGATATAAAAGAACACAATGTTTCTTTTTTGTTAGAAATATGGAATGCTTTCACCCTCTTCATTGTCTGAAGAAAGACGCAACCAAGACATCTTCCCAGATGTTTTGGCTTTCAATAACACTTGGAACAGAGACGACTTCCTGCTGGTTGTGGATCTTCACCTTTACCTAAATGCCATTTATTATAAATCCTTTCTCAGTTTGATGGAGGAAAACGCAGGTCAGAAGACACTTTCTAATGCTGGTTCTTTTCACAATTATATTGTATGTATTGATGAATAAGTGAATATTATTTTCAGCTGCAGAGTCTGAGATTCTTCACCAGATTAAGAAAAACAAGATATTAAAAGCTGTTTATCTGATGCAAAAAGCTTTAAGGGAATACAAGATGGATCCAGTTTCCACCAACATCAAGAATCATCTAGAGGTTGTTAAAAAAGATCATAAAACATTTACATCATGCTGACTGTGAATGTCTTCATAAGGTGTCGACTGAACTGATAAGGAGAGCAGGATTTGAAGAGAGAAAGCTTTACACGTCGACTGGCACACTAAGTCAGTGTGCATCGTCAAAAGACAGAGATGAAAAAGACTGTCCTCCACCTCCACCTGTTCTAACCGCTCGCTCAGACTGTTCTTTCAGCTTTGTTCCCGCACCTTACCATCCAAAACAAAAAGTAAGACTTTTTGTGATTTAAATAAACCAATTTCTTTTCACATGCTACATCTCTTTGTCACAGGTTTGCTGGTACCAACTTTTGGGCCATGTCTCAGAGGGCCCTACTAGCAGCAATGTCAGACTTGGAGACGTCAATTTAGTGGGAACAGGCAGATTGGTAAAATCAATACACAATGTCTCTTGTCGTGTGCACTTGGATTAGGGAACTTTGTTTCCCCCCCCAGATTCCTGCTGAATCTGGCAGATGTGTGCTGAAGGTGGAGGGTTTAGATCCAAACCAGAAATATGTTTTTGCTGTTGCAGCCTACAACAGCCAAGGTGGCCTGGTAAGCAACAGCATTGGAGAGACAACTATTCCACTATTGGCATCCCCTCCACTGCCCCTGCTCACCTCCTGGGCTTATCTCGCACAGGTAAGCCTACAAGCATCTAAATCAGTTTGACAGTAAATTCTCAAGAAAATACCTAATTATTGTTGTATGATTGAAATTCTTCAGGTCGCATTTAAAACCAAACAGTATGATGCAGCCAAGAGAGCGTGCCAAATACTGTGGAGCCACTTCATTAACTCTGAATCTAGAGCAAACAATATGCAGTATGAACTTGTCATTCCCAGCTGGAAAACAACAGTGCTGCATCATTCGTCCTTTATCCTGCGCCAGTCATGTTTCGCCTCCATTTTCATTGAAACAGACATTAATACACAGCGTCTCTTGTCAAATCTTAGTCACCGTGCCATGTTCATCTGGGAACAGGTAACCTCTGCACACGTTCTCTTTGTATTCTAAATTTCATAGGACGATCTGGTGTATATTGTGCATTTCTTTGTGTAGATTGACAGACTGGAAAACTGTGAACAAATGTTGCTGGCTATAGACTTAATGCCTTGGCTAATTGAGCAGAGTGATGCATTACAAGCTGTCGTGGTTTGTTATGCTCTTGTGAACCCTCTCATCTACCATCAGATCTCATGTCAACCTCTGATACAGGTGGGGAATTCTCTGTACAATATATTAGTGTTATTTGATGTTTTCATTTTGACAATTTGCCAGGTCTTAACTAAATGCCTTGAAGTACTCGAGGAGAACCTTCCTCAGCTCAAACACAAGTGGACTGGAAGGGCGTCTGAACCACTCATGCACAGAATAGCCTGCATCACATACTATCTCTATAAGGTTTGAGTGACATCAACATCTACTACTACTGAATATGTTAAAAACAAACACAAATCTAACAAAACTTGAACTATTTTGAACTATTTATTCAAAAATAGACATTTCATAATCTTAATGAGGACACAAAAGCTGCACAATTGATGGACTGCGGCGTCAATCTTCTCCAAGAGATCTATGATGCCCAAAGTAAACGGATCAAGACAACAGTTGTAATGGTAAATTCAGTTTGTGGAATCATTTCTCAGCTCAATCTGAAAGTCAACATGACGTGTTATAGGTGAAGAAGGCAAACTCAACACTGAAGAGTGAGAAGAAAGTTAATCCCCAGTTAAAGGCTTTACTTGTCACAATCAACGGTATAACTCCGCACATGCATAGTGTTTTTGACAACTTAATGATAAGTACAATGTCTTTCCAGAGAATGCAAACACAATTTCTTTTCATGAAGATCATGGTAAAATATATGATTTTTTATCCAGCACCTCAATAAAACGTGCCTTTCAAGAAGGTAAGTTCCCTTTCACTGTAAATTTTAAGAGATCCTTTATTCGTCCCACAGCGGGGAAATATGTGTATTATAATTTATCTACTTATGATCTTTGTATGTTCTGCTTTTCCATCAGTGATGAAGTTAGAACAAAGAACCCTCTTCATTGAATCTTCCACACTGTTACTGCAGAGGGCGCTAGAAGAAGGAGAAACAGCCCTGGTGATTGAGTGGGGCGAAAACTTTGCAGAGTTGATAAGGTGCTTTGTTTTTCTCCTGAGCCAGTAATGCCCGATTTACAAAACATGTTTTAATATTTACTGTATTGTTATTTAATGTTGCTGTCCACAGTAAGAAGTGGACTCAAAACAACATGAAACACTTTAAGAAGCAGATGATGTTCGGAAATATGTTTTGTGAGGAGAGCGTGTGGAGGACCAACCTTAACTACATTGTAGCTCAGGCACATCTCGCCCTGTTCTATGAGTCACTTAAGCAGCTCCAGGAAGAGCCTCCTCTGCACAGGTTTTACACTACCTCCTGTATAGGCCAATATCTGTCCCTTTAGTAGTTACATATACCTTTTCCAGGTATAGCCAGTTGGATCCTGTGGATTTCTCTTTGGCAAACTCCAGTGTCCCTCTGAGGATAAGGAGAAACATACAACAGCAATCTCTTTCGGAGAGAGACAGAACAATCAAAGCAGATGCAGAAGGTATGTAATACTTTATTCTCCTGGGTGTTAAACTTTTTCCTTGTTTAATATTACTTATTTACATTTCTAGCACGGAAATGTGATCCTTCTTACAAAGAGGAAGAAGAGTCATCTGCACATGAAATTCAAAGACAAACCGCTGCCTTCATTTTGGAGTCACTCACTAATGCAGTATTGCATCTTCGTCGAGCGATGGTGCTGCAGGCTTTATGAGTGGCCAATTGTATTATTATATTTTTTAAAACCAATATATTTTTAATGAACTGTTTCAGGTGTTGGCCCACCGCAGCTGTCACTGGGCTTTACTTCGGGCTGTGATTCAAACTGTTTGGGACCACTTCTGGAAAACAGCTTGTATTGTCCAAAGAAGCTCTCATCTGCCTTTCTTTATGACATCCGAACAGCAACGCACCATCTTCACCCCATTGCTTATTTGGGCAACTAAACTGATCATGGATATGTTAAACCAACTAGAGGTGTGTCTGCATCGCATATTGTTACACATGTGTATGTCCAATGAATTGTTCAACTCTTAATATTCCTCTTTGCTATCTTCTGGGTTCGAGTTGTGGAGTGTTTATGAAAAAAACCTGTCAGAAGAAAAAATACAGTCTTGTCTTTACTTCTCTCCTTCCTTGGATGAATCAACTAAAATTGACATGCATTGGGTCAGTAGATTAGTGATTCACACTTTGGAGCAATTGCATGATATTGGAAAATGGGAAGAATTAGCTCACCTAGCTTTACAATTTAATGCATACACAAGGTAAGTAGAGCACTAGAAAAATCAACTTAAAAATATTAATAATTTTCTAACAAATATTGACTGCTCACTTTTAGGGATTATTACGCATTGATAGTTTCACCTCTTCTAATCAACGCCCAAAGAAGACTCCTGGAGAGAATTGAAACCTTCAAAGGACCTCTTGTTCCTCAGCCTCACCATGTCAAGACAAAAGAAGTTACTGGACAAGAGGTAGAATATACCAGCATAAAAACTGCAATAAATGTGTCAAATCTTGCACTCTGGTCAACATGGATCCAGAAAGTTTTAGAATAGAATCAAACTGTACCCTTTCCTCTAGGTGACATACAAAAGCTATGCAGGTGTTCAGCTTCTCTGCAGTTGGATTCCCACACAAAAAGTGGTCACCGCTAAAAGAAAAGCACTCTCTAGAATCCAGCTGATAGGTTGGAATTGTTCTCTTTGTCTTTGTTCTATTATGATTCAATGTTTTGTCTAATATTGATAGGCATGTAAGTTTTCTGGTTTAAAACGTAGTTTTGTGAACTATTGAAAGCTGCTGAGGTCCAGAGGTCCATGGCTCTTGTGTGTGTTCCTTTGGATGTTGAAGACACATTGTATTGGTATCGCAAAGCTGTTGAGAAAACCTCCCCTTGTCTCCAGTTCCTCCAACACAGCCGCTTACAACTGCGGTGCCTGTTGGCAAACACACAGTCAGGTACTTCACTATGAAAGAGTACCTATAATTATGTACTCTATTACATTTTTGTATGTAAATATTATGTCTTTAGATTATGGAGCACTGGTCCCGTGTAAAGAGGCCAAAAAGTTAACAACCACGTTTGACTTCTCCCCTGTGGTTAAGCTTGCACCAAGTGCCAAACCGTGTGATCTGATAGAGAAGGACTACATGACTAAAGAATCTGTTTACACTCTTCCCCTTAGCCCTGAGCATGTTCCCTCCATAACTGCAGCGTACACCTCTGCTATTAGTAAGGAACAATAAGCAAATTGTTTTCAGTGTTTCTAAAAGCATCTGATGGTTTTTCCATGAATGCCCACTTTCTTTAGAATATTTCCATGAAAATAAACATGACTCACTGTCTATTGTGGCACTGCATGACCTGGGAAATCTCCATTTTTTTAATGGCAACACAAAGTCAGTAAGAAAAAGCATCACCTTGTGTTGAAACTATTGTTTTATCTTTGCTGAAATTATTTTCTTTTACTTTTAGGGCAGCACATTTATGCTGGACAAAGGCAATCAATACTGCCTTAAAGAGCCCTAATGCAATGGAACAATGGAATGGTATGACGTTTGGAGGCTGTTCCCTGGAAAATAGACTCAAACTGTCTGGGATATGGGGCTGCCTACAAGCTGCTATCCTCAATGCTAAAATTGCCCAGTAGGTTTCCCATAACAAAAAAATTGGCAAATGTAAAGTCTTCAGAAAATGCATTTCTCTTTTTCTGTGTTTAGGTATATACTCACCACAGACATCTGTAATCGTACCAACAGCTGTCTCCAGGCTGCCCACCTGTTCAAGGTAAAACATGAGCACAAACAACATGTAGGACATGGTCCCTCATTCATGACCTTTATCATCCACAGTGTGTGTTGTGCTGCTCTTTGGCACAGCCGCAGTGTGATCTCCATTACGCTTCAGATCGGATCATAGAAGAGTTGTTGCCTGGTGTGGACTTCTTCTCAGATCCCTCCAGACTTCACCTCGGCACCACTATTGCAAGTCTGAGCTTTGTCTGTCAATGGCTTTTCTCCTCGGGCCATTACATGAAGGTGTGCAACTGACAGGTGGAGTATAACTACAATTCAACCAGGAGATGTGGTACAATACGAAACATCTGAAAAACGATTTGCTCTGCTGCTGACCTGGTACTTGACCAACTGGATCCTAAGGGCAACATTTTGCAATAAATACTATAGTAATTGGTTTAAAAACACTGGGCTGATTTGCTGTAGATAGATATTAGGATATTGGAGGGAAAGTTTTATTGGTTGAATTCCAATCCATAATTTTGATTCTATTGACAGCTACTTCCCATGTTGGCACTGTACCTCTATTTTGTTGGGTCTGTGTGCAGAGATGTCCAGCGTACTATTGACTGCAAAATACTAAAGGTCAGCAATTCGTATTATTTATTTTCAACAGATATTAATAATAATACCCCTATTATTTCTCAGATACGTGCACTCACTGAATTAGGTTTCTTCACTGAGGCTGTGAATGAGTTTCTGCTTCTAAGAAAAGGAGCAGGATTCTCTTTTGGTCACTGCATCAAAAGAGACGAAGATCAGGTATTTTGACATGCTTCCTCTGGATTTAAGCCTGGAAACTGCAATTATTCATTGTTTTTATATTTTTTTAGGTTGAAACCACATTTAGCCACAATCCCAATGTGCTTGAAAACCTTGAGGTATAAGCATGCGCAATACAATACAGTATATTATTAATAGATCACTGATAAGTGTGGTATATTTTTTTGATTCTCTTCTATTTTTCCTTCTTATTAGATGTTGGAAGATCTTGTGAATTGTGACTTTACTTCCGCTGTTTGCGCTCTTTATGGATCTGCGTTGTGCCTTCGTTTTAAACTTGCACAAGCTCAACTAATCTTGGCCATAAGTGCAACTATTTTCAGTCCTTTGGAAGGTTCAATATGTTGTATTTACTATTGAGTGTTTTGATAATGTCCATAGAATGCTTATTTTAGAATTACCAACATCTGGATTCAGTTCCAGATAGAGAAAACGAAACAATTTCTATAGAGAATGAAGAGGAGGAAGACACAAAGCTGCTTGATCTTCAGTCTGCTGGAAAGCCCCTCCCTCTTGGAAAGCTCAAGGTTGAAACTGCTCCATAAAAAGCACAATACATGAGTTTGAGTTTGTGATGATTTTTTTTTCTGGTGTAGTACCTTCTCTTAGAGGCAGCTTCCAGCTTATTAAAAAACTTTGCAAAGCAGCTGACCACGTACAGTCATGTGGATAAAGTCGAAATGTCTGTTGAGTTCAATCTTTTAAAGGCTAAACTCTTTTGTTTGAAAGGACAAGCGACTTTATGGTCTGTCTTTGTAAATGCTGCCAGTTTCTGATGTTGAAGCAATGTAACAATTTTCTCTTTTTTCCAGCACTGAAGCAGCACTGTCATCCATGATGATACTTCGGTCCGCTTCTGATAACAGAAAGGCACCAACATCTGAGTTTGAGATGCAATCCTTGCTCAAACAAAATGGATCTGAACCAGGAACTTTGCAGGTGTCTGGTTTTTTGGTGTTTTTTTTTTTTTTTTTTTTTTACAGATTTACCAATGAAACTTGGAAAATTAGAATATCATCTTAAAAATATATGAAATAGACTCATTACATGCAAAGTGAATACCAAGCCTTTGTTTATCATATTTTTCTTGAGTACAGTTTACAGTCCATTTAGAAATAGAAAAAAATATTCTGAAATGTTTCATTTGCCGTTTATACAAATTGTGAGCCAATTATCAACATTATAACAAACCAAAGATTGATATCTCCCTTTGTGTGTATAAGTCTTTGTTTCACAGTTTTATGTTGAAGTAGTGAGTGAGTTGATGGACTTTTGGACAATATTCAAATTTTCCCCTGCTTCATATTGACATGTTTGATGCATGTTTTTGTGTATTTTGTGTACTTTTATAGAGCATAAAACCACCCAGTGTGGACGGAGATTCAGTAGAATTGATTGAAACAAGTGAGAGAATAGGCTGTCACATGTGGATACGCTGCCGCCTGACTTTGGTCCATAGTTTGACTGCTCATGATCTCAACACTGGTAGAGGTGGACCACATTAATACTTTTGTTGATTGTCTTTGTTTCCAATTATTCATTCATAATTTAACATAGTATTTTATGTATCTTTTTATTTTATTTAGGTAATAAATTGAAAAGGGAGACGGCTCGCATGATCAGGGATGGTATTGAAGAATGTAAAAAGTGGGGAGATCCAGACAGTCAAGCGTTGCTGATGCTTGAATGTGCACAGTGGGGTACAACCACTGTGAATGAATCAAATCAGATCAAAGTAAGAGAACAAAAATGACATGGAGTTCAGCAAATGTGTTATTAAAGAATGTCTTATCTTTGTCTTTAGGAAATAGTGGGATTACTCTCAGGGCGAGTGAACATGCCACCGCGGTCAGCCATAACGTTGGCCCAAGCGTCTATATTACTGCATGAGATGAAAGCACCAGAGAGTGTTGCTTTTTTAAAACTTTCACAGAAGTTATTACAAACTCAGGTAGTTAAAAGCTCAAAATTGCAATATTATAATGGATTAAATCATGTTTTATTTAATCATGCAGCTGAATAGTTTCAACCAAAATATTCATTTTGATGATGGAGGATCTTGTGTACAATGTTGCAGTAACTTCTGCCTCCCTCTTATTCATCTTCTACACCATACCACTTCATGCATAGGTACAATCTCAGGATTCTACTGATGTATTATGGCTACTCATTGATTTTATTTATGGCTGAATGTTTGACCTTATGCTCTCTTCTTCCTGCAGATGACATGAATTAACCAAAAATGTACTTCATTTCAAGAGATAAAGAGACCCACATAAAATATGAACAAACTCACATATTGAATAATAAAGATTAATCAAACAGCATGGTGTATTCGACTTATAACACACGTGTTTCCGGTCTAAAACGCACACAAATATTCAGTGCTTTTATTTAGCAGCTTACAGGAAGTGTGCTGCTGCTACTGCGCTTTCGGGTGGCCACTGTGTCCCCAACAAACTGGAGTTCTGCTCGCCTCTAATGGCCCAGGTTTATCACGTAGACTGAAAGTTTATAATGCTCTGCTGTGTACGTGGATAGGAATAGTCTGCTACTTTGCAAACTCAATGGGTTTCGGATGGAAAGATGATCGCCTCACTTTCTAGAGGGAGTCTTCTGGATGATGTTCTTCACGGAGGCTTCAACGAGGTAACGTTTCGGATGATGTTTCTGTTGACCAGGGGGTCCTGGTCCGCTTTGGTGAATATAACGTGCGCATCTCATTGTTATCGTGCAACCTACACTGGGGGTAACTGTGTACTAACCTACATCCTTAATAAACTTGAATTGGCATGCGCTTGTCGCGTATGAATCAAGACTCATTGTTCATTATGACTGTAGTTCTGTATGTGCACATTTGCTATCCTGAACTTTTTGCACACGGGAACACTCCGGAACATTGTACCCTGTTATTAAAATAGATCCATGTTTTGGATTAACATATATCTAATGTTTGAACTCTGCTGCGTTCTTTCTTTGTGGCGTTTCCCGGACGACGCGCCTGTCACGTGACCACGTGCCGGTCTGTCTCTGACCTCTGTGATGAACTGTTAACATGGATGCATTAGGAATAATTATCTCAACTGTTCAGCCTTTGCCATGACAAGTGTCTGTCTTTACAGGTTATAAAGACGTGTAAAGACAAGACAATACTTAGTTAAGTAAAACGAATGTCGAACGTCATTTAAACTGAATATGAATTATTTATGTCCAACACATTTTTTGGTGTGGTGTAGTACAGTAAAATGTAGATCGGCCATTCTTCCACCATAATCTATTGTTTCAGTGATATGATTTACACTTCATGCAGAGTCCTTATTGGATATTTAGTCATTTGTTGTTGTTATGTTCCCTGCAGCAGCAGCTGGTGACATACGTGTCCTGGGTGAACAATCAGCTCAAGAGGAAAGCAGGACTCAAAACCATCTCTGATCTGAGGCACGACCTGCAGGATGGAGTTGTGCTCACACAACTTATTGAAATAGTTGGTAATTACACCTCATATTGTTTTTTGTTTCCTTTCCCTTGCTTAATTATTGAAGTGAACTGTTAAACCATACTGAGTAATCCTAAAGCGTACAGTCTAATGTGTCTTTCTTTGTGAACAGCTGGGGAAGTGTTGGAGGGTGTGTATCCGGCGCCTCAAAACAAAGATGAAAGCAGGAAGAATGTTGAAAAAGTGTTGCAGTTCATTTCCTCCAGACACATACGGATGCCACACATCTCTGCAAGAGGTAGTCTACATTAGACAAGTATACATTCTGAGTTATGTTTTTACTGTAACTATTGCTAAAATATCTTTCACTACAGATATTGTTGAGGGCAGTCTGAAATCCATCATGAGGATCATACTAGCGTTGGCTGCTCATTTCAAGCCCTCTGCCAATCACAGAGCAGCGTCACGAAATGGAAGAACCTCAACTAGTGCCTCGACCAATCACAATCCTCTGTCAACTGTGGCTCTGGCCCAAGGAGCAGCTGCAGCTCTTGCTTCAGCACGCATCGATGCCTCCCAGGCCCCGTGCAGCACACGTCTGCACAGGTCCAACAGCAGACTTGTTTTTCATACATACACCATATGTTTACATGCACATAATGTTGGCACTCACAGGTCAAAGCCAAAAACAATCTTTGCTGCCCTCTGCTGGGGAGATGCATTGCAAAACAATAGAATTCATTGATTTATCAATTATCACATGCATATAGTTACATTTGAGAAAACTGTAAATGGAAATGTTTGTTTCTCACCTGTTTTAGGTCAGTTATTATTGACAAAATTATATATCTGGCCCTAATTCCACAACAATGTGAAAGGTGATTCCTCAGCGTTATGTGTATTATTTTCTACAAAGTCAGACATTTAATTAGAAGTGATATGTCTGTAATGTGTATATGAGCCTTTGTTGTGCACTGCAACACTGTGAGACATATAAATGTTCTTCTACTTAATAATATCTGATCTAATGTGTAATAGTTAAAGACACCTATATTATTTTAACATGCATTTCCTTTAGCAGTTGGGATTCTGAGGGGGAGAAGAGTGTATCTGTGCGTGCGTTGGTTAAGCAATATGAAAGGAAATCCCCTGATGAGCTGGAAATTGAAATCTCCAATAGGTGAGCAACGTAATGTTCTTTAGCATTCCAAAATCAGTGCAACCCACCATGAAAATAAAAATAAAGATTTGTATGCTTTTTTTTTTTTTTTTTTTTTGAGATCTTTCTTTCTAAAAACACATTGGTTGGGTAAAAACTACCAATTAAATCTGTTGGTTTTGGGCCAATGTTTCTATTGGTTGGTAATTGGCCTGTCTAATTTCAAGTCATACTTTTTGGTGCCTCCTGCATGTGAAAGATCTCAAAAACTAAGCAGGTCAGAATGACCTAGTTTGTGAGACCCCATCACAGGTCTCCCAGGTGATGGGAGCACCACTGGGCTGTGCAAAGTGTCTCTTGAAGTCTACTCTGACATCTTGATCCAGGTTTCATATATTACTTGTTTTTTTTAAGCCTGAGCTCTGTCAGTCCATTCTCCTCTCCGAGAACTGGCCCAAGCTTCCAGTCTGAGAGACTTCAAGAGGAGGAGCACGAAAGCAGTGAGTTATATGCATTAACCACAGCAAAATAATGTAACTACACGCAATTAACATTTTAACCAACTGCCATTTTTAGCAGTTAAATCCAGTGTTTCTGTAGTAACATCATGGGAAGACTCCATTAGTGATGACTTGGAGAAAGAAGTGCTGGAGACTCGCCAAATGGTCTCAGCCTTACAGGTACCTGAGTTCTGCATGGGCCTGAACTTTACATTATCCGGATGGTGTGGTTAAACTTTGGATCTCCTTTTCAACACCCTATTTCATCAGCTGTTATCAGGACATTGCTAACTAATTGTATTTGTCTCACTCCCATTTATTCTTGTATTTTGAGAACTCAAACTAAAAGATGTTTTTTTTTTTAATGCAATTTTTCAACTGGTCTTTCAATTTTGATCAGGAGTGTCCCAAAAATGCCTGTTTATTGTTCCTGATATAGTAATGCCACATGATGTCATGTTTGTAGACTTTGCTACTTCACGGTTCACTGCCTGAGGACAACCAGGATGTGTCTTTGAAACTAGATCAATGCAGCGACGAACAACAACTGGTAACAAACTTTGTATTTTATATTGTACTACCTATGTTTTTATGTCCCCTATATTTTCCCCCCGTCTCTCCGTCTTTTGTGAGTTGGGCAGATCATGTTTCGAACTGTGTAGGAGCGTATCAATTTACCTGTGCACTGAGGTTCTCACACTTTGTTTGTCTCCCAGACCGTCCTTCGCAGCCACCTCGACCAAAGCATGGAGGAGGCAAAGGACCTCAAGGTAATACTTCTGTATTATTTTGGCATGTTTCTGGTTAGGCTCAAGGGATTTTACCTGATTGAAAAATACATCGTCTAGTTTTAAATGTTGTATCTCCATGTCCAACTGTTCCAATGTCTCATGATTCTGAAATTCATAGATATATCAATATGGTTTGATTGTGCGCTTTTTTAGGGTTATCAACGCAATCAAACCAAAATATACTCTACCAGCAACTATTGACACGGGATCTATCTCGGATTTATATGGGGGTGTTATGAAGCAGAATATCACGTTTGGTTAAATTTCTTAGGCATATATCAATTATGAACAAGTAATGCCCATGTTGTCTGTATTCACATTTTGTTGGAAGGAAAGAAATTCTTAAGATTAGTTTAAACATTGTCTTATTCAAGTAAACGTACATCTGCCATGAAATGTACAGTATGTTCTTGTGTTTCTCATATTGTAAATCTCACTTATAACCCTAATACTAGCTGTTTGAGTGCTCATTATCCATCAAAAAATGTCATTTACTACTGTCTACTTTGACCATGCAGTGGCATGTGTACACGGATATGTCATTTGAGCTCCCCATCCTGCCATTGCGGTCGACCTATTGAACACCCATGACAATACCTTATTCAGAATCAGAATCAGAATCATCTTTATTGCCACGTAAGTAACAAACAAAAGTTACCACATGGAAATTGTTTTGGCAGAGAGCAAGCCACTTCGCCATTTGCGGCGCTGTGTGCAAGCAAGAAACAGCAGAGAGCAAAAACACACAGTTTCACAGACAATTGGATAGACACATTGTGCTTTGTAAAAAAAACCCTTGTACATCCCATCAATTTTGTTGGCCAGCAGGTCGTGAATCTTACGAACCGCCATGCCTCCGAATTTGCGGTAGAAAAGGACCGCTCCAAACCCGAAAAGGAGGATCCCCACCACCAGAATTACAAAGATATATACGTCTTCCGAATCTTCAATAGACAGGACTGACAGACAAAGGGGTCTCCACGAGTTCCAGCTGTCAAGAGTATGCCCCGCAGGTGCAGTCCCATCTGGGCACAAGGGCTCCCCGACCCTCGCTTACGTGTTGAAAAAATAGAGTCAATTGCGTTGAGGGACCAGTTAATCATTTCCATAATTCTTGCTAGAGTTGTCTGTGGCAAAACTCCAGGAGGTTTATCTTGTTTATTATGGAGCTATTATTGTTTCAATAATATTTGTGTGTGCGTAAAAAGATTTGTGCGCGCGTAACCAGATTTGTGTGTGCGTACCCAGATTTGTGTGTGCGTAACCAGATTTGTGCGTGCGTAACCAGATTTGTGTGTGTGTAAAAGAAATATTTGTGCGTGTGTAAATAGATTTGTATGTACGTATCAAGATTTGTGTGTGCGTAAAAAGATTTGTGTGTGCGTAAAAAGATTTGTGTGTGCGTAAAAAGATTTGTGTGTGTGTAAAGAAAAAAAAAAGTACGTTTTACACACAAGTTTTTTTTTTACACACGAATCTTTTGACGCAGTCCTGCCTTCGCAGATTCGCAAGTGTAACTTGGACTGTGTGCGTGCGTAAACAGATTTGTGTGTGTGTAATTTGACATTTGTATCTGTAGCAGAACAATCTGTGTGTAAATAACCGCGTTGTACAAAGAGAAGAACGAAAAAAGCCTAAGTGCTACGCACAGGCTCTGTTTTACACACGAATCTCTTTTTGACACACCTCTGCCGCCAAGCGTGTGTCAAAAAGATTTGTAAGTGTAATGTGGTTGTTCTAGCAGTACACCAGCAGATGGTGCTGTTGTAGCTGGTTATTACCTACACGCAAGCAAACCAAAACCTACTGCCTTGACAAGACACACTACCGCAGCTGTTTATGATATTTTTTTCCTATTTTCAAAATCCTGTCATTCACACCACTGTATGATACATGGATGTATTGTAATAACTTGATAGGGTGTTACTAGCTTGGAGCTGAGGGATTCTCACGTACTGCAGACTAAATTCACGTTGGCTACACAGAAATTTTCCCCATAGAACTCAAAGTAAACTAAAACAGCTGACAGATAACCTACAGCTTTCATAAAGGTCGGATTTTGTGGGAATTTTAGTGTTCCTTGTCATCCTGAACTTTTCTTCTTCTTAAACCCTTCGGTTTTCTCTATCTACACTTGTTGGTTTGCTTGCGTGTAGGTAATAACCAGCTACAACAGCACCATCTGCTGGTGTACTGCTAGAACAACCACATTACACTTACAAATCTTTTTGACACACGCTTGGCGGCAGAGGTGTGTCAAAAAGAGATTCGTGTGTAAAACAGAGCCTGTGCGTAGCACTTAGGCTTTTTCCCGTTCTTCTCTTTGTACAACGCGGTTATTTACACACAGATTGTTCTGTTACAGATACAAATGTCAAATTACACACACACAAATCTGTTTACGCACGCATACAGTCCAAGTTACACTTGCGAATCTGCGAAGGCAGGACTGCGTCAAAAGATTCGTGTGTAAAAAAAAAACTTGTGTGTAAAACTTACTTTTTTTTTTCTTTACACACACACAAATCTTTCTACGCACACACAAACCTTTTTACGCACACACAAATCTTGATACGTACATACAAATCTATTTACACACGCACAAATATTTCTTTTACACACACACAAATCTGGTTACGCACGCACAAATCTGGTTACGCACACACAAATCTGGTTACGCACGCACAAATCTTTTTACGCACACACAAATATTATTGAAACAATAATAGCTCCATAGTTTATAAAAAGGTTTATCATGTTGTAAACCTTTGTATTAAAATTCATGAGATTCAAATCAATGTGGTATAATTGGTAGGGCTTCAAGACCAGCAAGATTGCAATTATGTCCTTTTCAAAACTAAAAAGAATCCTATTTTCATATGTAAAAAGCCATGTATTACTCTTGAATTCTAGGTTCCCATTGAAACAGTTGAGTTTACAGATTCACATGTCAGTTTAATCATGCAAATATGTTTGGAGAGTTCCAATCAAACTTCAAAACCTGAAAAGACACCCATATTACCCTTCTTACACATTCCCCTTTACCAAATGTGGTCTTATACTAGTTTAAGAAGAAGAAGCTTGAGTGTAAGAAGGCAACTAAGATGGAAAAAATATTACTGGGATTGTGTTTATTTTTTTTATTTTTCAGTAGTCTCTGAAATGTCCAATTGGATCATAATCCAAATAAATATAATTGCATCACAGAAACTGCCAAAATCCTACTACTCTGTTTATAAAACGGTTTATAAAACGAAGGTTGTATTTTTTCCATAGAGAGAGGTGTTGCGCTGCAAGCAAGAAATTAGAAACTTACAAGGGATAAAGGTAGGATCAAAACTCAAAGCTTCAAATGTCCTATGTTCAGATAACAAATAGTGTTTTCTGTATGTGAAATGAACAGGAGGCCCAGCAGCAGAGACTGGGCACTCAAGAAGCATCCATCCTTCAAATTAAGCAGGAGCTACTGAGGGCTAGCATGACACGCGACGAACTCAACAACCAGAATGTAGGCTTCATAAAGTAATGAGGATTTCTGTTAATTGAATTTACTCATGAAAAAGTATATTTTAGGCGGAACTACAGTGGAAGATTGAAGAATCAAACAGATTATGGGGAGAATGCAAGGTATGGTAATGCTTATGCTTTTGTAATTACTACATACTAAACATATAATACACAAGAGTAAGAGCAAGTTGAATAAATTACACATAACTCTGCAAATAAAATAGATGTTCCTGCATTTTTCTGACTGACAGAAAGAGATTGTACAAAAAGATCGACTCTTGCAACAGCTGAGACACAAACTTGAAGAAAGCCAGAAGCAACAGGTTTCTTTCTACATTTGAATTGTACATGTTTTATTCTTTTTCAAGAATATTTGTTCTGTTTGGTCAGAGTGAACTGCAGCGAGAGTTGGAGCATAAGAAGACAAAGCTACAAGAGCTGAGAAGCAGAGATTTGCAACATGTAACGACAACATCGCTCGTAATATTATAAATAAAAAGTACAATAATTTGTATTATATTAAATTTATATATTTCGTTTATCCTTTTTAGATGTCCACAGATAACAATGGATGTTTTAACCCAGGAACCCCAACATGTGTGAGTGAGCTATTTAAGTTTGGTCATTATCAACAGTATAGAGTAAAGTCAATCAGCTAAATAGTTCACGTTGCTGGTTTAAAAATGTGTCATGCAAATTATGGGGTTGTTCAAATGTGGTTCAAAACAGTGAGTTTGTTGATTGTTCTGTTCAGCATTAATGTAAAAGAAAAATTCTTGTGTGAAATAGATTTTTGCTTAGTGTGGTTCATACAGTGACAATAACACTACATTATGTACCTAAACAAGAAAACCTTATGACCTGTAACTGCGTAACGCACCACAGACCGGAGGGAGGAGGGCATGTAGAGAACCCTTTACTAGAAATGCTTCATACGCCATACTGCTCCTTTGAATATATGTTTCTGTCCGTATCTCCACATACTTAATCAGAACGTGGTTTATACTTTCAGGCGACAGAGGAGGTGCAGCTGCTCAGAGACTCACTGAGGAGTTTGAGGAATAACTTCCGTGAGCATGACCCTCAGCAGCACACTCTGGACACTCTGGAGCAGGGCATCGTGTCGCTGATGGACAGACTGCATGTGCTGCAGCCAAACAGGGTCTGCATCACCACCACCGCATCAGGGGGGCTGTCCTAGAGGCAATAGGCATCGGTGGACTTGGTGGGGTTAGGGTTAGGGTTTTACTTGGTGGGCCTAATTGCATATATATCAGCTTTCTGAAAGAAATGTACAGTTCCTTAAACATTGTCATTTTAATATTAATATATTACATATGAACATAAAAATTACAAATCTTTTTTTGTGACTAACTTTAGCTTATATACAGTCTATGGTTCAAACTTGTGCTTATCCAATCTTATAAATGCACATAATCAATAAAAAAAATATAATAACACGAATTGTGAAATTATCTTAATCTATTTCCTTTTATAAGAGATAGTATTTTATAGTCTAGTCTCTTTGCAGTCCACTGCAAAAATCACAGAGGAGTGCAAAAAAAAAAAAAAAATAGGGCTTTGGCTTTGCTGGTGTGGGCAAAACTGCATGATGCAAAGGTGCATTTTTTTTGATAATTATAATCTTATACAATAGACCTAATTAAAACATGCTCCATTGTTCTATTTAATTTTTCATAATTAGATAACATGCTCTATGCCTCTAAACCCCTCCCCACCTTCTTGTACGTTCAAAAGAAATGTTCAATTTTCTCTTCTCTTAAATGCTATTTTCCTTAATTACTTTACACATTATTCTTCTCACATTATTTAAGTCAATTTAACTACAGTGTATTTTTACAGGGTAGGGGGAAATCTCCAAGGCGGAAAGGTCAGTTTGGTGGATTTATGCAATTGTCTTGTATTCAAAATTTGTCACTATGTATTCTTGTTCACAGAGATGAGTCAACCCCAAGTCACTTCATCTGCGTCAACAAAATGTCTTTATTTCACTGGAAAATCTCCTACACCTTCAATGATCCACATACCAAAAAGGTACAGTACACACATCTGTTTTCCTTCATACTTTCCTAAATTAACCATGTGTGTTAAATCCCAGACTTGGTGAAGTGACTCTTAAAGACGTGAAGGCAGCTGTCGATCGGGAGCGAAACTACAGGTACCACTTTAAAGCTCTGGACCCTGAGTTTGGCACCGTGAAGGAGGAGGTGAGGCCGTCATCGAACATAAACTTCTCACTACTTTCAGAAGTCAACTACATTTTCTACTGCAGGTTTTCCTGGATGGAGCGATAGTTCCGGGCTGGGAGGGGAAAATTGTTGCCTGGTTAGAAGAAGATGGTCAAGAAAGGTGACTTCTGTTTGTTAGCTTCTCTATTGTCATTTATATAATTGTTTGATTTAACTTATTTTGTATGTTATAGGCCTGTGTAACCACAGTGGGAAGACTCGTGTTATACAATCAACTGTCTCACAGGCACATAGCTATAATGTTGAATAATGACCTCTGCCAGGGGGTTATCATAGGTATAATGTTTCATAATTAGGAATAATTTGACTGGACTTGTTAGTTTTTAACATAACTAAAAATGTCATAGTCGTGAGCCGCATCATCATCTGGATCCAGGAATTTAACTGCACCTCTTGGTAGAGGTCTGCACTCCACGAGTGCTTTTGTAGTTACTTATAGTTTACTATAAACAATGTATTTTTAATTGAATGAGCATTTGAGAAATGTTCATCTCATAGTGCAAGAAGTATTTGTGCCTTCACATTTTATAAACTTTTACAATAAGACGCATTTGGAAACCATGTGATTTTACAGATCACTTCCAGTATTACAATAATATAGTGTCTCATCGTAGTGTAGACTTCTAAAAGCCTTTGAAGCTCATTACAAGTGTAAGGCATTATTATTATTATTATTATTATTATGGAGAAGATGGGAGTAACAATTATTTGAGTTACTGATCTGCTGAAAATTCTTTTTTAAATTTCGATTTCCCGAAGCATTGAGAACCGATGGATGATGTTAGGCTGAGGTGAAACAGCTGGACACTGATGGAGTATTTTAGAAATATATTTAAAAAAAAAAAAAATCTTTAAAAAACACAAAAGGAATATGTTTCTAGAGCGGTTTCACTGTTGTAAATGTTTATGTCTATGACAAAGAGTTTGTTAATTGATCATTGTTTCACCTAAATCTATATTGTTTTTTATTTTATATTTGAGAGGTATGGACACTGTCAAACCACAATTTCATGAACTACTGTATTTCTACACACGTCACACAAAGTTGATTCACTTTTAGCTGGAATTATGATTTGTATTTATTGTCTTTTGTAGTTTTTGTTACTTATTTTGATATATTTTTTTTAAAGAGACTGGATTTGTCTTTTTTAATGTATTTGTGTTCTAAGAGTGCACACTCATGTGCTTAGAATTTGACTGTTTACGATCAACTTGAGTGTGAAGATGCCAACAGTTTGCCTTATTCTTGGCCTAAGTGACACATCATTAACTAATGCGCCAGAATCCAGAGTCTCGATTGCCAACAGTAATTTGAAAAGCTATGTTTAATTTATGTTTGTGAGAATAAATAGAATTTCAGTAAAACTCACACTTTTCTTTTTTTTTTCCTTCAAAACACACAGATAAACACAAACATAAACACATACATTTTCTGGACATAACTCTCATATATGCTCTGTATTTTATAGATCTTACAGATCTGTAAACCTGGACCATTATATTAGCCATGGACGCCTCCCTTCCCGACACTTTACGACACTTTTTTGCGACTTGCGGCCTTATAGAGAAAAAGCCGTAAGTGGTGGTGTTTTGGAAGGGGGAGGTCATTGGAAAGTGAGCTCTGACAGAAGTGACCAAGGGCCGGTTATTTGTGCACAGGGACGTTAGATAGTGTAATTGTCTGTATGCGGGTGTAGATCTGTCATCAGCCCCTCTGCGCCCTCTTTAACAGCCCTCAGAATGCTCCGTCTCGTGCTGCGGCTGAAGCCGTCCTCCAGGCTGTCATGTCCCCGTGTCCTCCCCGGGCCCTCTGCCTCTTTGGGCTCATGTCCAGTGCCCAGAAGCAACTGTCTGAGGCGGCTTCACAGCGGGACGGCTGTCCGGACAGTGAGCTGGGGCCACAGTCTCACTCACAGAGGGGTCCTGCGGAGTATAGGGGCCCCGGGCCCCGGACAGATCCGCTACTACAGTCTGCCGCCTCATCAGAAGGTACGTGCGCCGTCAGGGTCCTACACCTGCGGAGGTGTTCATTGAGGAGAATCACAGAACAGCATGTAGTTGGTCATTTCTTTGTCAATGTCATGCCATTCTGTCTCGGAGTCACTGAAGCGGCTTTAACACACTGTCCCCACATCACACCTTCAGAATGAGTTCTTTTGAGGGTGGTGACTCCATGTTATTGAGCCACTTCCATGTGTTATGTACTATGTCTTTTATGCTTAATTATGTTTTTAATCATAGCAGATTTGTTACGTTTACAGGTAGAGCTTCCTGCACTGTCCCCCACCATGCAGACGGGAACCATTGCAAAATGGGAGAAAAAAGAAGGGGAGAAAATCAGTGAAGGGGACCTCATTGCTGAAGTAAGTGGGATCTCGGTGTGTCAGTGAGCTGTTATTCATTTTGTCCTGAGTGAGAAGAGTGGTCTTCTGTTTGCAGGTGGAGACTGATAAAGCCACAGTTGGCTTTGAGTTGCTTGAGGAATGTTACATGGCCAAAATTCTTGTACCTGAAGGAACAAGAGATGTATCTATAGGAGCTGTCATATGTATCACAGTGGACAAGTATGTTTATAATTATTTAATTGTTGAGTACATTCTAAATGTGTATATTTTATGTACAATATAAAACTTGCCATGTTTTGAACCTTACAGACCTGAGCTTATAGAAGCCTTTAAAGATGTAACTTTGGACTCCATCACTGCAGCAGGTGCAGCTCCGTCTCCTGGGTCTGCTCCTCCTCCACCGTCTGCTCCTGGTAGCTCCTACCCCTCCCACATGAAGGTACACACACTGAAGCTCCTCAATGACAACACATGGTTGTATATTGCACATTCAAATACGTTAACATTAGTTTGTGCAAGCACCATACAGATCAAGAAAAGTGAAATGGAAACGACACAACAAAGACAAGTAAAATGATCTGCCTCATGGCGGCCTGAAACTTGGAAGTTTTTTGTTGATCAACAAATTATAATTTCATCCACGCTTCTTTGTCTCCTTGCGGTTTACGCTGGTCTCTCTGCTTTCCCTGATGCTCAATTTCTTCAAAAGTCAAACCCAATAGTGATAAACATGTGTGGGCTGATGCGTCTGCTCATTGCTGGTTCAGTTTCCTCCTGTGCGAGGAGTGCAAACCTTTTAAAATTAGGCCTACTTATTTAAATGTAAAAAGTTCTATTTGTATTTATGTTTGAGCTTTATTAGAAAGTTATTTTAATAAAACAAAAGTCTAAAGAATCTAGTTCTGCATTATTAGCTGACATGTTTCGGCGGTAGACATCCGGCTTCGTCAGCTGTTGTTACCAGATGCGGCCAGTTTGACAGATGGGAAAGATCCGTTGGCTCGATCCACCATTACTCATTTTGTTCAGAATAACCTACCAACTAAAATCTCCAAAAGATCCAAAGCCATGTTCAATAAAAGTTATATTTTTAGGATGTAAAAATGAATTCCACCAAAATAACCACAGATCACACATCTGAGCTATAAACAAACCCTCCACATATAAAATATATCTTGGTATTCAGATCAAAAAAAAAAAAAAGGATTATGCAATAGCTTCTTAAAATGTCCTATAATTGCTAACTAGCTCATTAGCAGAAACTCTTGTTTATTTTCTGAATCAAATCTACTTGATGAGTAACATGCCTGTTTTACAAATGTAAAATTGGTTATTTTCCATTTTCCAAACACATAATGGTTGAACGTCTACACTGAACCCCCTGACTAACACTTCTGTAAATGTTCTGTACATTGTGCATGCTATTTAATTAATGGAATAGTGTTTATTTGGCCTACACACTTGAATAACTTGTTGTTGTAGATCACGCTTCCAGCTCTGTCACCTACAATGACAATGGGAACGGTGCAGCGGTGGGAGAAGAAGCTTGGAGAGAAGCTCAGTGAGGGAGACCTGCTTGCTGAGATTGAAACTGATAAGGCAACTATTGGTAAGTCCTACTCAAGCCACCAATTGAGCCTAAAAGAAAAGTCTTTATGAAAGTGGGTTTTTTGTAGGCTTTGAGGTTCAGGAGGAAGGTTATTTGGCAAAGATCATGGTGCAAGAAGGAACCAGGGACGTTCCACTGGGCACACCACTCTGCATTATTGTGGAGAAAGAGAGTGACATTGCCGCCTTTAAAGACTATGTAGAGACCGGAGTGGCAGAGGTGACCCCCCCTCTTCCAGCCCCAACACCTGCCCCTGTAAGTATGATGCTCAAAATAAAATCGTTCATCATTAAAAACATTATAATTATTTGAGTACATGTTTTCAGACGCCAGTGGCTCCAACTCCAGCCGCCGCGCCTGTCCCTACATCTGCGGCCCCTGCCACCCCCAGAAAGGGCCGCGTGTTTGTGAGCCCGCTCGCTAAGAAACTGGCAACTGAGAAAGGAATTGACCTGGCCCAAGTTGCAGGTAAGATCTTATGCAATGTTACAAGTTTTTCACACATGATTATCTACAGAATTATTCATAAGTGAACTGTTGGTTGCACAGGATCCGGACCTGATGGCCGAATTACCCGAAAAGACATTGAGACCTTCGTTCCTCCAGCTGCACCTGTACGTCAGACTTTCATGAATAAACCTAGAGTTCACGAGGTCGGAAATAAATGTGTGCATGGTAATAATGGACTGTGTTTGTCTCTTGTAAACAGGCTGTGGCTGCTGCTCCTGCCCCAGCGGCTGCTCCGTCTCCTGCTGCTCCTGCTGCTCCTGCTGCTGTGCCTCCAACTGGCACTTATACTGACATCCCCATCAGCAACATTCGCAAAGTAACTCTCACTTCATATCCTCCTGATTTGAATATATTTACCGTAGTTTAATGGCATGTTTTTCGGAGGCAAACTTATTCTGTTACTTTGACCTGAGATCCACGTCTTACCCTTCAGACAGAACTATCGTTTATCAACACACTGACTGACACCTCATGCTTCTCTGTGATGAATTATGGATCAAAACTGAGGGGCATAAATCCATCTTTTCCACAGGTCATTGCTCAGAGGTTGATGCAGTCCAAGCAGACCATCCCTCACTATTATTTGTCAGTCGACGTCAACATGGACCAAGTGTTGGACCTTCGCAAAGAGCTGAATGCTGTGAGTGTTTGCTCAGAACATGTAACAGAAATCCTAATTTTTCTTCCAGGTCTCACTGGTGCAAAGTAAATCTTAAGTTATTAATGATCTGTGGATGTGAAATTCTTCTCGCTGCAGGAGGTGAAAGCACAGAATATCAAGCTGAGTGTGAACGACTTCATCATCAAAGCCAGTGCTCTGGCCTGTCTCAAAGTCCCCGAGTGCAACTCCTCCTGGATGGAAACAGTCATTCGCCAGTGAGTGCACCACAGCTCACATATGACAGATGTTTCCAGAAACGTAATGTAAATGATACTCATGGGCCTGCCAGTAGTAATCATTGTCTCTCCTGTTTAACATGGGCAACAGGTTTCAAATTGGGGGAAAAAAACACTTGCACAATTAGCTGTTGAATTTTACATATGAACAGAATCATATTTATTTCTACTACTGTAAATGTAATGTAATACATATTCCTGCCAGTGGGAGGTGCTCTAAGTTCACTGTTCAAACTATTCCACATGATTCGTGTTAGTTTTTTTTGTTTTGTTATTTTTTTACAAAAATATGAAATAGGATGACAAGCATGCACCAATAGGACTGTTAATGTGTATATTATTTTAAAATGCTGATCGTCCTCTTTCTATGCTCCTCAGAAATCATGTGGTGGATGTGAGTGTAGCAGTCAGCACACCCAATGGACTCATCACTCCCATAGTCTTTAACTCCCACATTAAAGGGCTGGCAGCGATTAGCTCAGATGTAGCTGCGTTAGCCGCTAAAGCCAGAGATGGCAAACTGCAGCCTCATGAATTCCAGGTAAAAATCCTACATTCTGTGAGGTCATTTGGATATACTTTATGTATACAAAGCATGGTATAATTATATATGTTTATGCTTTTGTTCACCAGGGCGGTACCTTCACTATTTCAAATTTGGGAATGTTTGGCATCAAGAATTTCTCCGCAATAATCAACCCTCCTCAGGCTTGTATCCTCGCTGTCGGAGGCTCAGAAAAGAGGCTTCTTCCGGCAGATAATGAAAAAGGGTGAGTTTTGACACAAACAGCAGTAATAACAACATTACCAGTAATTACACAAAAGTTTTTGTCTCACTGGTCTCGATGGATCATGTGACTGTGAGGCATTCACATGATCCATCTTATTGCACGCTGGCATTGTGTTCTCACCAACTAACTTCTTGTGCATGTGAACCAGAATGTGAAAGATTCTCTTATTGATGTTGTTTTTGCATCAATTACTTTTTGCCTTAAACAAAATATAATAAAAAGGTCTGCTTTAACCTGTGCAACATAATCCAATGTCGGCAAGACGGAAAGTGAAAGGGATTCCACCTTTTTGCATTTTATTATTCTATGCTTTAAGTGGAATGTTCAAATCAAATATAACTTTTCACACTTAAACACCTGCAGTTATAGTTCACAGTTGAGTTTGGGTTTAAATATTTCTTTTTTAAATCCAGTGTTTTAAACCTGAGCACCTACAGCACATGTTGTTGTAGTACTTTTTTAAAGGCTAAAAGTGCACATGTTACTTTGGTGTCTGCTAGACTGAAATGTTATCATCTTTGCTGTGGCAGGTTCGACGTGGCCAGCATGATGTCGGTGACTCTGAGCTGTGATCACCGAGTGGTGGACGGAGCCGTTGGGGCACAGTGGCTTGCAGAGTTCAGGAAGTTCTTGGAGAAGCCGGTCACCATGTTGTTGTGATTGGACTGAAACGCTTTTCAAACTGCAACAAAGGACCTTTCACATGAAGCAATCTGATTGGTCTAAACCAGTCTGGACTCTCCTGTGATTGGTCTCTACGACAGGTCACTCCCAGTTACCCTAAAGGAACGGATGCAGACGTCACTCCGATCACTGTCTGTCTATTTGTATGTCTGTTTATTTCTGTCCTTTTATTCCAACTCACACCTATTTATTAAGGCCCCGCCCCAAAATCACAGCAAATTAATTTTAGGACGTGAAATAAAGGGACTGGTTCTGGCAATGATTATATTTATTTCAAATTGGAGTGGAATTTTGTAAACTTTTTATCTTTTGTGAGGGAATGTTCAAGGCCCAAAGTGCAGAGCGTGGAGAGTTTTAGCAATATACAAGATGGATATGAGGAAAGTACCAGAGTTATAAGTTATAGTTTATTTTTGACAACACCTCAATGGATTACACACAGACTTTATGCCACCATTTTTCTGCAAATCTCGAATTTCGATCCATGCCGTGTACTGTATTCTGCTGATACGCACACAAAAGTCTAGACTTGTCTATTGAATAAATTGGGAGAAGTAAACTGGGTGCCAATGTTATGATTTGTAATGGCTGGAATAAAGAAGGCCAAATTAGCAGACGGACATGTAAAAGTGTAGATTATTTATAAATGTGATATAGTGAACACAAAGTGCATACATGGACTGAATCATTGTCATTTTATAGTTTGTCTTCACTGCAGATCGAGATATTTAATGTATTCTACATGGTGTTCTGCCTCATTCACTGATTTTCCATTTGACTTTCAATTTCATTGCCAATTCAAACACTTCAGAAACTTCAATGAATAAATACATCCATCCATTTTCTTCCCCTTAATCCATTTCTGGGTCGGGGGGGTTGCAGTCAGAGCTGCACCCAGGACACAGAGCACCAGCCCCTCACTGATCCTCCTGCAGGTGGTGAGTCCACAGGAGCTGAGATCTTTCAGTGGGGGCTTTAGGCAAAGTGGGGTTAAGTGTCTTGCCCAAGGACACAACGGCAGTAGTCATCAGTGGGAGTTGTGAAGTAGGTCTTATGGTGGGCTTGAACCCACAACCTTCAGGCCCAAAGGCCAATGCTCTACCAACTGAGCTACTGTCGCCCCTGAATAAATACAGTATATCAGAAATAAGTTTATCAGTTTCTTAAAAAGCTCATTGTATATCTGTATAACTGGGTATGTGTAGGAAGGAATGGGGATATATCAAAGTCATTTTTATGTAACACTTTGAATCTTATTGGCAAATATTGACATGATGTCCAAATCCTTCAATATACTGTATTTGTCAAACAAATGACTATTGAGTAACCAGCTTCAACATATCAAACTGAACGATAAAGTGACATAATTGGCATAGATTGAAGTGAAGCGACTTTCGTCTTTCTTTGTGAGCGGACTTTCCCCATTGGTCATGATTCAGAGACGACTTTATCACTGGATGGATTACTGCGTCAGACTGGCTCGCTGGAGGTTAACCTGTGAGCCATAACAACGACAGGAGAAAGAAGAGACCGTCTGAGTGTAAAATCTCTGCAGTGACTCACACTTTGACACTCGCCAAGAGCAGAGAGTAAATCTGACAGGATGTGACTTCATACAGAAATTATAGAGCTTTACAAATCATAAAACATATCACTTGAAATTAGGCTGCGATAAGGAAATGCAGTCAGTGTCTGGGATCAAGAAGGTCCTGGGTTCGAATCCACATGTGGATGGGGTCTTTGTGTATGGAGTTTGCACCTTCTCACTGTGTCTGGATAGGTTTCCTCTGGGTGCTACGGTTTCCCTCTACCCCTATGTACAACAGTTCAGTGTGATTGTGGAATCTTAATTTTAAATTGATTTTCTTGGCTTTTGTATGGGGGAAGTCCACAATTGTAATAATTTGTATGAATTGGCCATTGTTTTAGATTATAATAGATAGTCCCATTGTTTTCATGATATTAGTTCTGATGTACTATGAGGCTATTGGCAAAGTGGACAAGAGACCGCGGCAAAGACAATAATTTGTCTTTTCACCAAAAATCAACAGCAGTACAGCCAGGCATAGCATAAATATAAAAATAAATGAGTTGTCATGTTTATTTAAAAAATAGATTTGATTTGCAAACAAATGCCTGCATACAGTATATGTGTTTCTATAAATCAATATATGTATTTATAAATGCATAACTTTTACATATGTATAAATAAATAAATAAATGCCAACAGAAACAATACAAAAAGACAAGGATTTAAAGTACGTATTTGATTCATACTCTCTAAAAAAAGGCCTCTACGTAAACAAATAGGCACCACTGTAAATAAAATGGTGTGGACAGTATGATATGAGAAACCTTTCTGTCTGTTCTAGTGGACTTTGAGTGAATGGGAGCAAAAATGAGTCCATCAGACTGGGAGGGGGTTTGATTAATCATGCATGCCTGGTTTTTGGGTGCAGTTAGAAGTCTGGGCGGAGGCGATGTAGTTGGTGCCATGGCTGTCGCTGGAAGATGGATGCTGTGGACACTCGCTGTGCATCTTCACACACTACAGGGAGGTACGGACAATATTGAACTCTGAGCCTTTGTGCGTGATTGACCAGAGCAACTAAGAACATTTGTGTTTTGTTTTCTTGTCTAGAAAAAGTAGTTGTTCATTTAAGCTTTTCAAACTTATCTTTTATATTTCACAGATGTTTTACCCACAACAATACTGTATATATACCAAAAGAATGCAGGCAACACAGCATTCATGTACATATAAAATAAGATCTAGAGATGTGTCCTCGTTTTATTGCTTTCGACAAGATCCCTTAGTTCTGGAAAATGGGTCAAATGCAGATGGTACATTTTCTTACAGGAACAAAATGTATTTTTTTTTTACTGTTTTAAAAGCCTTAGTTTGAGCTTTTATAAGAGGCCCTGGATATATGGCTATAGTTATTAGACATTCCTAAACCAGTGTCCAGTTGATTCTTAACGTTTTAAAACATCTCTTTTTACCATATTTCTATTGAACTTAGAGCCGGCAGATTTTGAGGATGACTACTATGATGTTGATTTAGATGGTATAATCTTTCTGTGCAATACTTTGGAAACTGTTTGTTTATGAGCCATATCCATACAGTGGTTTGTAATGTTTTTTCTGTCACTATCCCCTTTCCATTAATATTCAGTATATGATTCTCAATATATGTGTTCAGCTGTAGCCTACATGATGCTGACCTCATCTCCAATGGAACTGATTGTTCTTGTGTGATTGGTTTGGCTCACCCTGAGAGCTGTCAGGAGTAATTTACCAGTGATATGCACAGTGCATTCCCACACACAACAAAAGGCCTCACGGTGATGGGGAGGGGCCGTCTGATGCTGTTTCAAGTTCAAACCACAGCGGTGATGGAGGCTGTATAATTCTCAAGTGCATCATTCACTGCAGCATCTGATTAAGTGAATTAAACATACTGTAAGTGTCAAGCTTCAGATCCAGTTATTTGCATTACAAATGTTGTGTCAAAACACAAAAGATCAAAAAAATTCCATCTAAATTTGAGGATCTGCGCCTGAATTAAAGTTGACAGAAACCAATATTGTGGAAGAGGAGCGAGGAGGACAGGTGGTTTGTTTCCCTCGACTCAGCCATGAGTCCTCATTGGGTGTGAAAGTTTGGCAATCAAACTGGAAATCAAGTCAGTATTAGTAGGAGTAATCGTGATGATGATTATTCAGATTGTTCAGCTCTAACTACATGTACAGATGTCTCTTTTCAGATGTTATATTTGTGTATTACAGATGCACTGACAGTGAACATGAGGGAGTCCAATTTGGAGGTACTCAGAGGAGACGCAGTCACCCTCCCCTGCTCCTTTTTCACCTCTGACCCGGTGAGCCAACTGAATGTGATTTGGACTGTGGTTCCATTCTCCAGCACAGAAACCCCCACACAGGTATGAAACAGCTATCTCACTTGATGCTTGGAGAGGAAGTTGTAAATAGGGTGCATTCATCTTGTAAAATTATATTGTATCAAAAGAACTTTCTGGTCACTTCTGGGCACCTTTATGAGAAAATAATTAAACCAGTGGACCAGTGGAATATGGACCAATGTGTTTTTTATCATTGCATTTCTTGTGTTTGAACTCTCTGATCTGTGTTGGCGAATTCAACGGTTTTGTTAAGTCCTCTGAGATAACTGTTGTGATTTAGGGCTATACAAGAATACATTTAATTGAATTGAACCAGTTGATATGTGTGGCAATCTTTGTTTTTTTCCTCCATGTAGATTGCCCCCGGAATTACAGAAAATGTGGCCCTAAACTAAAACTTGAAGTCTGACTTCTTACAGTTACAAAAACACTTTTTTCAGCTGCCCTCCATCACAAAAGTTTAGCAGTAAGCTATTTGGATTGTTGAAATGTCACACTCTAATAACAGTAAACTATTTGCATTGTATGCTACCATTTGTGACAACTAAAAAAAAGATATATTACAGAATAGCCCTCCTTCTCTCTCTGTATGATAGGATTGTATAGGGAATAGTGTATTTGATAATAGTTTGTGCCTTACAGGTGATTGTTTATGACCATGGACAAGTGATGGAAGACCCCTCATTCATTGGCAGAGTAGGCTTTGCAGGTATATTACATACATATTACATATACCAAGGAGAAAAAAAGTCTTCAAAACAACCAAAAACATATGACATCCCTCTTTAACCACAGTGCTCCATCTTAAGATTGCTTGGGGTCATATGAAGGTTGGTTAATGTTTGGTTTACTCCTGTATAGTTCCCTGACCCTCAGGTATCCCATGGAGTGCAGACATTGTCCTGAATGAAACCCGTGGGTCTGACGCTGGCGTGTACCGCTGCATGGTCAATAATCCTCCGGAAACCACAGAGATGGGCATTGGAGAGCTCACGCTTTCTGTCCTGTGTGAGTAACATGTTCAGGAAAAGTTACAATCATCGTGTGAATTTCTTAAAATGCAACATACAAAGCATCAATGTCTTCATGTCGAACTGCAGCACCTCCCTCGCTGCCTGTGTGTCAGTGGGACGGGCCCATCACGGAGGGTGGGAGTGTGACCCTATCCTGCTCTGTGGATGAGGGAATCCCAACACCAGAGATTGAGTGGGACAAACTGAGTCCAGAGGAAATACCACTACCTGTCAACATGGACGGTGAGCAGAATGCAACACCAAAGTTAGTGTGGCTTCTAATCAAGATGTAAGATGTAAATGATAATAGTGAATACTGAATAAACTGCACAGATTGGACCATGGTTTGCCGAAGCTCCTCTTCCTGTCTGACATGACCTCTTGATCTTTGAGTGCCCTATCCTTGTGGAAGTATGGGATTATTTGTGTACATTTTTTTCTGCTCACAGGGGACATGTCTGGCTCAGCACAAATCCTCAATGTGTCGTCTCAGACCTCAGGCCTGTATCGCTGCTCTGCCTCAAATGCTTTGGGGACTGAACACTGCTATGTCAACTTATCCATCTACAGAAGTAAGCCTTGCTATATTCGCCTCACACAATTACAGGCTATATATGGAGTCAGGCCAATGCAGGCTTATCTTTTATGACTTATTCATGTTAATATTGGAATTATAGTCCTACATGTTCTATGAGGACATGTTTTGAGTCTGTGCACACTTTGCTTTACCTGATTTACCTGTACAACATCTTAGATTAGACTATAATATTGAAGTGACCAAAAGATTGTGCTGCAAACTGGTCTGAACTGACTACATGGGTTGATGACCTCTGCCACATTTGTGCAATAATTTAATGAAAAAGGAGATCCATTAAAGTGTTGAGTGTGTAGTGTGTGAGTGTGTAGACTACTACTGTCACTAGTGTTCTAATACATGTATTTTTGGCCAGTCACATTTTTAGCCTTATGATTCAAACAAAAAGAGGGACTCAGCCAATCAGCGCTCAGCCCAAAGTGTCAAATAGTGTCTCGGTCACATAACTCTTTTGTGTAAGAGTGAAAAATAGAACACATTATTTCCATAAGGTTCTTTACAAGGTAAGGTACTTAGTTTACTCTTGTCTTTATTCTTCCTGTTTGGACAAATTACATTATTATTAGTATTGTCTGTGTAAGCTCTCAGTCTGAAATGACTGGTTGGACTTTCTGAAACAAGTGACAAAAACATTGTAACGATATTTCATTTACAGTGTTTCCTGTGGTTTGTCTGAACAGCTCCAGACAGTCCCTCGGGAATCCTGCAGGGGGTGCTGTTGACGCTGTCTATGAGCCTGCTGCTGCTCGCGCTGCTACTGCTGATCACGTGGCTTCACCGCACGGGGCAGGACGGCCGCACGCGGGTCCGTGATGAGGAGGGAGACGAGACCCGCTACAAGCCTTCACTGATGAAGCGTTCTTTTGTCTGATCATCCATGAAGACCGCTATTTTCTATCCTGTCTATCCAAGGACCCGGATGTTGTAGTTTGGCCGCTTTAGTTTCAATCATAGACTGTATATGTTTCAGTTCACGTGGGAAAACAATCTTATCTACTTACTGGCTGTGATATTAGTGTTCCAGAACGTTAATTTGTTGAAAAGGCGCTTTATTTGCAAAGAAAGACACAGAAGCCTTTAATTTAAATAGGAAGGAGAACCACATATATATGAAAAAACTGTACATTAAACATAAAAGGCCTATCCCAACAAAGAAATGAGATGGTGTATGATACATTTGTGCAGAAGTGTTGCTTCCCAGCTGCACATTCAGACATGAAGAGTGCCTCGCCAGTTGTGAACTGTCATCCACATATCTTTAATGAGAAAAAAAAACAAAAACAAAACCCCAAATCCAATAATAAAATAGATCTGTATTTTTTAAATAAATATTTATATACCAAACATGCTGTGCATCATTTAGGAAATTAATACATCCCTTTTACTGACACCTATGACTATCTTGTGCTTTCCCCATAATCAGCAAAAATAAAGCAAATTTATATCAATGAACAAAATGCTTTCTTGATGTTTTGAATGAGAAAATAAGCACTTGTTTTTTTTCCTGAGTTTAAGAACTGGACACAGGATAATGATACAGCTGTTGTCAGAAAGTGAATAATCCAAATTATCCCTCAAACAAAATGTTTAATTTGTGGTCAATTCAAAGAACACATGTCTAGGTAGCACAATACGTCAAAGTAAAGTCTTTGTTGAGTATCTTTGAATGTCTTATTTTATCGTTTTGCTCCCACCCTCAGGACAAAATCTCATCCAGCAGAAAACGAGTAAATTTCTTTGCTGTGAAAACGGCGACTTCCTTTCCAGAATCCTACATTGAAATCTTGACAAATGAGAATGTACCGAGGAAAAACTAGTAACACAGATCACCTTGTGGCCAGAACGATTTAGACTATGGCACAAAGTTATTTCAAAAACTGCTCAGCCACCGCAGGCAGTCTGAGAGATGAGAAAACCCTATTTAGACACAGTTTGGCTCGCGTCTGTACACACTCAGCGCTTTGACCCAATAATAAAACTTATTTTCACAGTGGCAACATGAGTGCAACAATAGGGAACAAATCCAATTAAAAAGTAGATTTTAACTCAAACGATGCGAGTTGCAGTCGAAAGAAATCAGTTGATATAACACAGACAAAAAACCCTTTGAAAACATTGTAAGAACATATCAAGCAAATAAATATTCCACCTTTATTTTCAGTATTTAACTTCATCCAACTAAAACGCTGGACTGGACTGTTGTGTAAAAACAGCAGTAGTGGGGAGTTTAGTAGGAGATGCAAAAGCAGTAGTATAATAGTAATAGGGGCCAGGCATAGAAACGGTGCCCCTTACAGCAGCCTGGGCCCTAAATAAATCCCACTGTTCACACGTTGTCCATCACTGTAGACACCGTTTAGTGTTTCTTCAAGTAAAACCAAACTGATATTCATTCACCAAAATCAATAGCTTCCCGACACCCAGTCTGTCTTTAGTACTGAGCTTACATTTTATCTACGTTTCTGACACAGTTAATCCCAGTCCTGATTCAGCCCAAATCAACTGTAAACTGGTGATAAAAGCACCACTTATTAACAGGTTTGAGTGATTTTTTCCTGAAAAATCCTCCAAGACAAAATCTGCAGGCCAGAGCAGAGGGCTGTTTCACTTGTGTCTAAAAGCAGTGAAACACTAAATGTGTTCAAACGCCTGACCTCACTGTGGACCCTGCAAAGTTTGTGAAAGGGGTAAACAAACAATCCTTAAAATACACCAATAAAGCCTCAGATCTGGCCTCTCTCGGATCTATGTTTTTAAAAAATCCCTTTAAAATTGCACTGAACTTTGTGGCCTGAAATAATGTTTCAAACGAAAAGGTCACCTCATAAGATACAAAGTGACTTTGAAAAAAACTAATGTTTTGGGTCCACATTTGAGCTTACTTTGGAATAATTGACATTGAGTTCAGCAGTTGTTTTGGCTGAGATAGTAACTAGCCTCAGTACAATGAAGGTGCAGAGGTCGAGCTCTGTGGGACTACAGCGAGCTTTAGTCTGGGGCAGCGTCATCGCAGGTGCTCCAGTAAAGGCAGCTCTGTGGATTCCTCTCGGGGCAGGGAAGGGGGACCTCGATTCAGGAGTGAGGGGTCGAGCGTCTGAGTGGCCCCAAGAGGGTCTTGGATTGGACTGGACTCCTGCCGAGCTGGAGGAACACTGGGCTATAAAGAAAAAGACAATTAAGGAAATAAACCAAATGGAAAAGACAAAGAGCAGATCTCCTGTGCTCTTACCTGAGTGCGAATGGTTTGAACTGTAGCAGTGTCCCCCTCAACCGCAGCTGAGCCGTTAAAGCCCTTTCTGCCTGAAAAACTCCATTTGCCAAAGTGGCTCTCAAATTGCAGTGAGCTGCCAGCCCGCTGGCCCGCTCTGTGTCCAGAGTTCTCCAGGAAACCCAGAGGGAGAGAGGGAGGGACCACAGAGGTGCTAAAGGACAGTTGGGAGCTGGACAGCTGCTGTCCCAGAAGCCCCTGTATTGAGGATGTCCGCTGTAAAGAGGACAGAAGACCCGCCTCCATCCTTCCCTCTGATTGACTCAACAGAGCGAGAGGCAGCTGTTGGGTGTTGTGTGGCCAATTCTGAGGACCCAAGGGATTGTCGGTACCTGTAACAACATTAACTTGAAAGTAATGTTGACAAACAAAAATATTCATACTACTCTGGGGTGAAGTCTTTTTATTTACAGTACGTAACCAAAAAAAAGCTCAGGTAATTGAGAAATATTTCAATCTAGATTCATAAAAGGAGCAGTGCTCACCCAAAGCTGACTGCAGTGAGGTGATGTGAGTGTGTGGCAGCCCTGAGGCTGGAGTGCTTTGAGTGGTGTGAATGGCCGGGTTTGTGGAGATGGAGACTGAGCCGCCTCCACAGTCTGAGTCTTCAATGTTTCCTCCGCTGTTACAGCCTGCTCCACAGCCTTTCTGTAACCTGCAAAAGTATCATTTTAACCATACGTCTTCAACAACAAATACAACATTTTATCCATCAAAACCTATTCTAAAAAGTGTTGCTCTGTTTACAATGTCTGCTCTGAGTTCAGTTATAAGAGCAACAATGTACCGGTCCCAGCTGCTGATGAGCCATGTGTAGATGTTATGTGGGCTAACAGGACCCCCCCACACAGTGCGGAGCTGAGCGTGTCCTCCAGCGTATGATGTTGTGAGAGGTGAGACGTAGATAGGATATCCAATGGGCTGGTCACATGACGAATTAATCATGTTCCTCAAGGCTTGTTTGGCGTTTTGAATGCTGCCTCGCTCTGGATTTCGATTTCGCAGGAAAACCAGCTCCTGCTGCTGCCCGGCCCAGAGCCCACGCACACACTCCCTGTTCACCTGGAGGCAGAACAAACGTGCTAAGCAAATGTGCAACAGAAAATGTGTAAAGAAAAGAAAGAATTTTGAAATAAAACCAACTTTTTACTCTAACCATGCCAATAATTAATATAATCATTAGCTGACTTAGTTGTTTTTAAACCGATTCATACATGTTTGATCATTTAAAAAAATACTGCATACCCCAGACGACCATTTTCTTAAATAATGGCAAGGATGAACACATATGAAACAATTTTTAAGATCAATATAATCCTAACTTGAAACTGATCCATAGATGGGATAGAATATAACCGATATGAACAGAAACCAGTGAAGTGACACTTCCCCCCTCACATCACAACATATTACAAAATGGGTCCCATTGTGATGACAGGCATTTTATCCTGAAGACATTAAAAAACAGCTCTGTTCGAGTAAAGGTTACTATACATTCTGGGTAATATCTGCCAGTAAATAGTCTCAGCAACTGAAAGGCCATTTCCAGGAGATTAACAAATATATACTGTATACTATACCATTATTCTATCGTGCATCCCTATTAGGAAGTGTAACATTTAGGACTGGAGGGTGCATAAATAGATCTTATCTTACATAAATGTAAGATAAATGTAAGATAAAAGTGAACCTTAATGACTCTGAAGCTGAGGAACCGCTTGTTCAGCATAATGATCTTGTACTCGTCACTGCCATCATCCATGATGTGCCTCAGTGCCAGCAGTGAGGGCATGTTTGCCAAGATGGCACTTCGCCACACGGGGTCGCCCTCGTGCGATATCAACATCTTCTCCTCATTGGCAGTGATGGCATCATACAAAATCATTGGGTCCTCATACTCATCAGGAGACGTAAAATGGTCCTAATGGAATAGTTTCATTCACATTAAGGAGTCATCAGAGAAACCTCACTGTTTTGTCTCTTTGCTTTACCTGATGCAGTTTCAGAGACATTCTGACTCCTGGGGCCACAACACGATTTAACAAGTCCATGTCAGCAAAGACCCACTCGTCTCTGGGTGATGTGATGCGGAAGTCACCCTTAAAAAGTGCGTGAAGGCCGTAGAGAAATGGTTCTAAGCTGTCAACAGAGTATAAGATCAGTCAGACAGAATGAATTATGAGTGACTGACAGACCTTGTGGGGCCTAGTACCTTGCAGACATGCTGTGGGAGGCTGTGCCCAGAGCCCTCCGCCCCAAAATGCACAGGCCAAAACAGAGGTTGACAAGGGGGGAATCTCTTTCACCTGCCACAGGCTAAAACATAAATCACGGTTAGAGCTGCTACATTGAGACTTTTAAAATGAATGATATGATATGAATCTATTTTTGAAAGAAACAGCTGACAAAACCCACAAGTTTGGTAGATCAGAGCCAGTTCTACATTGAAGGGCTGGGTCACACAGATGAGCTGCTCGTGTTTCTGTTTGCCTTTTCTTTTATAATTGACATATATTTCCCTAATTTTAGTGCTGCTTTATTTTCCACACTTTCCCCATCGCTTTATCTGCAACGCAGCTTTGTTTCACGGTTCCAGAGCTGTTTAATTCTTGTAAAAGTAACATGTGCTCAGGTGGACCATTGTGTGAATCTTTGTGTGTGGCCGCAATAGCTGCATACGCGCATACATTTAGACAACAGGCTTCTCTGACTAACGACTTAAGGCACAGACCCTTAATCATTTTGTTATGAAGAGTCTATTGGCAGAAAAGCAGGGGTTCTCTGAGTCCAGAGCACTGCGACACCCTATTTTCCATTTCAAAGATATTCCATGGATATGGAATATGGAAGATTAATTGTTGTAGCCCCATTCTTGGAGGTTTTGAAACGATATTTCAGCATTGAGAAGCAATGACTCATATGAAATGACAAAAGCGTGCCTTACCGTTTGCCGCCTGCTGTTGCAGTACTGAATCCAATCCAAGTACACCATGCAGAACGAGGACAGCGTGATACCGGACGCTCTGTGGTCATAGTCCTCGTCAATATTCAGGTTGAAGGTGGGGTCGCTGTCCACATAGTTGGCCCCTAGACAAGGCCGCAGCGCCTCCTGAACCGTCTCATTACTCAACCACTCCTCCAGCCGAGCAGACCGACTGACATAGTAGATAATACTCTGCAACATGAAGTATGAAGAGTGACGTTGTACATGTAACAGCTACATGATATGTAATGACAAACCTTGACATAATATGTGATGAGAATCTTGCGGAGATCGAATACTTGTAACATGGAGGCAGCGTTATTGTCACTGATGCTGTAGCCCTCAAGGACATATTTAGTGGCAGCCACCTCCCAGGCGAGCCAGCGTTGGCCAAACGCCGCATTGAAAGACAACATGTGTGGCAGGTGGCCAGGTTCACAGCAGCAGCATCCCTCATCCTCCTCCACACCCTCCGTGATGGCCTCCACCTCTCGCTGCTGACAATAGGTGCCTAAGCAGAATAGGATTTGCTGCTTCATTATGAAAGTTTCAAGATTCCTTTCATGGGGTCACTATAAATCATTTGAGCAGTGTTCCAAATGCATCGTATGTCCAAAGGTAAATGCCTGGCATCAGCAAGACAATAAAAAGAACTCTAAAAAATATATTTTTGGCTTTCCACTCTTTGGCCAAGCTACTACATCAAGCTTTGACTATTGAGTATGAGACAGATGTGAGGAAGGAATAGATGACGTCACTTGCCTCTGAACTCCAGTCCCCTGAGTTGAAAAGTCACTAGACCATTGCCGATCTCGATGATGTGCACTAAAGCGTTGAGGTAGTCAGAGGCCAGGATGAAGCAGTCGCCTGTGCTGTAGTTTCCCCAGCGGCCGAGCAGCAGGTCTCCACACAGACTGTGCTGCAGGGAGCGAGTCAAGTGCTCGTAGAAAATGGAGTTCAAATTATTGTCATCAGCACCTTGCAAAAATAATGAGAACATTGAAATAGTGTGAGGAAATGTGAGTGTGAAAAAACGGCATGCTCATTCTTTGAGCGCATCTCATGGAATTGTACCTGGGTTTCGGTCTAACTGTGTGGCAAGTCTTGTGTTGGAATGATCAACTCGTTTAGTGCTGCAAATGACACAAGCCAAAGATGTTAAAAGTTATTTTGACTATGTAGTTATTTTTTCTTAATATTAAAATATAAATACATTTTCCCTTGATGATGCAACAAAAAATGTTTTACTTGAGGTTGGTGCAAAATAAAACTTTCATTTTTATACTTTCACTTTAGTAATTAAATGATTTTAATACTTAACAACGTTTAATTTGTATACTATTCACTTAAGTACCTTAGATTAGAACTGTTATCTTAGAATAGAGTATGTTTGAAAGAAGGGACAGAACTCACTTATAGTCTCTTTCCCAGAATTTGACAGGTCTTGTGTATGACGTCACAAAGACTGCGCTTCCTAAAACAGGGTTCAGAGGAGTGGAAAAGAAGGCAGAAAAAATAGCCTGGACAAAGAGCACGGCAGAGTCTGAAATACATGGTTAAGAACAACTCGCCACAAACACACCTCAAACGATAAATAATAATTTTTCAACAAATTTCTTCTCATACTAAAAGGAAGGATACGTGGCACAGCAAATGGCTGGGCGAAGGCATGGAAAGCTGAACCCCAGGTGATCTGCCATGGGGCAATATAGGTCAAAACGAAACGCAGCTTGTACAAGAGATCCCACATCTAGAAAAAATAAAAATAAAACAGGTTACGATGTCCCAACGAACGATAAAACTAAGTGAATACCACATTTGACTTAATGCCTAATTAAAATAATTTAACATTTATCAGTGCAAAGTTTAGGGATAGTAGAATGGTTTTGTTTTCGTGGGTAATAATCATTAACAAGATATTAGCAAAAATAAATAAAAAAACTCACCTTGCTGAAGAGTATTGACATGAAGTAGTAGTCTATAAGAAATGTCTCTGAGAAGTGCGGGTAGTCGAAGTGAAAGAAGAGCGTAGTGAAGCAGAGGGTGACGTATTGCTGGGAGGGGGTACAGAACGACGATCGCAGGAGTTTCATTCCAGCTACAGAGATGAAAAGAGCTCGGCTACTGCAAAAATATCAATATAAAATAATGTCAATAATAATATCATGATAGGTCAATTTCATGTCCTAGAATTCTATTTCAGTCGAGGGGCAGGTGCCAAGGCAATTTTATGGAAAATGTAAAAAAAAAAATACATGTCCCCAAATCATTATTTTGATAGTGAGTACATGGCCATAATCCTCCTCACGATTTTAGAATGTTGTCAAAACATCTCGAAACCTTGAGAAAATAATTAGTTTATATGTACTGACAAAGCTGTGGAACCTTTTGAGGATGTGGATTGGCCCAGGAAATACTGAGATATTACTAATCAAAAAATTACGACTAGAAATTTTACTTCTGGGTGAAAAGTTACGCAGAAAGATTTTTCAGCTGCCCTCCACCACAATTTTCACCACAACTGACAGTACAAATTCAAACTTTAGGCTTTTTGGATTAAATGTAAGCCTAGTAGACAAACAAATAAAAATGTTACATAAAAAATATGAAGTTTATTTTTAATTGCAATGATATTATTCTAATAGCCAGAATAATTACTCAAGATTTTGTTATGACCAAAATAAGTAATGTTGGAACAAGCCAAAGTGAGTGAATGTTAAGAATGCTGCATGACTTACTAAATGTCAAGCTCTTTGTGGTTTTGGCCGACACTCCGAGCCTCAGTCGTCAGTGAGTTTAGCACCACAGCTGGGTAGATCAAGTATTTCTCCACACACTGGAGCCACGCATAAAGTTTCTCAAACCACATTAGTTGGGCAGCGTCTGGGGGGGGGGGGGGACATTGTTGGTTCTCTGAAAGCCTAAAAACGTAAAAATGTATACCCATTTTTCTCAACTCACCTCGAACTTCAAACTGACTGTACTCCTTTGATCGGAGCACAGGGTGAGCCAGGCAGAACCACGGGAGCTGTTTTCGGAGCTGAGGCAGGAGATAGTGTGTAATGAAGCCTACTACTCCTGCCAGGATGTACAGCACAAAACTGAGAGCGGGCTGTGGACAGAGGTGACGTTTATGACTTCAGCAAGGACGCCTCTTACAAAAATCACTGCAGGATGTTTGGACAAACCTGAAGAGCGATGAAAACTGTGCTGGCACTAATGGCAAAAGTAATGACAGCCATGAGGGGACACATGACGAGATCTGAATGAAAGATTTCCTTCTGCAAATACAAGACACATGTTATGGTTTTTGTAGATTGTTTAAAACAGGACATATTACAGGTAATTTACCAGTAATGTTAAACAATTTCTGCTTTTTTTAAAGAAACTGAAAAAAGGCACTTTATAACCCTCCATGCTGCTCTGAGAGTATTACATCTCAAATCATTCAAATAAACCCAACTATAGGCGAAGACTGTTACAACATGGTGAAAAACTCAACATTTGATTTGCATATCTCCCCTTAAATGTTGCATAAAGTGCGTATTGTATCAAAAGAAGGCAAAACGTTACCACTGAGTTGCGCAGTTTCTCAGGTAGAGGGTCCTTGATCTCCACAGGGGGCTCTTCTGGTGTCCGACTCTCAAGCTCTGGGAATAATTTTGACCGGACTAGGGACCTTAAAGTGAAATTAAAAAAAAGATTATTGCCCCCATTTTTTATTGTAAAAAATGGAAAGTGACATATACTATATTTATCTGCATTACATTTTCAAATAAAACTAACCATAGAATGCTGGCATCACTGCTCTGACGACTGAGATGGTAAGATAAAGCCAGAAGTAGGCCACAAAAAACAGAAAACAATACTGGCACATGGGCATCCCCCCAAGGTGCCTAAAATAAAACCAACATGTTAAATTCAAGCAATTATTTACAGTACATCAAGTTGTGCTCTTACGTTTACATACTAACCCTAGCAGAATGTATACGGTACTGGTAACAGACACATTTGGTAGTGGCGGTTGGACTCTTAAGAATCATAGCGCTAACCAAAACTCTGATCAAAAGTTTATTCTGGTGATTTTAGGCTCACAAATCAACAACGCATGTTTAAATAGATGGAGGAAAAAAACCAGTCCGGTCAATTAAAGCACTAACTAAGAGAGGAAAAAATATCTACCGTAACTATTCACATTTGCTGAAAAAAAGGTAAAATATTCATAAATCTTGCACAACTGTAGAAACGGCTGTAATTTCTCTTTTGCACTTACATTGATGGCACCGAGGCAAAATCCATACAGCAAAGCAGCCCCCACCACACTGCGCATGAGACTAAAGAGGGACGACAGGGGGCTTGTGGTGGCTGAGAACAAACACATGTATGAATACTTGATCCTTAGATTTTACTCAGAAACGTTGGTTTTGATCCTACCAGTTCCACCAAAAATATGCATGTCGATTTGCTCAAGAAGACACATTATAAAAGTGTTGACCTGAGGCAGCAACCCAAACAGGAAAATGACGGGGAAACACAAGGCAAATACTGTGGAGAATAAACACATATTTTCAGAAAACTAAGTAATTAGGATATTATTCATTATTTTGAAACTACAAACAAATGTATGAAAAAATATGTTTCCAAATTGAGCAAAAAAAATAAAATTAAAAAACTTACTGATGAGCACATCTCTGACAGATGCTAGGAAATGTGTGGAAAAAATGGTGACGCCATAAAGGGAAAAGGGTTGCAGAGCGTTCACATGACTGGTCAAGTCAAAGACCCAGATGAGTACACAGCACAAGCAAAAGTACACTGGGCGACTGTAGACGATTATCCAGTTATGACCCTGATAAAGAGGCAGGTCACATAATAATACACTATATTTATCCTCGTATTGAAGTATAGAAACAGATGAAAGGTCAACTTACATGCATTGGAGAAGCTGCATCTGGTTGCACACTCTAAAGAGCAAAAAAACATTAAAATATGATTTATTAAAATACACAGTACAACAACATCCTACTCCAATTTTGCATGTTACCTTTAGTAAAGAATATTGACAACTAGCAATGACTAAGCAGAACTGGAAGACCCAGATGTCCCTGAAAAAGTTTTGTAGGAGAAGGAGAAACCCCAGGAACGCCACAAGACTGGCCAACACTACAGAAAACACATTCTCTCCCACTCGCCGGTTTCTGAATAGAAATAAAAAGGCATATGACACATTATTAAAGAAATAACATAATCCATACCTTAAATGTTCAAAAGATAAACAACCTGTCCAGTAAAGCCAAAAGAGCCAATCGGTCATATCGAACTCTTAACCATTTCCCAGGTAACACCCAGAAGCGATAGTATTGTTTGGGCTTGGCCTTCTCTTCAATCATGAGTGTATTTTCCTGGGATTCTTGTAAAGACTCGTGATCCAGATCAAACTAAAAAGCATAACAAATTTCACATTTACAAACAGTTGTGGTGGAAACAGTTCTTGGCCCCTATCAATCATAATTGGGAACCCTTATACAAGATCACTGTAAAGATAATCCTATATTGTTTATTTTTGGGATCACTTTTGAATACAGTGTGATGGTGCAAATTCTATTTGATTTTAAGTCTACAATTTGCTTTGTGGAGGAAAAGTTTTGCATATTCTGTAAGAGCAGGAAGTGACTAGGGAAAGAGCTCATTTTTTTGCAAACTTCTCTACACCAGTGCTCCATAACCCGTTTCTTTTATCATTTTTTATTTAATTAAGGAATACGGACCTCTGGCATTTCCAATGGCACCCTGCGCACCTGCATGCCCTGCAATACCACTGGTCTTGGCTGCAGGATAGACAGAACCGGGGCCACCTCCGGCACCTCAGTAGATGTGAAACTAGATGATTGCGACTGTCTTTCCCTTTCTCTGTAGAAGGACACAAGCATGTAGACAATTAGTAAGTAGTAAGTAATGTTTATTTATATAGCGCATTTTACAGACCAACGTTACCCAAAGCGCTTTACAATGTTCAGAGTTCAGATATTGTTCCAATCATTCCACACACGGTGATGACGGAAGCGAGTTGCCGAACACACTGGCGCATCAGCCCCCAACCAACACCATCCATTCACTCTCTCAGTTAAATTCATATTGTGCATGTTTTTAGTGGTAGGGGAAACCGGAGCACCCGGAGGAAACCTTTGCAGACACGGGGAGAACATGCAAACTCCACTCAGAAAGGCCCTGTTCCGACCAGGATTTGAACTCAAGACCTTCTTGCTAAGAGGCGAGAGCGCTATCCACTCAGCCACCGTAAAGCAGAATTCATGCAGAAGCAAGCCAGTGTGCTCGTCATAAATACAGAACAAACATTGAGAAATAAAAACATACATTGAAAACAATAAATAAAATCAGAACAGAAACAAAAAATGCTTCAATTTAGAGCCAACTAACAAAATAAGAAAGAATGCTGTCGAAGTAACACTTACTGTACTGGGTCTTCATATCCTCCCCCAGCTGGCCCGAAAGTGTAAGATCTCTTAACACCTGTTAATAATACAAAATGCACATTAGCAGAGCTACATCATCTACCCCCTTCTGGGGTTAGATTCTCACCACTCTCATCATAGAAGTAGTGCACTGCTCCCTCTGATGTATCATCAAATGTGGAGGCCTCATGGATCCCACTACGGGACAGCAGCAGTGAGGACGCAAATTGTAAGGCTGAAGGAAGTGTCCGAGCCCGTGAATGTGACGAGGTTCGAGCGCGCTGAAGGTCCTGGAGGCTACAGCAACCAAATTGTTTGAGTATTTTACAATCACTGATAAAACATCTTAATAAAAAAATAATTGTCTAGACAGCTTAACTAACCTGGGCGGTGAACCCATTGCCGATGGGGGGGGTGTAGGATTGCTTCCAGCATTGTGTCTTCTCCGAATGGCCTGGGTTCTCTTGACACTACTTAGCGAGTCATGTTTGCCCCCATCCTCTGAAGCCAAAGCTGGAGAAAGGTTGTTGGTTACATCATTGTGTTGCATTACAGTGTCAAAATGTATGTCAACCGCTTTCAGACAGGGGGGGTCTGATCACATTTGACTGTAGTTTGAAAGATTTCCATATGAGATGCATTACAAAATGTGGCAGTTTTCTGTGTTCATAACAAAGTAAGAATCTAATTTACAACAGCATTAATAAACAACTCACCTCCCCCAACAGCTCCCTCTTCCACCAACTCTCCAGCTCGCCAGCCCATTTGGTTACCCGTCCAGGATCCCCCGAGCGTGTCCAGCCGATGATGCGGTCCAGAAAACACATCATTATGAACAGTGCGTGCTTCCAGATCCGACTTGGAGATGGTGAGGGCACGAGCTGCAGGACTTGAGGTGGAGGGCATTGTAAGCAGAGCTGGAGGCATCGTTGCCGAAGTGTTCTGGGCCCCACCTGCCCCATCCATACTGAGGACTCTGGCATGGGTCTTAGCACTCGCAGTACTTGCAGAGCGCTGAGCAGCACGAGAATGTGAAGGGCCAGAGATCTCTGGTAAATCTCCTTCCTGTGGAGAGGAAGGCTGACCAGCAGGGTGCACAGAGGACGTAATGCCAGTGTTCGTGAGGTCTGGAGAGTAGCAGGAGGTAGAGGAACTGGAGTCATCGTCGTCAGAGCTGTATCTGCGTTGAGAGCCCAGACTAGAGCCTGCACTCATGTCACTTCCATCGTCCTCATCACTTGAATCCTCAAAAAGACTTTCACTGTAAGCCTTCGCTCCCAGTCTGCTGCGCACAGGGATGTAATCCCTATGTTGCCTGTGATTGTGATGTCGCCTGTAAGAGCCGCAGTCAAAGCTGCCGCTTCCTGCTCCTGCCCGCCGCCGAGGGGCTTTCCTTCTACCTGGTCTATGGCCCACACCAGCCCGCAGCAGCTTCAAGTCTTTTGGCCTAACTACCTGCTGCGCCTGTAAGGCGGGCTGCTCTGACAATAAGAAGGGGGCAGATATAGGCAGCGCTGGCTCAGAAGACACCAGCCCCAGGGCCAGCCCTGAGGGCACAGAGGTGGTCTGCCGTGGAGGGGGAAGAGGAGGAATCGGGATTGGCCTATCTAACTCACAAAGCTCTGAATGTCCACTACTAGAAGGAGAGGAATTTTGAATTGGAGGGGGGTGTGCAATCTCTGCCATAGAAGGTAGATCATCCCCTTCCACAAGCGTTCTGTCGAGTCCATGGCTGAAAGAGTAATCTTTGCATGGGGAGCGAAGCAGCACACTGTCTGAAAGGTTGTCAGTGTCACTTCCTCCCTGTCCTCCATTGTCCTCCACAGGCTCAGGGAGATTTGAACCCAGTGCTGTTGCAGGTACGGATCCTTGTCCATCTGTGGGTCGTGGATGGTTGAAAGATGGGCTTTCTAGCTGAGTTGAATCAGTTTTTTCACTGCGATAACTGCTTACTGTGCTTAATGTCTCCCTGTCTGTAGTGGCCCCACCAGCACTAAAACAGCTGTCTGTAGATCCAGCAGCCAGTGCCATCCCACTTCGGCTGCCGGGTTGCTCAGTTCCAGTGGCAAAAGCCACTGGGTCAAGACCCAAACCTAAAAGATTCTCACTTAGTTCCTCACTCAAGCTGCTCTTAATTAGGGGACTGAGGGGTGTCTCCCCCAAACTTTCAGATTCAGCAGATGGCCCCAGCAGAGAATATGCCCCAAGTCCGTTTGGGGGATATGGTTTACGCTGCCGCTTCGGAAACTCTTCTTCATCCTGATCCTTCTCTCCACCGTCTTCCTGACTGGACGGAGATGGCGGAATCGACAAGCATTCTGCTTTCTCTCCATATCCATCTGTAAATCCTGATACTGCCATCAACCCGGGGAACTCGCCGCTGAAGGTAGCAGCAATGCAAGACTGCACAACACTTGGAGCTCCTAACGAAAGACACAGTAAATATGTCTGGTACTTTGGGGGAAGGCACACAGAATAATTTAAATCAGGGAAAAGACTTACGAATGGTATCTTGGGAACTCTGTTGTAGGACATCACGATGTGCTGATGTAACGATAACATTATTGCTTCCCTGTTCTCTCATTAGCTCCTTAATATCTACTAAAAAGCGAAAGAGGACCTATATTAAAATGACCAGGCTGAACTGTTTTATCCCATAATGTTTTTTTTCATGAAATCCAACAGAACACACAAAATGAGTTTGTAAGCATAGATTCTTACCCTTGGTTCCACATGCATCTTCGAGTTGAGGCAAAAACTCCTGCAAAAAATTGTTGCAAAATTACACATACATTAATAAATGTGTACCATTTTATGGTACACAACTCAAAATGAAAATACAATCGTTAATACAACTCACCGACACCTGGTTCAGCCCAAACAGTGAATGTTGAGAGCTACATCGTACTGGAGGAGTTGAGTTGACCTTTCTAAATACTGTCATCTCTACCCCAACATGGCTATCTCTGTGAATTTTTTTTTTTTATGCATAAATAATAATTAATTCCTTTGATAACATACAGGTAGTTTGTTACAATTGTCCTCTTGGTGAATTACCTGTGTGTATTTCCATCATGTCCCCCAGAAACTTCTTCATCCTCTTTTGGAGCTTCCGCTGTAAGTGAGGCCTGCTTCTTCTCTATTATCTCCCCAAGATCAAACATTGCATGGAGTCGATAGTTCACTACCTTAATGGCTGTGAAAAAAACTGCTACCACAGCTGAGTAGATGCCTGCTATCAACAAGCTGGGTGGCAGGGCCTGTAAGGGAAACATCAATTTAATCAAACAGAAAGTAATAGTTATTTTGTAAACAGTAGGTTACAGTAGTTAATCTGCAGTACCACTACTCACCATGTACAACAAAAAAGGGAAGGCCAGAAGAAATATCCAAAGATAGAGGTGAAAGCAGTTGGAGAAGGTGCTTTGGTGAGGGTCCACATACCAGCCTCCAGTAAGTGAAGCCCAGACACCTTGCCTCAGTATCTGAAGAGCTTGGGAACCCATCGTCTCTTCCAGGTTTAAACAACTGATGCTGCAGCTCAAAAACTGTAGAACAGTTTGAGCCACAGTATCAACTTTCTACAATAGCACTTCCATTTGGTATAGCAGAATGACCAACACCATTTCATCAAGCCAATGGTCAAGCGTCTGAGATATGTTTTCTTTAGTTGGAATCAAGAGTCCTTGCATATTTTTGTGCCATCATGTACTCCAGCTCAGCACCGATGTAGCCACACTCTTGCCAAACCCTTTTTGAGTTGTGAAGAATGCTTTTGGCACATTTTCAACACACCAAAAGAAAGTCATCTGAAAACAGAAATGTATAAGTTTTAGATAAAAAATAGATGGATAAATAAACATGTAAGAAAACGTCAAAGAAAGCTTTGTCCGGTAGAAAAATATTTTAGAAACACAATTCCAAGTCTCACATTTGAACCGTGTTCATGAACACATGGGGATTTTTTGTTCTGCAGATGAGAACAAGCCCATTACTGTAACACTGCATTTGAATTACTTGTACAATTCACAGCACATAAAATACAAAAAAAAAAAAATCATACTTCACTACAATGCCAGCCAGATTAAGTTTGCTGGATGACATTAGAGATAATTTAGCTTAGCTGAAATAGAGCAATATATTGAGCAAAGAGTGTAAATGGCTAAGAAATAAAATCATATGAAGGTCGGGAAATAAATCAATGTATTCAATGAAATGACCAACAAAACAAAGCCAGACTTTAAAAAAATGGAGCTGTCAGACAAACATCATTATCATGCTAAATGCTAGTCACCGGCTAATGCTAGGCCACACATATCAACAAACTCTATCTTTGACCTCATCAATATGTATTTAACGACATCATTGGACAGTGCGATACCATTCATAGGTGTTGTCCATTATATCTGATCGGCCATCTGTAGTCCCTCTGAGTGTCTCCGTCCAAAGTAAAACGTTTCCATATTTGGAGCCTAGAGACGTTAGCCCAGTTAGCATTGCCGTAAGCTAAGCTAGCTCCCAGCCTCAAACCCGTCTTCCTTCCGCATCCAGTGCTGGTCAATCTCAGCCCTGTGCTTCGGGATGCTGAGAAGTCACTCTACACCTTAACTTTCCTTTTAGTTGTCTGATCATTAGAGTAAAGTGTCTCACCCTCTTTGGCATGAGCGCTTGATAAACACGCCTCGACAGCAGAGCAGCTCCTTGCTCATCTCGAGAGACAGCGATTCTTGGCATAAGTGGAGCCTGGATGAAGGTTTCCACAGGCTAGCTCAGCTAGCCTCGGCTAACCGCTAACAGGCAGAAATGAGCTAACAACAACCAGATGACAAACCAGGAAAAGCGAGAGATTCCCAGAGCGCTCATTGGATAATCTTAATTACGTCACAAGTCTCAACTACCCAAAAACTGAATATATATTATGATTAAGGTGTCTCGCTCTAAGTCTTGACCAGAATCATGTAATCAAAATATATTCTAACTGGCTCTCATTTTTTTTCCATTCCTTTTAGATTTCTCACTTCACTTCTCACTTTTTCTGCCTACAGCCCTCAGCCCAAAGCATCAAGTAGTTTTCTATTAAGAAAGCAACATTTTGTGATTTGATTTGTGGATAACAATTTTTACATGATTTAACTATTCTGTTGGAATAAAGTATACTATCTATAAAAGAAAAACTGACTTAAAATGTTCTACTTGCAAGTAAGTCAAGTTTTTGAAATAGGGGATTATAGAGTGTATGGTTGTTTAGATTTGAAGTTGAGTCCAAACCAGTTGGATTGGTGGTGATAAATGTGCTTTCTACTCAGCTCTAGAACCCAAAAATCTAATGCCAACAATAAAGCACTTATAGAAATTCAGAAATACAGAATTCTCAGAATTTCTACAAAAGAAAAAAGAAATACATTACATTTTCATTTCTTGTCATGCTCATGAAAATGGCCACATGATATGATGTGTCATGACAATGGGATCAGATTTTAACACACAAATATGATTCACACCTTTCACCAATATGGCAGTTAAAAATCTCACTTACTCTCCATTCTAATGACCATTTCCAAAACTTGTACGATCTCGGGTGGATAGTGGCTCGAGACCTTCCCCACTGACTTCCAGTGATGTCTGCTGTCGTTGTGTGGGGTTAAGTGCAAGACACTTAACTGAAGCCCCCGCTGAAAGATCAAGACTATGCTCTCACTGACAGAGCATATACTGTACGTCCTGTGGAGTCACCACCTGCAGAAAGATCAGTGAGGGGCTGGTGCTATGTGTACTGGGTGCAGCTCTGACTGCCACCCCCCCGACCCAGAAATGGACTGAGGGGAAGAAGATGAATAGAAGTACAATTTTGTACAATTTGAGAGAATATTTCATTGTACATAGGGCCTTGCTTTAGGACTCAAGTTAGACTTCTCAATTTGAATCAGGTCTGAAGTCTAGACTTGGACTGAGGCCAAAATCTTGAATAATGCAAGGTATACTTTAATTTTCTTGTAGGTAAACTGGTTGAGTTGAGTTGAGTTGAGTTGAGTGTTTATTTATTTCGAGTTCATGTACCTCAAATCATCCATTTACAGTTACTTGTTTCAATGTTGACATCATTCAAACCCAAAAAGGAGTGGGAGGAAGAAAAAAATCGTATAAATTCCCACCCCTGTGCACATTACACTTACACCCGTGTGTCCGGAGCCAGTAGCAAAGTAATGCACAACAACACGGCAACAAGCAGCACAGTGACCCGAGCCAATCCTGTCACAGCAGGCACCAGAGCAGCAACAACCAGTAACGCACCAAAGCCTCAAGTCAGAACTGCACACACCCTACCCCACCGGTCTCAGGCCACGTTCAGCCGACTTCATTTATTTATTTTTTCTATTGTATTCTTTTTTCTTCTTCTTATTATTTATTTATTTACAATTATTTCCTTTACTATTATTTTTATTTATATATTATTTTTCCCTTTTACCAGACAGTGTAAGTATTTTCGCTTGGTCGAATTGATAGTATTAGAGTTAATTGGTCTTCTGCATTTATCTCATCTGCATATAGCTCTTAGCACAGAGCCAACGGACCCACCTAAAAAGGTTGACAATTGAGTTCAGGATTACTTTTGTTAGAGGATTTTACCTTTACCTTACCTCTGGCGAAACCAGAGCACCCGGAGGAAACCTACCCAGACACAGCAAGACCCAGGTCAGCCCAGAAATTGAACTCCCGACCTTGAGTTACCGTGCCACTTAATTACTTAAAACTTGCACTGTTCCACCCCGTCCCAAACCTGTGAGGAAAATACCTGTGTTGATCTCAGCAGGGGGTAGTCAAACTGTCACTGACACCAGATGGAAACAATATATGGGATTACAGTAGAAGCCATAATGTGTTGCTGAAAAGACAGATATTTTGTTCTTTTGTTGCAGTACCAGTCCGTCTGCATGATAAAACATAACGCTTTGTGTACACCTCGACATGAGCTCAGCAGGACTGGTGCAATAAGCTTATTCTAAGGTTGTCAGGAATGATTTGTTCAAAGGGTTCATTATCACAATACCTGACTGCAGTTATTAACATTTTAATTTGATAATAAATAATATACACACATGCATACTCTGCTGGTGAATGCGAGACAGGAAGCCGAAAGAAAAAACAAGCTGATGAAACTTTGTTGTAAGAAACATGATATCATTTTGACCTATCATTTCAGTAACTTATAGACTCTTGCTGTTATTAAATTATTTGTTTTCTTACTTGCATTGATTAGTCTTTTTTATTGTATTTAAACAAAATTGTAGTGAAAAGCCTTTTCTACTATTTTGCAAAGCACTTTGTATTTGCATGTGTATAAAGTGTGCAATATAAATTATCTTCATATTGTTGTTTTGTCCATTGCTACCGTTTTTTGAAGTTTTATTAGGCCAAATCAAACCTGTCTAATCTGACCCAGGCCATTTTACACAAGTATTTATTTCATTTACAAGTTTTAGTTTAGTCTTATTAATCTGGGTCTTGGTTGACAGTATTTTTTGTGAGATTATTATTGTTGTTTTTTGGTTTTACCTGTTTAGTACTGCATATATGTGCTTAAATCGCTGGCTATATATTTTATTTGTTCCTACAGAAAGTGTCTTGTTTAAGTTGCATTTTATGAACTATCCAATCAGGCCACAACATGCAGTCTGTCTTATTAGAAAACCTTCGGAGAGCTGATTGACTGAGTGAAGGCTGAGTGGCTGACACTCTCTTTTTCACTGAAAAAGCTGATTTAAAGATGTGACCAAAAATACATACATGTCAAAACTGAACAAATCAAAAAGAATTTTGGAGAGCTAGAAACTAGTTGCATGGATTTTATTACTTTCATATTTTGTGGTTTCAAAGTTAAATACTCCAGCTTTAGGTATACAGTACATTTGACAGAGCAATTATGGTGACTATCTCTTTCCATTTTTTTCAATACAAAAATATTGCAGGTGAAACTGTAAAATTCTCCTTTCTCTAATCTCACTAATTAGGTGCATTGTGATCTTCATTCGCCCAAATTTGATCCTCAGGAAAATAAGTTAATTGAGAAATTCTTATGTTTTTATGTATGTATTATCCCTCCAAAATTAAGATACATATGGAACACATGTTTTGCTGACACGCAGTATGTATGCAGAAAGCAGTGCATGTTTATGTCACCAAATGCACACCTAAAAATTCCAGTTTATAGTTGCAGAAAATTGATGTGCGTCATGTTCTTTTCATATATTCAGAAGGTGGGCATCAGCTTCTGTGGAGCACTGCAATCTGTGGAAAAAATAGACACCCAAACAACTTACAGGAGGAATGAAAAAAAGCAAATATGCCAATGAGGAAGGGACGACGTTTTCGCTTCCCCCTCTGAGTTTCAAGAAAATACAAGAAAAATGGTGATGACTGGATACGTTTAAGGGTCCACTCTTTTTTAGATTGTAATTCTTGGTCTACAGGAGTTAGTATCTGTGGAAAATGCTGCCATGAACATAGGAACTGGATACTTCCAGGGATCTGAAACCCCCCCCCCCCCCCCCTTGCTGGAGACTGCAGATGAATGCATTTGATAGGGAAATGAATAATGACACAACACTTTACGGCTCCCCACCCATTGCCCACTCACCCCCCGCTCCACTCTCCCCCTTTAGACTTCCTGCACCAAAGCTAATTATAAAAGTAAAAAATCACTGTTTGAGGAATATTAGAAATTGTGCTTGATATTGGGTAAATGTATTTTCTAAAAGAAGGCCACAACACATAGTTTTACAAAGTATATAATCAAGTGTATTTTCATCTTTATCCACGTTCTGTACACATATCCATATCCACATGAACACTATACAATAGCAATGAGTGAGGAATGAAATTTTTCTGAGCACAGAGCCGCTCATTTAAAATGGCACTTTCAGTAAAAGAAGAGAAAATCACAGAGTATGAATAAGTGAAATGTCAACAAAAACAAAAAGATGGCTTAGATAATCCGATTCTAGGGTTAACAAATTGAACACACAAAATGCCACAACACAAATATTTGTTGTTTGACACCCTTGTGTTATTTTTTTCTCATCGGATTATTAAATAATTCGAAAGACGTCTGCAGCTGTTGGAGGGAGGTGTGCTTATTGTCTGACTTTAATAAAAAGGCAATTTTAAAATGTGACATGTTTTTGAGGAGTGATAATAAGATACATTGAAATATCAGAGAAATATCAATACAATTCACAAACTTTCAATTATTCATCATCTCATAGAATAGTCTTTATAGCAACTGATAGAAAATAAATCATTACGTCTGGATCCTTTACATGAAATATTTACTGTATGTCTTGCAGATAAGATTAGATTATCGGTGTGCTTTTGCATTTATACCATGACAGACAAAGGAAAACAGTACACTCTATCTCGCCATGTCCGGGCGGTCCTTTTTGCACCAGAAAGGAAAATCCCTTTGAGAATGATTTTGAGATCACAAAAACTCCTGAAGTAAAAGTTCGGGTGTGGCGGTTTGGTATTGAGGGTCTTGAATTATATCTCCTCTTCATAGCTCTTCTCCTGTGCATTCATTTTGCCTTCTGCTAAACTCTATATGTACAAACAAGCAATGTTGACACACAACTTCTTCACTGGAGTTGGACTGATTTTGGAATTCCTACTCAAAATGGGACAGCACACTTATCACAAGCCCATCTGTGCACAGTTACTGGCTCAGGTATATTGTTTTGAAAACTTCATATAATTCTCCTTTTTTCATCATAGAGCTTATAGTCATGCTTAGTTGGTACCAGCAACTTGAATAGTGAACGTGATTGACGAGCTGTAACAGGCAGCAAATACTTTATCTCAAGTAAAATTGTACCTTTGCCGAAATACCCCAGTGCCCTTCGCTCATTTATATCTAAATCCAGTAATTGCTTCGGTGCTCCTCGTATATCATAATGGAGGACACTGGCATTTGAACATTACAAAGAAGTACAAAGCAAACATTTAGGCAGGTCTGCCTGGATGTCCTCAGCACTTTGTTCACTGAGACGAATCCATGCTATATACAAAGCCGAGAGTGGTTGTGCCTCCTCTTCTGATCTGATTTAAAAACATAAAAAATGACACACATACAAAGAAGTGGTGAATGCTGTCCTGTTGTGACACGGAGGATGAGTCAGGTCTTTTCAAATACCAACAGGAAACCGCGCAACCTTGACTTTTGAAGGAATAATACCACAGTTCAAACATTTGCTTCGATCGGCTGTTCTGATGGTCACAGAAACGGAAAAGCATCTTGTCCACACACGTAACAACTTTTTTTTTTAGACGTAATACTCTTTGTCCTTGTTCTTTTTTCCCTTTGTTATTGACTTTGCCACCGATCCCGTCGGTGTAGTTTTGTCCTTTATCACCGCTCCGTTCCCCTCCACTGACGAGTTATTGACAAAACCGTGACTGTTGTCTGCCGGGTAGGAGCCCTCATCGCGGTTTCGGTATTTGTACATGGCATAAAGGAGAATGAGGATGCAGAGCGCAGCAGCAGCCACGATACCCACTACCATGCCGGTGGTGCTACTCGACTCCCTTATGACCTCCACGGCACCAGGCAGGTTCTTTTCGTCCAAGGCGGTGGGGTTGGCTGTGGGCACATGGGGAAAATTGGGTGGGTAGGTTAGTCCTGGTGTGTTGCGGGAGGAAGGGGGTGCGGCAGGGGGCAGAAGAACCTGGTCGCGCGTGTTCATTTTGCCTGCGGGAATGTGGAGCTGGTCAGGATTGGTGGTTGGGACATAAGGAGGTATAGGACGGGGTGGTTTCTGTTTGTCCACTCCGCCCTCGCCAGCAGAGGGTGGCGGAGGTAGGACTGTCCTGTCAGTGACCATAGGGGAGTTCTTACGGTAAAAGTCCTCATCGTCCGATTCGGTCATTTCCCCGGAGCCAAAGGCGGACACCTCCACAGGGTCACCGCAGTCCTCCTGGTCTGGGGGGCAGGACGAGGGGTGGGGGGGCAGTATGAGGGACTCTTTGGTGGTCTCAAGCGGGGACAAGAGGGTGGGGGGAGGCGGGATCACGGGGAAACGGGTAGCGATGGAGGGGGGCTCAAGGGAATCCACTGTTATAATAGGCAACACTAATTCACCTCCTAGAAGAGAAACAGAAAAGGTGTGATCAGCCGTTATAGAAAAACAAATATATGTATACAGTATAATACATATGTATATATATATATATATATATATATATATATATATATATATATATATATATATATATATACACATATATATATATACACATATATATATATACACTGTATATATATCTATATACATATATATATATATGTATATATATATATGTATATATATATATATACATACATATATATATATATATATATATATATAGCTATATACATATATATACATATGTATTATACAGTTGTGCTTTAATTGAATTATAATTACATTTTTATTTATGATGCCAACATAACTATCTTAAAGATCCTGATTATATTTCTATAAGCCCAGTTGTCTTCTCAATTCAGTGTGTATCTCCCTTTAACATCTATGACAAAATCAAGATTTGATGACTTTTGTGGTAGTTGTGGATGAGTTTTCTTTCCTCTGCTGTCTGTTACCATGCTGTCTGTTTTCAATTTATAACATAATTGAGCCGCTCTGAAGAGGTCTCAGGCTTTTTGCCAATAATGGGCAGATTCACCATCAGACAGCATGGTTTTTGACAATAAATGGCTTCATAGAACCACAAACAAGGAAAATAGGTTTCTGTGTCATCATTCATTATCTCCAAAATATGGCCAGAAAAATTAAATCTTTGGGGAGTAAACTCTCAAGCACAACTGTATGTATGATAAGACTTTTGACTTCATCTGCAAGTTTGTGCACAGATAAATATGTAAATGCCCTTAATCAATAACAACAATAAAAAGACAATTAGGAACAGTAATGAAAAATAATGTGACCTGAAGTTAAGCTCTCTGAGAAGCAGAGAAAATGCATCATGAAGAAAATACAACATAACGACAGATAGAGACATAAACATTAACATACATAATGGTTAATGTAAAGCAGCAGCAAAATGAGAAGCAAATCATGAACAGAGCAGAATGAGTTAACGCTGTTAAAGTGTAATAAGCAGCAGCTATTATCCAATCAACTACGATCTCACAAACAATAATTAGCCATTACATGAACATTTCTGTTTATGAGCATTCGAATAGGCAACAGTGGGGCTGCTGGCTTTGGAAAAACGGTTGTCTAATAAAATTAAAAAGGTCTACATTCTATTTATTCATTTGTGTAGAAGTAATATTTTTAAATGCACTATAAAAATTCAAATGTTGAATGGGAAAAAGGTCCTCAATATTTTAAAAGAAACAGGAAACTGTAACATCAACAATCATATTATTCGATTCTAACTTGAGCAAAAGTAGATACTAAATAAAATAATATAAACAAGACAATTTTATAATGTTCTTGTTTGTGTAATCATACCATTTTGATACATACTTTCAGTCTTTATGTGGTTAAATTTGTTATTAGTACTGGAGTCCCCGTTTGCAGGTCCAGTCAACAACAAACAGCCTGATAAGGTCATATAAATAATTGAGGTGCTCATAATAAGGGCGCACACTTCTTACGAGCAGAGACTTGTTCTGCCACCAGCCTGATCCTCTGTCGTCCAGCCCTAATGACTGCACTTCTCTCCACACTTTCACATTAATGAGTTTCAGATATGACTTAAAAGCAGCCGCGTGCTGGTAATAGTTGTGTGTATCGCGTAGAGGCTTCCAAATGAGGACAGATGTTTAGAAGAGCCAATTAAAGCCTCATAAAAATGCGGCAAGTGCAGACTGAAATGGAAGATAAAACCTATAATGTTACTGTAGCTTTTCTGACGCTGGTTCCACCCTCAGCATGTCTCCATACAGATACGTTTAATGCCATTCCAGACAACGCGATACCATCTGAATGGAGACAAGCAGGCAGCGAATCGTGCCACAGCCGAACTCTCACACTGCTTTTGCCCAGACATAATGCCCAAATACATGACCGTAAACTACATTTCTTGTGTTTTTCAAATTCTAATAGTCATTAAATTTCATTACTATTACATTGATATTACGTATTCAAAGTGTAAAATGAAGCAAAGTGGAGTTAAGTCTCAGGTAAAATATAAATGACAGTCGATCTTGATGATAATGAACTAACATTGTTGTCTCTTCACCACTTTTTGTTCAGTAATCATTAGGTAGAAACCAATTTTTCTCCAAGCTTTTGAGATCTGTTCAAATCTGGCAGTGGCAAGCTGAATTAATGTGTATAAAAGAAGTAATATGTATAACTTTGCAATGTTGGTATGTAGACATTTAAGTGGACATTGTTGAATGTCTTAAAGCTTGTAGGTTCCAAATCAGAACGGATACTGAAAGTAGACAATGCTAAGACGAGCCCCAAAAGATGACACAGTTCATTTGTACATAGCAAAAGTGCATGAACAAAAAAAGGTAAAATGATTGATGTATAATAATAATAATCTTTATTTTTTATTTATTTATTTTATTTTGTAAGTCATTATGTATAATGACTTATTCATAAGTTTAAATTATATATTGTAACTATTATCATTATGTACACAATGTAAAGAGATTAATAGCATTGTCATAAAAGGAACACATAAATAAATACAAAAATGCAAAAGCTAGTGATACTGTGGCAAAAATAACACTTCTGTTGACCCACCTGTTCCTGGCTCACACTCTTCCAGGTCCTCATCGTCGCTGGGACACTCCGCTGACGCCACTAAAATATCATCAGAGTTTTGTGGCTGCAAGAAAATAAACAAAAGCAATGTTGTTATTTGTATGGCAAAAGACAACATTTGCTCCACTTTGTGTTTATTTCTCATGTAGCTGTCTCTGTTGGGAAATATTATTCTGCTTTGAGCAACACGAGCAGCGATGCACATCAGACAAGGACCACAACGCCTGTACCCCAGAGGGCGACTGGCTTTTCAAACACTTTCAGAAGGCTGGGACCGAAGCTTTGCCTAAATCACATTCTATTTAGCTGCTGTTAACATTATTATTATTGTGGTTAACAGAAATACAGTGTGATGAGAAGTTTTGAGGTAATTGCCGGTGGATTTGAGAGAATATATAAAACAGAAACTTCCAGGTCATATGGTGCAAATGCAAAAACCCATTCACTCTGACAAGTTACATGATGTGGGTTTCAATTGTAGGGTTTGTAACAAGTAATGCTGACACTCAAGGCAGAAAGTGGGGTTTACAAAGAAATCTGTCAAACTAATGCACTTTGCAGTTATAAAGACACACATATCAAGACAACCGAAGTCTCAAATCATAGGCATTTGCAAATATCCGTTTCAATACGCAATTTTCACTTGATCATCTCTGATTCATTTCATGGTATGAACAGTGTTTCTACAGGTACAGTACGCATTTATATTTCCATGATGTGATAATAATGTGCAATACCGATCTATATGTAATTTATTTTATTTTGCATTCATTACTTTCGTAACAGCTTGGATTTAAAAAGGAAGGCACCATGAAATGCATAATTAAAGCTGGGTTACGCAAATTAAACATCATTTAATATCCTCTAAGTCAGCCATTCCCAAACTCAGTAACACCAAGGCCCCCCAAAATAATAACCAAGAAGACAACATTAAGAATAGGCTCTTCTGGTTATTTTATTTTGGGGAAATAGCCTCTGCTACATACACAAATTATTACAGTGGATTATTCAAGTCAAATAATGAACACAAATATTTTAATATTACAAACAAAACATTATAAATGTAACATTAAATAATTATATTATTATTTTTATTTTTTTATGACCTCCCGCGGCCCCCCTGCAGTACCCTCGCGGCCCACCAGGGGGCCGCGGACCCCACTTTGGGAGACACTGCTCTAAGTAGTTCCTCAAATCAGTTTGGTTCTATAACATATGTGTATTCTTGGCCTCTGTCACATCTTTCGATCAGTTTTAGGCCCAAAGTGAGCAAAAGACAAATTCACAATTTCTTCACAACATTTTACTTGAACAAGACTCTTTCTTTAGGCATAAACGATACAAAAAATAAAAAGGTAGCCCAACTTTTAACTTTTGCGCATGTTGCCCCACCCGTCAGTACCTTAGAGATGCTTTCTCTCAGACTTGGTGAGCGCTGCCTCCTGGTGGTGGTGGTGGCCATTGTGGTGGTGGTCTCCATGATGGTGGTGGACATGTCGGACACGGCTAACGGGGTCCCTGAGGTTGTATCCGCGGTTACAGCCGTGAGCGAGTCGCCCACCAAACGCAGGTTCCCCTCCACCTCCACACTCGGGTCATTCTCTGCTGCCAGTTTTAGCACCTGTAAACCATTGTAGTACAGGCCAGAGATCTGCCCCTGGAATGGACGCTCCTTGTCACTGCCGCCGATTTTGATAGCGGCTTGGCTGTTGAAGATAGTCAATTGCCTCCCTGAAAGAAGCGACAACGGATAACAGGAAGTGAGGGGTGAAAGATCAAGATTTGATGTTAAGAGAAAAGACGGGCACAATATGACATGGTAAATAATTTATGTTTAGATGCATTATTTATTGTGTTTATTAGGGGAGGGTTTGGCCCGAGGTAGGTGCATGCAGGTTTCAAGACAAGTTAAGACATTATTTAGACGCCTATTTAATTAGTTTTTGTTGGTCAAGTCTAATAATTGTCATTACGTAAGCTGTCTGCAGGGGAAGTAGAGACAGATATTGTTTCTTAGATATTTAATCATCTTATAACTCGAGGACAGACAGACCGATGATGCATGTCTTATTTACAATTGTTCAAAGCTCAGAGCCTGATGAATTAATTAACTCTTATGTTAGGTGAGTTCTTTCTCGTTTATAAATCCAAGTGGCCTGACCCTAATAAAGGACTAAAGATATCAAATAGCGTTGTCGGCACTTGCACTGATAAGCTTAGTGACTTCAAAAAGAGGAGCGCGTGGCAGTAATAGGGCTCTCTTAAGAGAATTCTTATTAGCAAAGTTAATGACCGCAAACAGGGATGTGCTTGAACAGCCTGTCAGAGCTCGAGTCGGAGGAAAGGGCCACAGAGAAGAAGGTGGTCGGAGCAGGACGAGGTTACAGAACAGTTCACAGGGAGCACGAGAGGAGTTTAGGGTTTAGGATTATAGTCATTTAAATGTTAGGTTTGTTTTAGTGATTTTTAATGATGTGATTACAGGCTTTGTCTAATTAGAACAGCGGTTAAGAAGGATGTTAGAGAGAGTTAGAGGGTTATGTGTTTATTTAGTTTGGTTTACAGGTGCAGCCTCTACACAAGGATGACTGTGGAATATCAATCCCCTATGCGCGGATCTTAGCAGTACAGAGAGAGTAATAGCAGTGGACAATATAAATCCAAAACATTGCTCACATTAGAAGCCAGAGAATTTGGTTAAGCCAAAAAACCCAACTTTTACATTTTAGTGATGACTTGATTGAAATCCAATGCAAAACGCTTATACTCGTCACCCTTGTTTTCTGACACTGCACCTCACTGAGGACAACTTATTTAGTGTTTATTCATTTTATTAATTGATTTTATTACCTTTATCGAGTAGCCACTCGTCAACTACCCGACCAAGTCTGTATGGGATTCTTTGTCTAGCAATAGCCAGTCGCTCATTATCATAGTGTCCTTCAAAACATTTAGAGAGACAGATTAAAGGTTAAAACATCACATGGTTAAAAACAAGTTTAACAAGTTGTCATTTTTAACCCAAGGCTGAGTTAAAAGAAACTTGTGCTTTAAAACTAGTTATTATCTCTATTTAGAAAACTGTTTAGGTAAGTTATATGTGCTACTCTAGTTAGTTGTGTTTAGAAAGTTTTATGAAAAGCATCATTATAAAAGCATATTATCACTTACACATCATTCATCATACTGTGTAGAGAAAGGTGTTAAGCATGCATCAAAGTGAACAAATAGATTTAACATTACATTTGGCAGTTAGAGCAAAAAATACACTGAAATCAGCCAGGAGCTCGTTACACCCCACTCATCTCCACAGAGCAGCCCAGATCTGAGGACAATGTGCTTTATACGGCAGCACCCAAGGGACCAATACATTAACAGCCAACACTGGTGGGAACAGTGGAATAAATGTGATGTATTTATAGAAAACACTCAGACGCTAACACAATTGAGTGGGATAAATATTTGTGCTAGTCATAATAAACTGAGAAGAACAAGAAGAATGACCACACGTGTGTGTACGGATTTGAGTGGGGTGGGACTTATAGGCCCTACATATGTAATAAATGCATATCAACATCATGATTACCGTACATAATATGTTTGTTTTTAATGTTTACTTGATAGAGGAAAGTTATGGTATGAAAGTCTTGTGGCTTTGCAAATGTAGTGGTGAGTAATACTGTATGTGAGGTGAACTACAACTACGTCCTATTAGTTCTGATGTAATAAAGCTACATGATGGTTTTTCAACAATGGGATGAGATTGAAAAGAGTTAGGAATGGTGCGGGACGGTGACAGGGACAGACTCCGGACAGCAGATGGGCCGGTCCAGCTGTGCCAGGAGGTGCACATATTCTATGCAGATTACTGCGTCCCAACAGGTTAGAGTGTTTGAAGTCCTGTTTAAAATGTGATGGTCATCAATGCAAAACTTGTGGACTAGTACTGTCTTCCCAAACTGCCAAATTATTATTTGTTTTTAACTTGATGGAAAATAACAGTGTCTGCTTGGTGCATTGTTGTTTGTCATCATCACAGAGAGCGAGAAGAGTACAAATGTCTCATCAACCTCTGTGTTTAGGCATGATTCAGCAGTGTGGCGCCTTCAAAGGCCATTGGTCATGACCAGTTCAAACTGATAGGAGGCGATGATCTGTGAATGATTGACTAATGAGTACGTAGGACAGTACTTTTTAGTGTTTGCTTCCTATATGTTAAAATGTGAGACATTTTGACATAAGTTGGAGAAAGTCAGGGGATTGTGAACTGTTTCTGTTTGTACTCACAGAAACCGTGTGGTCTGACTAAATTGTGATGTAGTATTCCCCAGTAAGGCTCATAAATCCACACTGTGTTTCTTAATGACAAAAAAGACTCAAATATATTTATTGTTAGCCTCATAGCATAATTGCCAAGTCAATTTTGGCCAAATGGTGATATTAATGCTGTTTTGTTGTTGTTTGTTATTACGAAAACATTGAAATACGACTTCGGAAATTGTGCGATAAGACTAATGATATTGGATTCATGATCTTCCATAGAAATGAATGCACTTGAGCATCACATATACAGTGTATTGATAACGGTGATTATTTTGATGTAGCAGATGTGTCAGTGATCACATGACTTGATGATGCTAAGGTGAATGAAACAGGTCACTGGGCATAGAGCCAGACATCACTCCTCACCACTACGGTCGTATGAAGATTTATGTGTGTGTTTGACATGTAATCCTGTCCCCCGTCTCTGAGTGTGATGTATGGCTGCAGCAGGCTCTCGTTCATCTTACCTGGAGGGTAGCGCTCTATGACCGGATGGTTGTCCACTTGGAGAGTGGCATTGCCACCGCTGCGTGTGAAGCGCACAACGTGGTACTTGCCATCGTTTACCACAACAGCGGGTTCATCTATGATGATGTCATCAGTCCCCACATTGAAGATCACTCCTATCTTGCCTTGATCCTGGGGGTGAAAGGCAGAGATACACTGTGATAATGCTGCTGACACAGAGGAGGCCTGCTGTTTGCTAAAGCGTCACCCAGGATCTGCAGTGACACAACACTGTGTCTCTTCTTCAGGCCCAGCTCGGAGCTCAGGTTTCCTGATGGGAATCTCACTTGACACAATCCTTCTGTTTCTCTTTTGGTTGACCAACCTTTCTCCATCAGCTTGGCTTCGATCATCCTCCTTGAGAGGTTAGTGCTGCTTCCTGAGGTGGCCTTTAGGTGGCGCTAAAACAGACGCTGAGACAAACAGCCCCTGAGCTGTGCGATGAGCCACAGTCACTCAACACAAGGTCATAGTGCTGATGTGGCCGTAAACTAAAGACGAGCAGATCATGTCTTAAATCAGAGGCTGTATTTTACTACCCTGTCTCTGTGTGAATAAGGAATGTCATTATATTTACTTTAATGACCTAAATAAAATAAAATATTTGAGTGAATTTATTTTCCTGCACTCAAGTGTTGTACAGAGAAGTGACTGCTGGGTGGGAGTTAATGGAGGGTCTGCTCTCAGTGTTGCATAAAAGGTATTTTTCTTTTTTTTAAATGTCTATTTATCTCTGCTCCAGACACTGCTGTTACCCAAATGAAATTAACCTGTATTATCAAAGGTCAAAACTGATTTATTCAGAGCCTTTGTAATCCTGCAGCATAACCAGACAGCACACACAAGTACACTCTGAACTCATCTTAAAGTGCTTTTTTATGGAGCTGGAATCTGGCTGACACCATGCAAATATTTACAATACAGTCTTGTCTAACAATCCCCACGACACATGGCTGAGCGAGAACCGGCGTGCGCGATCTAATGAAACTCACTGTTTCCTCTCATTCTCCCATATGTACTTTACAAGATTATATAGACTTTTCACTACTTTGTTTAGTTTCTACCATAAGCATCGTACTGTCTTTAACCTGAAGGACATTTCAAGGGAAATACTGAGACAAATGATCACAGATAGTGATAATGGAGTTATTATTCCCTAGACCAAGAAACTAACCTTTATGAAGACAGGAACATAATCAATAATGTTGTCTCAATGTGTTGCTGGGTTGTGCAGAGACCATGCATACTCCCTCCAGGTCACACGGTGGAATAATGATGCGTTCCAAGCGTGACCTGGGTCTCTCAGCGAGATATGCCTGGCTCTATGCGAGCTCCTCTTGTGTGGTTGCGCTCCTCACCCTCTAAGGGAGCGAACAGGAAACTCATTTTTGACCGCTTGTCGCCCTGATGTTGTGTTTTCAGTCATTACCCAAAGCTCATGACCATAGGTGACAGTGGGAACATAGACTGAGCGGTAAGTCTATAGTATAGCATGTTGAATATTCCATTCATTAAAATTTTTTGTGTAGGCTAACACTTCTCTGACTACTCCACCAGGATATTTGGATTATCAAAAGCGTCTGTTAAATATTATGTGATCCTGATTTACTGACAGTAATACAAACTAACCGACCTGCTGCTTTTTACACATGAGTTGGAAATAATGAGGCTGCATGTGTTTCACTGCGGTCGTAACTCCTCTGCTCTCTGGGGCTCACCGTGTGCCCTGTCCGCGCTCCGTCTCCTCTCACTTCCTGCTTACTCAGTAACACAAGTGCTTATTATAAAAGAAAACAGCCCCGAGCACCTCCTGGCAGCTGTGAACCCCACTATAGTTGCATTATTTAAATAAACACACTGTAGTTACCCTTTACTTGGGATTATAATTATTTACAATGCTTTTTGGCTTACAGTTGGGAAAGAAATATATACTATAAGACAAGATGTGTGTGCGTGCATAGGTGTGTGTGTGTGTGTGTGTGTGTGTGCGTGTGCGTAGGTGTGTGTGTGGTGTATAAGCTATATGAACACACAATTATTTTCGCAATACTAAACAATAAAAATATGTGTAGGTTGAATTATGAATATAAAACACTTCACGGTCAAAGACTCATTGAGGTGTCACTAGACATTATAATTGTATTCATTTATAGCCTTAATTTATGTTTTATTTGTTTTGGGTTTATAGTTAGAACGGTAAATTAGTTCATCATTAAATAACGCATAATGTGTTTTTGCTACTTAATTGAATAACATAAAGCACAAGGTGTTTTAAGTTTGTTTTGTGGTCATCATGGCTGTAACATCACTTCAGAATGAGTGATATTGGCACAAATGTTTTATGTCCATCAAAAGTGTCTTGATTGAGGTTTAAATATCGCACAGAACATGAAAAGACTGTAAAGTGACCAATAACTGCAGAAATATAACATTACACCCTCATAACATGCCACTTTTTCAGGTATTGCTCTCGGTGAGCACTCCGACTATCAACATCGGCAGCTTGTCACATACACTTGTATTTTCTAGAATAATATCCAGCTTTCAAGTCATTTCAAGTGTGATTACAACATTTTTCTTTCTTATTTTTTATGTTTTACTCTGAAGAAGGCTGGGGGCAGGAGCTGGACTGAGGACTGATGGGAAGCCGACCGCGGTAGTCCTGAACTAATCACTGCTGCAAAAGTTTAAATAAAGGTAACTCTCATGTTATACTAACGGTTATATGATGTTGTCTATGTATACAAGCGTACAATCAGAAGCCTTCTTTGCCTTCAGTTCTGGGTTGGTACAATTCAAACAAACAGGAACTGAACTCACTCAAACATCTATTGTCAAAAAACCTCCTTAATGTAATATATCAGGAGGCTCCAACCTTTTTCAATCGGGGAGCTACTTTTAGGAGGTAGAGAGCTACTCTTTTTTGCAGCTGTAATGAAACTCTATATAATAATTACTACAAAACATGGAGAACACATGTAAACTATACCATAATACTGTACAACGCTATATTTATACTTTTAATAGATATGTAATGACTCAAAATATATTCGTTCAAGATTATGTGTAAAGTGTAAATTCTTTGGGGAGCTACCTGAAAAGGTGTTGGAGAGCTCTTGGTAACCCTGAGCTATACAGGTTGGAGACCGCTGTAATAATTGAATATAACAAAAATATCCATAGATAACATACTGTAATAAACGTTCGTCTCAGAAAACCACTTTTATACTTTCAGCTCCGGGCCAGCTATTATTTTTTTAACTCGGCCCCTGACCAAAATGAGCTTGAGCCCCCTGTGTTATTGGATCAGAGTTTGTTGACAAATATACTTTCTCACGGTCAATAAAACTGAACAAGCTCAGAGCACTAATCTTAGATCGTGACACAGCCAAATGACACCTCGTTTATAATCGGCCGTGGACACAATCAGATCTAGAGCCAAGAGCCAACTGTCATTTGGAAACTTCTGGCGGATCAGGTGGGAGTGTGTTTGGAGTCAAAGTAATACAAGGCATCTTTCCGTCGTCTTTCAACGCGATGGAGGGATAAAAGAGAAACTTCAATCCAACCAGAGAACTCGAATGCAAAAGATAGATGGGAAAAACAGGTCATGAATAATTAACTATCATTTATAAGGCTCCTTGTTCTATAATGTAAGACCATTTTGAATTCCTTTGAACATGATATGGACATTTAATATTAATAGTAAAGAATTGTTGTAATTTATCGCCTTCACCACAATCAGATTCAAATGTGTTCAAAATATATGAATGTGTTATGAATTAGATATGAGTGTTTACATCAACCTTGTAGCAAATATCTTCTCATATACATTTTAATGAGGGTAATTTCTATTTGTATGGAAGCTCCCTTATTCCTCATTATTTTAATTGCATATTTAAGGGCCACAGTACAGCAGAGCCATTTAGATACCATTATTTGGCCTTTAGTGAGAAAGCTGAGTTTTTGAGCTTTGTTGTACACAGTTATTTTTAACCACTCACTTCTTTTCAATCTACTTCTTTAACATCTTCAACGATTGTTCATAATACTTCAGACATCACCTCTAATCTCGGTGATCTTAACATCCAAACTTTTAATAACAGTCTCATCAAATACAGCGCACACATTACCTCCCCACTCACTCTTAAAATCTGTTGTCATTACCATGCTATCCAGAGGCACAGTTAAAATGAATTTTAATATTAGATACTACAAAAGACATGACACAAACGTCACTGCCCTACTATCTCCTCTCTCAATAAAGAATATATTGGGTACACTTTTGGGGAAAGAAGCTAAAATTAAAGACTAAATGCATTTAAGGACATCGAGTTACTTTCTAACTTACCACAGTCTCAATCTTGACATTTGTATTTGATCATCTGGAAACTCCTGCACTAATTAAAAGATACTGAGAAGACTGAAACCACAAAGAAATGGAAGCACTCGTAGAGCACAGACCTTAAAAAATCTGGATCACCTTCGAAATCAAATCATTTTCCTTTCATTGTCCCCGTTTCCGAGATTCATTACAGTGTAGTAAAAATCCACCAATTGCTTTTTGAGTTATGTTGCTAACACACAGACAGACAAACCCTGGTGGAAACATAGCCCCTGATGGAGGTAGAAGTCCAGATCCTTACAGGTGAATGTGCTGACCTTGAATGACTAATGCCTGAAGGAGTAACCATGCCAAACACATGATTATTATTATACATAGTTTTAACACTGTTTTAAGATAGATTATGTAAAGTGGTGAAGTCTGAAAAACAGCTCCGACCTGCATCTCAACCCGTTCTGAATCTTCTGCACGAACACTTCCAAGGCGTCAAAGTGAGAATCTGGTGTGTCTTTGCGGGCCGGGGGTCTGTGACTTTACTAAACACAGCTGCAGAGATGATATAGACACTTTGAACACAGGAAACAAGCGTCTATCACACGTCTGCCACTACCAGATATGCAGAGGTCATGTAGTCCGCCGTTTAGACATCATGTAAAGATCGCGTTATACCTCACAAAGTTAAGGGAGGATTTGGACATGATTTTCAAGACTCCTCCTCATGGCACAATGTACGTGAAGAGTTCAATCTTCTGTCTCTACAGGCTAATCCCACTACCTCTGCTCTGACTCTCTCCAGGAAGGGTTTACAAATGTTTGTATGCAATTTTATGGTCACAAATTTGTCTTGTGTTATTACTTTTGACAAATACATAGAAACACACACATTTAGACTTAAGTCTTTGTTTAAAAAAATATTTCTATTGATTTAATGCCACAATATTGAGGGAGATGGATGGACAAGAAACATCTAACCTGTCCAATGTAACTGTAGTGTTGATGTCAAAAAAATATTTACTTACATGAAAATAGGTAATTATTCTAAATGAACGTTACTTTAAACAAATTCAGATGAAATAAAGAGTGATTCACTAATGAGTAATAAAATATCAAATAATCATTTGAAGCAAATACATACAGAGATGCTTAAATTAAAATGCATATACAAACAAAGTAATTTTGGAGACAGACAATGGGGGCCCTCCATCTGAAAAAAATGGTATAGTGCAGTGGAGATAGATTTAGAGCACTAACAACTGATCCAAACTGATCCAAACTGGCACAAATAAAAGGCATTTGTCTCACATCAAAGAACCGTATCTATAAAAAACATTAACTGATTGTGACAACTTGCTTTGACAACTTCCACTCATTAATACCATTGTTATAAATTATGAATCATTTGTTAATATTTATATTGAACTCTGCCTCAGATAATTAGTCAGTAGGCTGAACCCGAATGGCACAAAAAGATCCTTTATTTGAGATGATTTTGAAAGTAATGACTCAGAGATATAATGATGCTATTATAAGGACTTTAATGTGTTGCCTGTAAGAGAGCGGAATCATTGATTTATGTTTTTACTGCAGCACTAAAGCAAAGACAAAACACTCATCTCACGTTGGTAATAAGTGAAATGTTACGACACTTTCATACATGTTCTTGCTCTCGGCCCATTCATACTTATTAGAGCAGCTTCATTATATTATATTTTCTACATTTTCTACACCACATCAAAACTTTTTGTTCTGAACAAGAAATCTCCTGGTACAATGGTTTGTTTCTATACACTGTATGACAGCCTCTCGCTAGAACCTTATGCTTTAGGAACAGGTTCACTTTAATTATTACTTTGACAGATCTCGGCTTGGGTTCTCACATCTGTCTCTGGCCTGGATCCTAACAATCTCTTCTCTCAAAAGACAAGAAGCACAGATGTCAACGACTCACACTGCTTCACCCACAAAGACATATTTATCCTCAGCACGCTGAAGCATCTCCCTTTTGTCTGGTCTACTTCTGAACAAATCTGGCTGGAATAATACATTATGAATTGCAATTATTTCTCTCTAGATCTATTTAAGCTGCAATAATTAATGGACTATCACAAGTGGATCATAACTGATGGGAACAATGTACTGTAAAGTGAATAAGTGCATGTGTGAGTGTGAGAGTGAGTGCGTGTGCGATTATGTGTATGTGTGTGTGTGTGTGTGTGAGTGTGAGCTGTGTGCAGTGTTGGGGAGAACACTGTAATTGTACAAATAATGTATTTAGTAACAGAATACTGTATTTTGTAACATATTCCATTACATGATCCAAGTTGAGTAATACTTTTAATACTTTCATGTTGATTTGAATAATATTATAGTGTCAAATGCCGTGTACTGTCTTTGTCTCTTTTGTTGGATTTTATTGGAAAAGAGTAACACAATTAGCATGCCCCACTAGTTTTTGAGTAACATTCTATAAAGACATATATACAAGAGTGTATGTAAACTTCCGGTTTCCACTGAATGGAACTTTCGGAAACAGTGTTCTTATTTGGAATAATCCTTCAGCAAATTTGACTTGTGATAAAGTATATTTGTCTGAGCCTGAATAACTGTAACAAGTGTTGAAAGCACATTGACATCATGGACGCGCAGACACTCGCCATGTGCCTCCGAGTGACGGCATGTGAACATGCTTTCATTGCTCCATTTCGCTGCTCATTGCACAGCGCTCCGGTCGGCAGCCATAGGTGAGTGATGCATTATGTCCTGCTCAACGACAGTATCTTGACCGGGTGCCATCTGTGTGCCGATACTCACTATGTGCAGCTGAAGAAAGTCTCCGAGCCCGTGGGTGCTCTCCACTCGCACCAAGATGGCGTCCTTCTGCTGCGTGCTGAAGCCCACGGCCAGGCGGTCTGCCCGGGTGCTGGGGCGTTCGTTAGGGGCCCAGGTGAAAGTGATGAGAGCCCCTCCTTTACCGAAGATGTACGTGGTCCCAGCTGCAGAGAGGGATGAGCGCAAAGATAGAGTCAACACATTATAAATAAGCCTGTGTCATTGTTCATTAGAGGGCGACACCACTGACCATAAGAGTAAAAAGAAATCCATCATAAATTGTAGTCATAAGCGTAAGTAAGTAATCTTTATACATATATATATATATTCTAGTTTATCTAGTTTATATATATGTAAACTAGAAGAGTGGTTACAGCGGATCCCTGGAACAACCTCGGACATCTCGGTTCAGAAATGTGCAGTGCTAGGAACAGCAAAGATACTGCGCAGAACCCTCAAGCTCCCAGGCCTCTGGTAGAGGACCCGAGCTTAGAGAGGGATAACCGGGCCAAAGGTGAGTGGACAATTTTTATTTTTATTTAACTATATAATATATATACAGTATATATATTACATAAGATTATATATAAGATTACTTACTTACACTTATGATTACAATTTTATGCTGGATTGTGTATTTATTTTTAAAGACCCAGGTCACCCAATGTTCAGAGTACAGATATTGTTTCATTCTCTTCACACGATGATAAAACTAACAGGATTGAAAATTGAATAGTTAATAATTATGATCCACTCAAAATGTTTTCTCTTCATTCGAGCAAGACCCTGCAATGACACCAAAATGATGCTGAAAATTGTTTCAACAAATGTGCAGGAGCAATGGTAACTGATTGAAGAAGAATCTCCAAGCCCTTTATGTCTGGTCCTATTTGGTCCACTGAGGGACTTTTATGTGATGACTTGTATCAGGGTTTATATTTAACAGACAATTTTTAAGTGAAAATAAAATCATACTTTCAATCTATATATATTTTAACAAATAATGTTAGCCTTGGTTTGTAAAAAGAATATTGGTCACAAAATGGCATCATGAAATCAAAGAAACCCACCAGAGGTCTAGAAAGTCATGTACGATTTAGTTTTCACTTCCAAATTGTCTCTCTTAACATGAGTATTACCCAAAATGCTTGACTCTGTCAGGTGTCAGAATTGAACTGCAAACTCTGTCACCTGACACACCTTACACAAAATCTAAAATAGGATTAAAAAAAGAATGTTTTTGAAGGACATTTTCCATCACTGGAGTTTTATACATCTATGTAATTGTACAGAAACAGAAACCAGAATACTGCAAATGTCAAGGGTAAATGTCATAAGTCAAATAATGCTTCAAATTACTTCAAAATCTTAGCATCTTCACACATACAACATAATAATAAGAAATGCTTATGCTTATTGTTTTTGGTGACACCATGTTTTATGTTATGTGAAAACAGCAATGTTCCAGCAGATTGAGAAATCATCATTATTGTGAGCATGTGGTGAAATGTGGCAGAACGTGTTAATTGTGAGCTTTGCAAATGCTATGTCAGACAAATGTATATATACTTTGTCTGAAATATTTTAATGGACCACTAGACTCAACTAAGTTCATGTAATTTCCAATAAACTTTATTTGTTTGGCACTCCAACAGATCTGGATATTCAAAAAGCTGCATGAAGTTTGTAATCCCTTCAAACATGTTTGAATGGCACTTTTTGCAAATTTATTACCAATACATACATATTTTCCCTCACCACTTTAACACACTGCGATGCCTTGTAGCTAGACACCTGATCTTCTCTATCTTCCTCTGGGCTTTTCCCTGATGGGAAATCATCAGCCTCCTTGAGTAGAGAAGTAGTGCTGGTCTCTCTTATCACTGGATTAAGTTATGTGTTTCATATATTTTTGTTGAATAACAACCAGCCTTCTTGTTATATAAAGTCATTTTATAAATATTTTAATTTTATAAAATGGTTGAAATCCACAAATGTTTAATGAAAACAAGCTGGCACTAAAAAAACTATTAATACCCCCCACAATCCTTTGCTATGGTGCATAGATGGACGGGTGAGCAGTTCTGCTGTGGTCTTTATCTTGAATAAAACATGTCTGCCTGGCACACCTGCACTTGCACATAGAGACGTGTTAGCGCCTGCATAAGCCATACCACTCTTCATTATTCCTTCCCCTCTCTGTCGTCTTCTATCACTGCTCATCTGCTGTATCAAATAAACCGCATTGTAAATCAGTCCAGTTCGGATTAGTGCTATAAAGCTCTCCTTTAAAAGCAGTTATCTCTCCACAGCTCTATCGCTTCCTCTTTTCTGCAGAGTCTCCTGGGAGCGCTTGTCTCTTATGGCCCGGCGATACATCTGTGCCGGAGTTAACATGGCTCCCTGGAAGATTGGCACAGGAGTGGGGACTGTAAACCACACGCTTGTTAGTGGGGAAGCCTCATAATTAAATGCACTGTATATTGAAGAGGCGTTTTATCACCAGCACAAGTGCCATCTACAAGTGTTACAAGCACAATACCAGTAGCTGTAGACTTTAAATGTGAGGGCCATGGGTCAACAGAATGCATTCACAGCTGCTTGGCCTCTTCATGGGTCACAACAGCTAATCATGTGCTGCTTAGTGAACCTAATAGACCACAAGATGAAAACTCAAGACTAAATAATACCAATTGTGTTGTAGCAATCCAACACAAACCGGGAACACCCAACAAGAGCTACATAATAATAATTTGCTGCCTAATATTTATTATCTTCGAGCAACAGACTGACTTTTTATAGACGGTCTTCTTGAGGCAACCCTTTTAATTAGTTTCTGCAGCAAAGCAGTAACTATACAGTGGAATTACTTCTCAGCAAGAGTCTTACTGTATGGAGTTTGAATTTTCTCCCTGTGTCTGCGTAGGTTTCCTCCAGGTGCTCCGGTTTACCAATATATATATATATTTTTTACAAAAGATAAAACCCTTCAACTCTGGTAGTCCTGACCAAGCCGAGCATCAACATCTGGAAGGCCCTAGTGTTTATGCAGGATGGTTCAAATACAGATGGACATTTGTGTGGGCAATTTGAACATCCATAAACGTAAACTGCATAACTATTGACCAAAATATCAGCTTCATATGGTCTAATAAGGAGTAACCATAAGCACTAAATTGCGCCTTTAACCATGCAATAATCACAAAGTGGTTATTTTAGCATGAATACATTTTAGGCTGTATTTCCTGCATTTTTTTCCTATAAGATTATTGAACTTGACTGTCACCTCCCTCTAGCTCTTTGTGTAACAACTGCACTGATATGGATTATCTATCTGTGCCAAAACGCTCGCTACCCACTCACGACAGGCAGTCCTTTTCATTTGCGGCCCGCTGAATACACAAGATACAATGTGGCATGGCGGCTCATAGGACTTGCAAAACAGAACCGGAGACACAGCCTCTCATTTGCATAATGCACAACCGTTTGGAGTGGAGCAGCAATGGTCTGTGTGAGCTGGCTGTCATTGAAGAGCAGAGCGAGGCTGAAGTCGGTGACGAACTAGAGGAACCCTTGGTAATGTTACAGGCCTTTTTGACTAGCTGTGTAGACTGAATCATGAATCACAATGTTGGCAAATTCTATCAGTGCTGGCAGTAAAAGACATTTGGGCCTCCAAAGGTATTTTTAATAAAATGTGGGTGATTGCGATGCCTGAATCATAAACCAACAGCAAAGGTTTAAGTTAATATCAAATTAGCCATCATTCCCCATCATTTTCTCCATCTGTGTATTTATTTTAATTGTTGACAGTCACATGGCATTACACAACATATGAAAATTACATTCCAACATTTTTTAGGGCCGCCACACAATTACAAAGGAGAAAGAAGAACATCTGTACTGCCGGCCCCTTTCAGGGACTGGACTCCTGCTGCTTTTCAGATTCATGCTGCTAAAATCTGGAACAATCTTCCTGAAGATGTGAGACAGGCCTCCTCTCTGACAATGTTTAAAACCAGGTTAAAGACGGTTCTTTTTAGCTGTGCATACAACTGAGGGATTTTATATTTTTATCTTTCTTTTTAATGTTCTGTGATTATTTATGATTTTAATGCTATTTGTTTTGTTCAGCACTTTGAGTTGCCTTGTGTAAGTAAGTAAGTAAGTAAGCTTTATTTATATACCGCCTTTCACAGACCAGAGTCACAAAGCGGTTTACAATTGTTTTTTTTGGGCACTTGTCCTCTCACTCCACACAGAGACAGGAGTGGGGTCGCCGAACAGGAGGCGCATGCCAGACCTATTGTGCATGTTTTTAGTGGTAGGGGAAACCGGAGTACCCGGAGGAAACCTACGCAGACACGGGGAGAACATGTAAACTCCACTCAGAAAGGCCCTGGTCCGGCCGGGATTCGAACCCAGGACCTTCTTGCTGAGAGGCGAGAGTGCTATCCACTCAGCCACCGTGCCGCCATGTATGAATTGTGCTATACAAATAAACTTGCCTTACCTTTCTTCATTATGTACTATGCACACATATTGTCAAAGATGGACAGCAGCATTCTTTATTAAAACGTTAAATTTTTTTCCTATTTATTTTAATCATATTTTCTCCAAATTTCATTTTTGTTGCTTTGATTTATTTCTTAAACATGTGTAGTTATTATAAAGTGTTACCAATGCTTGTTGAGCTTTTTATTTCTTATCTTTTGACTACTATTATTAGGAGGTTGCTGGTATTGAGAGACTTGAAAACTGTGAGCATTATTTTTCATAAGCTTAAGTGTTCCTGTCATTGCCAAGACTCGGTGTACCTGTCATTGCAATAAAACTTTATTGTGGAAAATGGTTTGAGCAACATTCACATTATCTCCCTCCAATCGAAACAACATGCAGCTGACCAGGGATCAGGCTGGTGAACCCATTATGGAAGACATGCAGCAATGTTTACAATTAATGATGTAACCCAAACCTTTTAGAAAATAGGCCACTTTAGTTAACAAGACTTGTGCAGAGACCAACAACAAAGTTGTAGAACTTTTTTAACAGGATTCGGGCTGTTGGAAAGTGGGTATAATATGCTCATATTGATTGACACCACAGCTATAGCATTAGTGCCATATGGGATTTTAGATAAAAGTCAGTAAATACAAATACAGTT